GGGAAATAAAATGATGCATGGTTCAATAGTTTCTTCTACGTTTTTGTTTTGTTTTTGCATTCGTGGACAAGCTTAGCCTTCAATAAAAGGAAACTCAAAGAATGTACACTTAATCCTGTGTATATAACACCTTGTGTAAGTACCTTCTCTACACAAATAATTAACATAATTATGATCAATTAGACCCATTGAATCCTGTTTTACACGGGTACATTTATTCACATTAATTTGATGTAAACAATATAAACTATGGATCTGATTCAACTTTTTAGTTTGATTATTTACTGTTTTTTGTCTAATATCACAATTCAAGACTCCCATAATAATAATATTATAATCATAAGCATCAATAAAAGTAAGAAATTTTTCGTAGTAATCGAAAAAAATTATCACTACCTGGTGGTCTTACCAAGAAAAAAAAACAAACAGTTTCATATCCTTATGTCTTACCAGGATATCAAAAGAGAAATGACTCAAGATTTGAAAACTTAATTAGTTAGAAAAAAACTGCTACTCCCCTTTTCTTTCATTATCTGAGACAAACTAACCAGGTTTCTTTTAAGGTAAGTGATGGCGGGAATTTGGTCACGTGATCCAAATGGCGCACGCTAGTGGGAATGGTGGCACAAAGAGTAACATGAGTAGATCACGTTTATGAAAGCCAAGGAATATGTTTCCGGTATCACACAAATAGCAAATACAGAATGTGCTGACGAAAAATTTCAGTAGTGTTTTTGTAAGCGGTGGGAAGCTTTTCAGGCTTGTATGCTCGAAAGTATCCCTGTTAACACAGTACTCAGACATAATACTCATGGAAGATTGTGCAGAGCGATATGGTCGCGTATCTTTCGAAGCTTTCCAAAATAGTCGGAGTCAAGCTTGTAATACATTATTTTTACCTTTCTAAGAGCTAATTGTTGACAGAATCCTGTTTGTTTATTGTCCAGAAGCGAATTCAGGCAAAAATAAAGGCAAAATAAAAGCTTTTTTTTTTAATTAACAAAGAAAACGAGGAGCTCGATGAAAACACGTCTTGATGTCATTACGTCCGTCATTTCAGTTATGGAAACATATAGTTTAAAGTAATACAAGAACTTCATGTACTGTATGTAAATGATCTTTTAAAGGCGCCTTTTTAATGCTTACTGCTTTTGCTTCCGACAGACGATGCCTTTATGAATTTTTTAGAGAATATGGAGGACAAAATGTCAAACAATTTTCCTTGTAAATACACGAAAATGCCCCTTGAGCATTTAATTAAAATGGATAATGGTGCTATATCAATCTCATGTATTTTTATTATTATTATTATCTTGTACCCTTGTCACTCATCTCATGGAAGACATTAGTTGAGTGTAATACACGAACCTCATAAACTGTATGTAAATGATCTTTTCAAGGCGCCTTTTTAATGCGTACTGCTTGTGCTTCCGGCAGACGATGCCCTTCTGAATTTTGATGTGCCCTAGCTGTCATAGTTTGACAATTTTGTTCGAGAATTCAACTTGGTAAACGATGAGGGAGTTTTTTTTTATTTCGATGCAACTGCAAATTAAAGAACAGCGCCTTGTAATATATCCCTTGGATAAGGCGCCATATAAATGCAATGATCATTATTATCATTATTTTCAATCATCGTCCTTATACTATAGAAGACCGCCCACCCCCTTTTTAAATTTTGCAGAGCTGCCCTTTTTGTTGGTGGCCTTCCCAAACTTTCAAAGACGCTCTGCCCCCGCTGATGGATATGCGCGTGCGCGTTCGTGTACGGTCACGCGCTTCTTTCATGCATTGGTGCATAATATTTGCAAATGCGTAGAAGTAACGGTGTGTGTGTGCAGGGTGTGGGTGGGGGTCTGTTACACCCACAAATGTAATAACGCCCACAAATGTAATAGAACTATAACCCACAAAATGTAGTAACACCCACAAATGTAATAACACTTTACCCACAAATGTAATAATTTTCACCCACAAATGTAATAATTTTCACCCACAAATGTAATAACCACTTTACCCACAAATGCAGGGGCGGATCTAGCTTTTTGCTAAGGGGGGGGGTTGACCAAAATAATGACGATGCGGAGCATCGTCCACGAGCCGCGAAGCGGCGAGCCGATTTTTTTGGGGGTGTTTATTTGAACCCCGTAAGTGATGTTTTCCTGGCATCTATTAACACAATGGAGACCATAAAAAGCAGTGCATGATAACGTATTTTTAAATCAAGTAACAGTTTAATACATAGTTATATCCAGAGTTATCATGTGTTTGGTTAAGTTACCAGATGAGTTGAATATCTTCTCACAATATTTGCACTTGAAAGGGTTTCTCTCCAGCGTGCGTCCTTTTTTCTCTCTTTTTTTCTTTCTTTTTTTCTTTTTTTTTCCTTTTTTTTTTTTTTTTTTTTTTTTTGGGCCGCCCAAGGGGGGGGTTGCAACCCCCCCAACCCCCCCCCTGGATCCGCCACTGAAATGTAATAATTTTGAATCATCCACAAATGTAATAATGACTTTACCCACAAATGTAATAAATTTGAAGGGATATTTTGTCGAATTTGTTCAAAACTTAAACCCTGAAATAAAGCATGGGTATAGCGCGCAGTCTTTACTCCAGACCGGTTATTTCAAAATTTTAAAAAATCTTCAAAACTAAGACCCCATAATCCTTTTCCTGTGGAATAACATGAGAATCGAGCGTAGTCTTTTCTCCAGACCCGGTTATTCAGAAGTAAAAAAAACAAAAAAACAAAAACTTTTAAACTAAGACCCCACCATCTTCCAAACTAAGACCCGGTAATAAAGCATGGGTTTAGAGCGTAGTTTTTCTTCCAGACCCGGTTATTTCAAAACTTTTTTAAAATCTTCAAAACTAAGACCCATCATCTTATTTCTGTGGAAGAACATGAGTATTGAGCGTAGTCTTTCCTCCAGACACGGTTTTTCCAAAGTTAAAAAAAAAAAAAAAAAAAAAAAAAAAAAACCTTTTAAACTAAGACCCCTCCATCTTCCAAATTAAGACCCGGTAATAAAGCATGGGATTAGAGCGTAGTCTTTACTTCACACTCGGTTATTTTAAAAAAAAATCTTCAAACTAAGACCTCATCATCTCATTCCTGTGGAATAACATGGGTATAGAGCGTAGTCTTTCCTCCAGACCCGGTTATTTCAAAAGAAATAGAAATTTAAACAAATCTTCGAAACTTAGACCCACCATCTTATTCCTCTTTTTTTTTTCATTTAAAAATAAATTACATTATTACATTATGTGGATACCACACGTCACAAATAAATGATTGGTCGGCGGTCACACGAACTGACGAATCATCCCAGAACTCAACCTTCTCTTTAATGATCTCATATTTCAAACATTCATAACTTCCTTACTAGTGATCCGATTCATTCCAAACTTTTGCCATTCTGTTTCTCTTATTTTTTTTTTGCTTTCATAAAAATCAACTTATAAGGGTTGGATTGCCCTTTAACAATAAGAGAGAGAGAGAGAGAGAGAAAGACAAAGAGAGAAGAAAAAGGAACGTATGTATTTACAAAGCCGCTTACCTAAAACATGTGAAAAACAATTCTCTAACTCGCATTATTTACCCAATTTAGCAAGAGTGAGTGTCAAATAAAATAAAATAACCCTTTATTAATTTTGTGTCCAATTTCATCATTTCGTCATTGATGACGACTCTGTTTGAACATCATAATGATAATAATAATTATTGATGAAGATGATACTAATAACAACAAAACGACAACAGTATAGGCCTACTGGAGTAGTAGTAGGCCTAGTTGTAGTAACGACAACAATATTGATAGTAATTGGTCTACTGATAAAATAATAGGCCTCATGTGATGATGATGATAAAGAGATGCTTTTGAACGAAAGTTTTGATGATAAAAATGTAGATTTATAAATAAAAAATTTCTTTTCACTTCGGCCGGTCAAAAAGTGCGTGATCTCTACGAAAAATTGAGCATGTGCTGTAAAGTCAACATCCGGGACCCGTTTCACACAACCTTTTTCCAATGAAAAATTACAAAAATCAAGATAACTGACAGGGGCGGATCTAGCTTTTTGCCAGGGGAGGGGGGGGGGGAGGGGTTTGACCAACAACAAAAAATCCAAAAATCGCGCCGTTTTACTGTTTTACTTTTTTTTTCTTTTTCACTTGGTCGCCCAGGGGGGGGGGGGGTAAACCGCCGAAGCACCCCCCCCCCTAGATCCGCCCCTGAATAATCAAAAGCCGGGTTAAAAGCAAGGATTTCATTAGGGAATAGGGGTAAAGCAAGGACATATCACACCCCCTCTTCGTCAGTTACCCTCCCCATCTCATACGGGGTGCTCGGCTTCCTTTTATATGGCACCTTTCTGGGATCGAACTACATTAAAGACAATAAAATAAAATTACATGGGCCCAATGAGAAATGAGCGGGGATAAATGGAATCGTATATATTTCCGTGCCTTGATTAAATTTTGGTTTACTGTATATAGGCCTAAGGGTCGTATAAATTATTCATGAAAACAAGGGGAAATAAACTGAATTTTGGTTCAACAATACTTTCTTCAAGGTTTTTTTTTGTGTGCATTCGCTGAAGAAATATCATGGTTGATGATCGTAAAGGCCCAGCTGAGCCAACTCATAACTCAATAAGTTGTGGGATATAGCCAGGCTATACTCACCCCACCTCCTTTTTCACTATAACGTCATCCTTCCAATCTCGAGACAGTCATTTTATACGTGTGCTTTCTTTCTCTTCTGCTCCTTCTTTTCTCGATCCGCACCTACCCGTCCTCCTCCCCCTCATTTTTATCCTTATTCTTATTTCGCTTGTTCTTGTTCTTGTTCTCGACCTTCTCCTTTTTTCTATTTGTTTTTCTTCTTCCTTTTCTTCTTTTTATAGTTCTCTTCTTAATTATTCTTCCTCTTCTTCTCTTTTTCAAATTTGTGTTTAGAAACTAGACTAGCACAATGGTAAATCGAAAATTAAATGCCGCCCTCAGCGATCGACAGTTTATCGGTCTTTTACGTGCATAAACCTCATTCAACATGGGTTAGTAATCCCACGTGCCCTAAAATTACAAAATTTTACACTTTACATCAATAGTATTATCATTTAATTAGATTTATATAGCACTTTAATATATCTGTGTATTGAATATTATGAGAAAATATCCATATGTAATTAAATGAAGTGAATACTGACGCGTGAATATGCCCGGACATGTGTGTGTGTTGCATTCGCTTTACTAAACTTGCATTGCAATAAACGCATAGCGCCTGCAGAATGCGCGGTATACATACCGTACGGTAAATATATGGACGTGTGATGAATGTGCAACCCTAAACACTAGTCTACGAGCATGATTGCTACCCCATAAGATAAAGGATTTAAATCGAACTTTGAGTCAAGAAATATACCATTGGGTCTATTCTTATAACAGTTACTCTTGTGATATTCATGGTAATCTTTCTATAAACAAAAGGCCTAGGCTAGGGGGAACTGGTCCGAGAATGAGGATCGTCCGCATAAACGCTGACAAATCGCATCCTAAAAAATAAGGATTGTCCACATTTTTGCTGACATTTGGGCGCTAGTGTAGCTACGTATCCATTTTTTAATGGAAATTTAGCCCATTTTTTTTACTAATTTCATAACTAATTATAATCATATAGGCCTAGGTCTAGGCCTAGGCCTAGATCTAGACTATCACATTTTCCACCTGAATTTGGATCACATCCAAAATCAGGAAGCCTCCGTTTAAGGCTTTGATGTCGACGTCGTCGCTCAGTACGATCTCTACGCTAGGGCCTATACAGCTTTGCAACTCAAACTAGCTATCAGTCCAAAATTATGCAAACTTCTTGTATGGGTTATGGTATCGTGCATGCGCGTAGTAGTACTAGTAGTACCATAAACCATACAAGAAGTTTGCATAATTTTGGACTGATAGCTTCAGTTTGAGTTGCAAAGCTATATAGCGTATAGAAACGGTACTGAGCGACGACGTCGACATCGAAGCCCTAAATGGAGGTTTCCCGATGTCGGATGTGATCCAAATTCAGGTGGAAAATGTAAAGTACCCGGTTTTCGGCCACTTAAGACAAAATCCTATTTATTGGACTCTTTACTTCCTATTTATTATCATTTCTTGTTCAAATCATGAAGCAAATATTATTATTATTTAAACAAAAAAAGAATCCAAAAAAAAAAATCACGAATTGCCATGACAATATTCATTTCAATTTTCACTGTTTTGGAGCCGGTTATCGGCCGAGCGTTTCAGTTTACGGCCGCATGTACAAAGTCAATAGGAAGCGCTCGCGCGCGCCGTGCGTTTCTGCGCTGATGTATAGCACAAGCGGGCGGAGCAGGTATCCCACGCCGGAGCTCCCGGGTGCTCGCCTGGCCGAATACAGGCACAGCGGTGATCGGAAGTTGGAATCTGAATTAGACAGACATATCGTGTGTGCGTCGCGGTGTGCGGCTGCATTGATTTAATACATGCGATGAGATACTTTTGAGCTTGCGACCAGCACAAAATCGGGCTCTATATCTGAAAAATACTTGAAATAAAGCTCATTTTATGGTACCCATATTTCTTACATACACGCGTAAGAAACTCGATTTTTCAGATTTGGGTAGCGGGACCGCCGATTACATCGCTAAAATGTGATATTTTAGGATATATTTTTCATTGCAAATGTGGTTCTTCAGTGACACTGGCATGGTATGGTATGGGTGGGATATGTGTTATGCTATTATGCGATGTATTTTAAAGTGATTTTACCATGTATCCAACCAATTGGCCGAAAACCAGAGCTGACCGATTACCGGGTACTTTACTCTAGTCTATGATTATGATTAAAATTAGCAAAAAATTGGGCTAAATTTTCTTTGCTAAGAATGGATATGAAACTGCTAAAAAAAAATGGATACAGAACTACACTAGCGCCGACATTTGTTTTCTACAGCACTCTGCGGGTGTAGGGTTTCCCGATCCGAGCACTGGCAATACGAAAAATGGATTCCGCTTTTTGCGTCATCACGTGGATCGGGAATAAGAATCGTTAGCAAAAATGCCGACGATGGATCCTTTTTTTTTAGGACACGTCTGTTCACGTTTACGAAGACGATCCTTGTTTATGTGGATGGCCCTTATTTTCGGACCAGCGATAATTATGTCATCAATTTTTATGATTTGCCAGTGAATCTCTTTACGATAATGGATTACCCGAGTCCTGACAAGAATTTTTTGAGTATAGATATCAGTGTCACATCCCACATGCCATTTTAAAATTGCATTGGATTGGAGAGGACTTTGGACCATAATTGCTTCAGTTAGTGGAGAAATTGCCAAAAAGATGGATGAAATGAGTCCTAAGAATTACCAGTTTGTTGATGAGAGAAAAAATTGTTATTAGGTTTTTGATTTGCCAACAGATTCCTCTTGTGTTTTTGAAACCACCATCTGGAAAATGAAAAGATTTAAGAAGAAAAAATTATTTGAAGGCACATGCAGCTCTAAACAAACCAGATTATTAACAATGCACAGGGCATTTATAGGCTTGTTACACCACACAATTTTTAACACCAAGGCCCAAAGAGTAATACATGTATACATGTTGATAGGATATTACTACTGTATCCAAAACTGACCAATATTACCAATAAAACTGTCCCAAGTACTAATTGTCACTGTCAGCCAGGGGTTAATGTAATCTTTTTCTGTTAAGAATGTTACTTTGACCTAATTGTTCAGGTAATGGAGGAATTGTTTTCAGTTTTATTAATGTTAAAACATTGTTTTTGTACTTATTTTGTCATCAGGAAGTGGAAAGCCAAGAGGTCTTAGGACAGCTCGCAAGCTGCGCACCCATCGCCGAGATCAGCGATGGCATGACAAAGATTACAAGAAGGCTCACTCCAGTACTGCTCTAAAGGCCAACCCGTTCGGAGGTGCCTCTCACGCCAAGGGCATTGTTCTGGAGAAGGTTGGAGTGGAGGCTAAGCAGCCCAACTCTGCTATCCGCAAGTGTGTCAGGGTGCAGCTCATCAAGAACGGCAAGAAGATCACAGCTTTCGTTCCCAATGACGGTTGCCTCAACTTCATCGAGGCAAGTGCAGAGATGTTTTATAATCTCCACACAAGTCCATTTTTTATGAAATGATAAGTTCAAATAATTAGCAAAATGATAACTTGCCTTAGATGGGTGATGTCATTTGCATGTGATGGATCTGGACATATACTTATTGGAAATAATGTGATCTCAATAAATTAAGGTCTGTGCGTTAATGTGGTCCTTTCTTTAAGGTAATACAAAGTTTTGGTATGGAGTCATGAATTCGGTCCAAATGAAAATATTGGAAGCATATGCGATCCTACAATATTCAGTGATCGTTGTCGCGGTTGAAATCGAGTCTAAAGTTATGAAATAGTAAATAAAAAACTTGTTATGTTGTATAGCTCCCTCTTAAGGTCGAGCTATAAAACAATGTTTCTTGACTAAAATCGACCGATTAGCTATTCCCATTTGAAAATTATATTTCACAATTAAATTTCCGAGATTTTCATGGTCGCAGCTTCCATCGTACAGTCGTAGGCGCTATTTGAAATTTTGATGTTCAATTTTTCTCGAAAGCAGAAGTGTTTTAGGGGCTAAATTTTCTAGTGCTTATTATACATCCCCAGGGTCATCCAAATATACCAAAATTGTAAAGAATCATTATCCACCCAATTTTCAAATTTTCCCAAAACTTGGTATTACCTTTAACGATTTGTTGGCTTTGATTAATGTTCCATTTATTTTCCATAAATCTCTAGTTTCAAGAATTAACAATCAGAGCTTACCTGTCATAAATAAAAAAAAATATTTGGAGAACTGATTCTATTTGTTATTTTCAGTAAAGTAAATTTTCTTCAAAATATACATCAAAATATTAGTGCTTGTCCTCAAAATATTGTATCAAGACAGTTACATCATATAATAATAATAATAATACATGAGATTTATATAGCGCCATTATCCATTTTAATTAAATGCTCAAGGCGCTTCAAAATATTAGGGAACACATGACATCATGACAAAGAATCGTGTACATTTACATAAGAAAGAAAATGCAATAATAATAAGAAAAAAAATATCAACAAAAATTGTCTGCTTTGTTTTGCACCCAAATTATTTTGCTATACCTTTGTGTAATGAAACGCTTGTGCTTTCTTTTGTACAGGAGAATGACGAGGTGTTGGTTGCTGGATTCGGTCGTAAGGGACATGCCGTCGGTGATATCCCCGGAGTTCGATTCAAGGTTGTGAAGGTTGCCAATGTCTCGCTCTGGGCTCTCTTCAAGGGAAAGAAGGAACGTCCCAGGTCATAGATGGTTTGACAAGGATTACTGTCAATAAAATAATCATCATGTACATGTAGGCAACATTGGTCTCGTATTTGTGGGTTTGTTTTGTCTCACGGTGGCTCATACATGGTTTTGCAAGTGCGAACAACTGATGTGATTGGAAGTATATCATGTTGATGGTACATTTGATGTGATTGGAAGTATATCATGTTGATGGTACATTTGATGCGATTGGAAGTATATCATGTTGATGGTACATTTGATGTGATTGGAAGTATATCATGTTGATGGTGCATTTCAAAGCCCTTTTCATTGAATAATTTTTAAATGTAATTTTACCTATATAATAGCCTTCTGCCTAAGATGAATATATGAGATAATGAGACTCTTCTTGTGAATTTGAAAAATCCTTCCACAAGTGATATAAAGAGAAAGAGAAAACTTGCAGGAATACGGAGGCTGAAGTTCATGTAGAGCTGGGAGAGTTCGCAAGATCAAAAAAAATATATTTACACAAATGTTTTAGAGATACAGAGGTAGCTAGATTAAAGTCAGATTTATTGGAATTTTGAGGTAAAAGTTGATACATGATATGGAGAGAATGAATATCTAGAAACAAAATGCATGAAGGTAGCAGTAGCTACAGATGGAAACGGAGATAACACGAATATAGACTTGGAGGTTGATACACAGTTGGAAAAGAAAAGTTGCAATTTTTCACAACAAATTAGAGGTGATCCAAGAGAGATAGCGAGGTCAAAAGAGGGTATGGATGTGGAGATTGATGATACAGAGATGGAAATAAAGGATATCTAGTGAAAGATAGAGAGGTGACAGTAGAACCTTTTTATAACAACCTTCTTTAAATCAAGGAAATTATCTTGCTACAGTTGGACCTGCTTTAGCGATCACCTGTCTACAAAGACCACGTTTTGTTTCCCTTGAAAATGGTTTCTCATTGAAACATGTACTATAAGCACCTGTACATAAATAAAGACCACTTTTCTTGTCTCCCTTTATAGACAGGTTTCACCGTTTATCAAAATATAGCAGGTATTCAAAAAAAAAGAAATAACAAAATATGGGACTGTTCCCTTCACAAAGGTTTCACTGTACATCTACATGAAAATAGATACAAGAGGCTGGGACAGAGATGCAAGAGAGAGGTAGCAATGTCTCGGGAAGAAAGCAAGAGGTAATGGGATTCCAGAGCTGGAGGTTGATGAAGAGATGGAGCTGAGAGGTTGCAAATCAAGAAAGGGGTGAATGATAGCCCTATATACGGGGATGGATGTAGATAGGAGAGTTAGAGGCTGATAACCGTTAACGTAAGACAAGAGGAAGCAAGAGGCAGGAAATGAGTTTGGACATATTGCAAATTTACACAAATATCTTTTATGGTCAAAACAATTGCACCTGCTAACAGTTTTTTAATGGAATCTTCAATTAAGAATTTTACAATTGATTTCAATAAAAGAACAGCTGAACAAAGTAAAATATGGAAAATGCAAGGGCAATCATTTTTGTCACGTACATACAATGTATCATTACAAGTACAGAGAAATGATAAAAAGAATGGCTACATGAACGTGGTACTCTTTATTCATTGTAATACAGACTAAGCCAGTAATAAATAACCTCCGCCCTTGGTTAAAAGGGAATATTTTACTGTTGTAGCAAACTGCATGCTATGAAAGCCAAATAAAATTAAAGTAAAGTTTTTCTTCAGGATGACTATCATTTCAGGCCTCCACAGCTACCCACAATTGCCATTTTTGGAGAAACGTAATAAGAGTAGACTGCCCATACTTAAGCATGCAGTAGGTACATAGGAACAGGACTTGTAATCTCATTACTTATTACAGGTACCTTATTTTGTGCCACGACATCGCCTTTTATATTTGAAATCCCTCTTCATATTCTAGTTACTGTATCTGCTAATCAAATATTTAACATTTAAAAATGATATGACGCAAAATTAAACCAAGTGTACACCAAGATGCTGTACGAGAACCAAAAAGGTTTCACATTGATTTTGCATTACTCGTGTGAAGCAGCCATTACAACATGTACCCTGAAACTGAAACAATGACAAACTTAAACTCTTGAAATCTCTGGAGAAAAAAATGAAAATATGAATTATCATCAAGTTTGACTGAATCCTGACTTATGTCAAATGGGATAACTTCCAAGGTATATTTTTAAAAAGTTTTTTAAAAATACTGGGAGGGGGGTAGTATCTTGTTTTTGACAGAGGGGAGTTTAAGGGTAAATAACTGCTCAAAGAATAATGGCCTTGGTGTAAAGTGGAAGCAGAACACCTAAAAAACATTGTTAAAAAGATTAATAAAATATTTAATGAAGAAAAAGAAACTTAGATTTCATTCAAAGGTTACAAAAAAAACACTTAAGATCTCTCATTGGCACTCAAGCAATTATATTTGATGTCACAAAATGAAATGCCCATATTTCTAAAATTCCCTCTAATACCAGGTAGCTATCGTCTGATTTTCATGATGTATATGACATATTATAGGTAACCTATTTCCTTACATTTAATGAAAATATGCATCATTCTAGAAATGAGACTGCCAGAATGGTGACATCTTTAGTAATTTTGGCCACATACATGACTGCTTCGCCAATCACAGATTGCAGATTACAATCTTGACATTAAAACTAAATACTTTGTAGTCTGTTGCCTATTTATTCTTCAACTTTCACGAGTCTCTTTCAAATAATTTGTATGCTCTCATTCAGGCCATAAAAATATGAATTCTCTTGAAGAAAAGTTGCACAGCTCACAATACATGCAATAAAAGATAATATATAAATCATAATTTCTTGAAAATTGTATCTTGAAACATATTTCATCAATGTCATATTGTCTTGTGACCTCCGAGATAATTTGAAATGAGTAAAATACAAATAAAGGAAACTATTTAATAATAACCAAATCTACATTTCAGTGAATTCAAATAAAAACAAATATTGCAGCTGTCATGAAATCATGAAACCACTCCTATTTCACCGAATACACCAATTACCCATTTTCACGTACTAGTAGCTGCACCAATGAAATATAAGGACCATTTTCAAGCAGGTTGAGCTTGACTTCATTATTTCATTACCGGTATGTAAAAAATGTCATGTATTCAATAAAGTCTACATAGTAAGACCAATTTGTCCATTTGACCATTAAAGGGATTGGGTAACTTTGTCTCAGATTCTGAAACAAAATCCTGGATTTAGCTCATGCTGCAATGATGATTATAAACCTTTTAGTCAGTCAGGAACCCCATGACTTTTACAAGCTGATTGCCTGTCTGTTTATCGAGGTATTTATGATTGGAAATCGAAATCAAATTTTTCGTTTTTCTAATGGTTTTCATAACGGTCTATTGGGGAAAACGAGTATGGTAAAACCGGTCACTCAAAGAATTTTACATTTTTTGAGGCACTTCTTGATCATTTTGAAGCGCAATTTTTTTAGGGCTTCAATATGACAACGTATCACAGACACTGATAACATGTAGGGCCGTGCATTTCAGATTTAACATTGTTTAACGATGCCTTATAGCATGAGACTACTACTAACTAGGGAGTTAAACCCCTTAGAAATGTACATGTTAAAGAAAACACCACTTCCTCTCAATCGGTTGTACGTATTATAGGGCCTTTTATTGTAACAGAAAATACCTATACAGAAGTGAGATGGGTTAAAGACTTTTCAGTTCTTTTGTAATCTATTATGTAGTGTCATTGGTCTAGCCATCACAACCTTACTGATTAAGGTCATTAATCTATAGAGTAATTTGTAAAGCTTTATTTTCCAGGTTACATCCTATGGTTTCTTGCAAACTTAAATATCAATCAAACCAGGTTTTAAACCATTTCAAAGGCTATACAGTTCAGGATGCTGGGTCTAACATTAAATCCATTGTTCCAAACAGCGAATTTGACCAATGAATTGAACAAAAAAGCACTTTAAAGGTACTATGTCCCTTTTGCAGCCAACCTCAAATTCTGTAGAACTTTGCAGGAATTATGAATATGTCATGTATGTCCTATCTGTGAAATTTAAACGTTGGCAGTGTCCTCATATTCAAATTATGCAAGGAAACCCGTTTACTTGCTAGACTTCACTGTCAGACACTATTGAGTGACTGACTGGCTTTTTTTCTTCTTTGGTAATAACATACATAAAAAGAGTTGTAAAGGGTACATGAGCATTTGTCTACATCAATAACCCACTTCTTGTGATGGCCAAGATTAAACTGAGTGAATCTTTGCGCAGCATAAAACGTATGACCATTCGGTACAATTGTCTGAAAATCAAGACTATTACTTTTGGGCTCTATAGCCCTAAAGTCGATTTGACAACTAATAGTCGTTATTTTCCCACTTGAAGACATTTTCAAGCCCCACCTTTTTTAGGTAAGTTCTAAATTAGTATTATCTTTCAAATGCAGTTGGAATTTAACTTTTTCATTTTTTTGGCCTGCAAATGGGACATAGTACCTTTAAGTTTATGGGCCTCTGATTTTGATAATCTGTCACAAAAAGCACAGATTTGCACGATGGGTTGAAGAATGAAAACAAGAAATACATGTATGGATGTTCTGTTCTCGTTAGCACAAACATTTTTGAGAATGAATACTTGGCCCTGTCTCATAAAAATATTTGCAATTAATTGCAACTCTGTACTGACGAGATATGAGATGTGATTGATATCAATTGCAAATTATTTTTTAATCAATCGCACCTGTTTTTATATAAGACAGGGCTTTGACTGTCAGTTCCTCTTTCATTGTTGCACATTTTCTATCTTGAAATCGCAATATTGAATAAATCCATTCTTTTGATTTCATAACTGTCACCAGCTACGGCTCTCAGCATTACACATGAATTCCTACAATGCAGCTGACTGATATGGATAGTTTTCACTTTTCACTGAAAAATCCTTAACAAACATCACTATGCATGGGAAAAAAGAAACCTTTTTCCCAACAACTTGCCAAAGTATAACTCTTATTCTTAGAACAAGTGAACGATGGCTAGGGTCTTGTGCAGGAAAAAATCCAATACATGGTCCAATTACTGGACAGTAAGCTATGAGATTTCATTGTTAGCTCTACTGTGTGATGGACTAATGCAGAAGGAGATTGCGATACCCTAGTAAGGACTGTCGTCTTCAACCCCTTCTCTTCATCTGATGTATCCATGGCGATGCGGCTCCATCGCTCATCCAGGATCTTCATCTTGTCTTCTCCGGGTTCCACTGTTTCTCACGTTTTCCTCTACCACTTTCTATAGATTGAAAAAAAGAGATGAATGTTTGCGTTTTTTGCGTGTGTCACAAAAGTGATTGATTAGACTGAGTATCACCCCCAAAAAAATAACAGTTGTGGACTCGTGATATTAATAATGTCTTGAGACCCAACATTTTTTCTTTATATGTGTGGCATATTTTTCACAAAATAATTGGATTACTGCAATAGTTGTAAAGCAACAAGAGATTTCTTATTGTTAGGATTTTTAAACATATTTGCTACCTATTGAAATAAAATTACATAAATATAACTGCCATTATCAAACCATTCTTCTTCATGTCAGCTAAGACAGATTAATTTAATAATAATAATAATAATATACTGTACTTATATAGCGTATATCACAATATCACAATAGGTCTCTATGTGCTGTAAGAAAGAGTAAGAAGGAAAGGTGGATAGAGTAACACAAGAAGAGTGAGATATGCTCAACATACTTCCTCTCGTTAACATTGGAAAGTATTTTTGAAAAGAAATTCTACATACGGGATGTCTCTGAAGGCAAACATTACCTATTTCCCTTCGCATTGAATATTTGCTCGGTGTTTGGCGCCCCCTTGGGATGATGGAAACGATTCTTGCTATTTGGAGGCACACTGATGGCTGGTCTCTGCATACTGGCTAACATTTCTAGGTTTTTTTAAATCGCACGAAAAGAAGAAGAAGGAGAAAGAAATAATAGTTTTAAAATCATCATCATCATCATCATCATGTGACAGCAGCATCTGTGACGAAGCTTATTCTTTGACGCCACTTGCTTTAAAAAAAAATTACATCTATGCCATGCAATATCTATTATAACATGTATGTCTAGCAACAAGCAGTAGTTTGGGCATATCGAAGCCTGCTTTAGTATTTTGATTTTAACACTACCTAGGTACATCTTTACATTTTTTCTCGGAATGCTAATTTTACAATGGATCTAAGCAGGGCAACCCATTGTGAACAAATTTTCAATTCAAGGCATATACTGGTAGTCACCTTACATTTTTATTATTTAAACTTTTACCCATGTAAACTTTGGTTGGATAAAGTGACGAAGTTTCTCTAATGTGTGTCTTCACGACATGAGTGTTAAAGACGTTCATTACCATTCTGTATATACTGCTTACCTTCATAGTCCTCCTCTTCCTGCCTCTCGTTGATGTTGAGAGTCAGTTCCTTCATTCTCTGTTTCTCTGCTTTCTCTGCCTACACGGAATAAATGATGAGGTATTGAAAGATGAAATAATGCTGCAAAATCCTAATGATAATAATTATAATAATAACCAATAACACAGTACAGTCAAACCTGCTTTAGTGACCATCTGTCCTGTTGTTTCCCTTGAAAATGGTTTCTTGTTGAATCATGTACTAAAGGAACCTGTCTACAAAGACCACCTGTCTACAAAGGCCACTTTTTGTGTTTCCCTTGGGTGGTCGCTATAGCCAGGTTTGACTGTAATAACCCAACAAAAATACACACTAATAAAGTTAACTTAGACAAGATAAACAAGAACAGGGAAATAGGATTGATGAATGAGGAAGTAAGATTGAAAGAAAGTGAAAAACAAAAGAAATTCACTTAAATATCAGGTAAAGCTGACGGCTGACAAGAAAAGCAACTAAAAATCATATTGCCCTTGTTTTCATAACTAAAATTTCACAGTAAAATTGTAATGATAAATTCTCTATGCAGCATGCATACCTCCTCTCTGTTCTTGAGGTTAGCAGCTAGCTCTGAGTTGACCGGGACCTCAAACTCCTTGAACTGCTGCTTGTTTCCCTTCCGGGTCATCAGCACAAAGTTCACGGTGCCTGGATCCTCTGGCTCCTCGGCTGCAACAGGCTGGAGGAAGGGGTTAAAGTTCACCGGTTTGATGGCTGTCCGAGCCTTGATGTGGAGCGGTACCCCGATGTCCAGCTGAGTTACTTTCATGGACTCGGCATTCCTTTGCTGTGGGGATGAAATAAAAGAAATGCTTTTATGCACGACGCATACATACACTGATCAGACTTTGGAATGAAAGATTCAAAGTTCATGGGGTAAATTTGAGGGAAAATGTTCACAGATGCTCATTATTAAGAAGACTTCATTGAAAACGATAGGAAACGTCATATTGTACATTGAATTCATATTGAGTATAGATACCATAGATAAGAATGCAGATCAAAATTGAAGGTCACATGATGAAATATTAGTGATGTAGTATGAAAACAGGCAGCATAATGGTGACTTAAAGGAATTGGGTAACTTTGTCTCAGATTCTGAAACAAAATCCTGGATTTAGCTCATGCTGCAATGTTAATTATAAACATTTAGGTCAGTCAGGAACCCCATGACTTTTACAAGCTGATCGCCTGTCTGATTATCAAGATATTTATGATTGAAAATCGAAATCAAATTTTGCGTATTCCTAACAGTTTTCATAACACTACAGTCTATTGGGGAAAACGAGTATGGTAAAACCGGTCACTCAAAGATGTTTACTTTTTTTAGGCACCTCTTGATCATTTTGAAGCGCAATTTTTTCAGGGCTTCAATATTACACCACATCACAGACACTGATAACACGTAGGGCTGTGCATCTCAGATTTAACATTGTTAAACGATGCCTTTAAATCATACTGAAATAATTCTATTTTAATCCATGGAGGCAAATCTCTCCTTAAAGATTAGACAGAATTGAGAAGGTAAGAGAAGGAAAAGGTCACAGTAGCATCAAGTAGACAGGAATCAAAACTTGACTAAATTATACTGAGAATGTTGTTCTTTTTTCACCTGAATGTTTTCGGACAGCATCTTATCAAAAGCAGCAGTGAAGTCTTCATCTTCATCACACTCCAATAGCTTAGGGCCTCCTGTGATCACAGTAACCTATAATCAAAACCAAACAAAGGAAATCATACATTGCTTTTCTGTTCAGGTGACTTCATTAGGTTATCTCATGCAGGTTGAAAAGTAAATTTACATAGTGATTCTTACATGGCAGGTCGTTTCATTACAAAGCAAATCATGTTCAATAAATTTTAACCTGTGCTACTTGTCTGATATGAGGTCATCTATTAGGAATTACATTTGGACAACAAATCTGAACAGAGACAAGGATCATACTGTGAATTCTATTCAGATTTCCAATCACACATTATGAGTTTAATTTGTAACTTTTCATGTTTGACTGAAATGAAATACAGGTTTTGAATTCATATCATCAAGGCACGATATACACCTTTACGAAATGTATGAGTACAGAATGCAGTGAGCTGCTCTGTTTTGTGAAAATTCAGATTTGAAGTCCTTATTGCTTTCAGTCTCATTCTCATTGACTGATACTACTCTTACTTTTTTGTGGAAATCAGGAAACTATTAAAGACATGATTCACTGAACTTACATTGTCGTCATCCTCATTCTCTCCGACTGAATCCATTGTTAAACTCTCTTCATAGTCACCATACATCTAGAATAAACAAAAAAGGAAATCACATGGTGGTATTGAAGCATTTTATTAAGACTTTCTAATTATGATACCAAAGATCAATAAACATTGTGCGTTATATAAAAGGTTTGGGCCATTTCTTCAATATCACGGTATATAAATGTCCTCTCTTACAACACAAATAAGTTTGATAAAGCCCCAAAGTATCAGATACATGACTATCAAAAGAATATATTGTTTATGGAGACTTACTTTGACACATGTTAAAAAAAGGGACCTTAAATACAAGCAAATAACAATAAAACTTTTCTTACTTGTAGCAAGTTCTTAAAGATAAACTTTGTTGAAACTTACACTGAATGTTCTAGATTACAAATAAATGTCATTTGCCAAACAATTTTGGTAGAAAACTTATACTGGCTGAGTAATGAGCATAGAAAGATAAGGAAATCAAGGTAAGCTAGCCCCTATTTTGTGTAGTCCCATATACATCTTTCTGTGTACAGTGCTTGTTACTTTACCAAGACTGGGCCAAATTTATTATGATTTTGAAGACTCCAGAACCTTGCAGTACACACCAATACTTACATGCTACATGATCAACTGTTTCTGAACCATTCCACACCTTTTCTTTCGCAATACAATCGCATGACCAGAACTCAACTTTATCTTTAACTGCCTGTTGAAAGTCTGTGATTTTAAATGCGCATTCTTCCTCCCCAAGTATTGAATCTACAAGATCATGCACATGAAAACCCAGCGGATGTAAAGCCAATGCCTTGGTCTGTGTCTATTTCGTACACACTAATACTTACATGCTACATGATCAACTGTTTCTGAACCATTCCACACCTTTTCTTTCCAATACAATCGCATGACCAGAACTCAACTTTATCTTTAACTGCCTGTTGAAAGTCTGTGATTTTAAATGCGCATTCTTCCTCCCCAAGTATTGAATCTACAAGATCATGCACATGAAAACCCAGCGGATGTAAAGCCAATGCCTTGGTCTGTGTCTATTTCGATCACTAGACCTAGATTTTGGTCTTAAAACTTGGATTCAAAGCAGGTAGAATCGAGTGCCGACACTAACCTCTTCTTGCTCTTCTCCTGTATTCTGACTCTGACTGTTGGAGGCGCTGTTCACTCCTGCTCTACGACCGCGCCCATCGTCCTCACCGTCCGAGGTTTCATCGTCGTCATCATTCAGTGACATAGACTCCATGCCTGTTCACAGGAAGAAAAGTCATATGTTTGCACACACATTCATAACTCTTAAAAGTCGTACTGCAGTCGCACTGCCAAACCAACTCCAAACTGACTCCACACCAACCAAGTTATGGCAATCAGGGGTACCATAATGCAGTTGTTTGCTCGGTCTGACTTTGGTCCTGTATCATTGTCATTGGTATGACTTTGGTACCAAAAGGGTCATGATGGGTTTGTGCAAGTACTTTTTCTGCCTGGATACCAAATTTATTAAATGCAAACCATTAGAATATCTTTATTTGTCAAAAACACTTTTCACACAAAATTCAGTGTGTAAACATTTGATAAAGAGTACAATATTAAAGCCCTTCTCAACCGTTTGGAGCCCCAAATTCGCCAAAATTTGGATGGCAAAATTTCACCTCAATCTTATAATGGTGTAAAAAGGATGGCATTAAACACACACTTCTGCAAAGATTCCCCCCCCCCCCCTCCCCCACCCAAAAAAAAAAAAATGTGTTTGAAGTACGTTGAATATCAATGAAAGAATACAAAATTTGGGTTTTCTGTTGCACGCAGAAACCCAAATTTTTAGTTCTTTCCTCACTATTGGTCTTCAAACAAATTTGTTTTGGAAATCTTTGCAGTAGTGTGTCTTAAATGACATCCTTGTTCACATCGTGAACCCAAATCACAATTTAGGTGAAATTTTGCCATTAAACTTTTGGGGCTCCCAACACTTTAAAGATACTATGTCCCTTTTGCAGCCAACCTCAAATTCTGTAGAACTTTGCAGGAATTATGAATATGTCATGTATGTCCTATCTGTGAAATTTAAACGTTAGCTGTGTCCTAATATTCAAATTATGCAAGGAAACCCGTTTACTTGTTAGACTTCACTGTCAGACACTATTGTCAGTATTTGAGTGACTGACTGGCTTTTTCTTCTTCTTTGGTAATAACATACATAAAATGAGCTGTAAATGATTAGTCTACATCGATAACCCACTTCTTGTAACGGCCAAAATTAAACTGATTGAATCTATGCGCAGCATAAAACGTACGACCATGCGGTACAATGGTCTGAAAATCAAGACTATTACTTATTGGCTCTATAGCTCCTAAGTCCATTTGACAACTTATAGTTGTTAATTTCCCACTTAAAGACATTTTCAAGCCCCATGTTTGGAAGGGGATTTCTAAATAAGTGTTATCTTTCAAATGCCATTGGAATTTAACCTTTTCATTTTTTTGGCCTGCAAAAGGGACATAGTACCTTTAAAGCTTTAAAGGAGATAAAACTGTAATGCATATCATAAGCAAGAGACTAACATGATTTACACTTATCATTAGGTGATTATTCCATTTTGGATGGAAGAAGAAAAATCTACATCTGCTTATATCTTGATAGAAGCGTTAAAAAATCAGAGAAGAAACACACCTTGAGATAAGCTAGATTGATCCTCATTGCTTTCTATGATAGGCATCAACCCTTGACCTCCCCCAGGTGGCTGGACAATGGTCAGGTGAACCTCTGGCAAGACAGATGCTGAATCAAAATAAAAAGGGATGCAAGTTAAAGAATAGATACTTTTTCTCAAACATTTCACATTCAATCATTTAGAATGTTTAATGATGTGGAAAAGTGGCAACTTATATGACATTCAAGAAAGAATATCAGGATATCCGCACATAGTTAGATTGCACTATACCGGTACTCTGATTTTACCTTCTACAAATGCGAATAAGCCAGAGTAAACTGTACATCAATATTAAGCTTATGAAATCATATCACTTGTACTTTAAGTAACTTTGTCGATCAAACTTTCTCTCATTTTTGTCAATGATGGAGGAAGGGGGCATGGTACTTGTTTCCTTTAATTTCTAATCAAATATAGCATAAATTTCATCTTGATTTGATCCCATAAACTCTGATCAAGAGGACACAACACTTTCCCACAAAGTCCCAGCATATCATCACACCTGGGGGTGTTTCACAAAGATTTTAAGAGGAACTTAACTCTAAGTTAGACTTAAAAGTTATGGAGAGCCATTTGTAGCCTTAAAATAAAATACATTCAAAAGCAAAAATTCAAGTATTTTAGACTTTTCATGAATTCCACATCAAGAACATGATATCTCCCATGATAATAGAAAATATGAATGATTTAAATTAACATTCTATGCCTTTTGAAATATATTTTACAAAAGATGCTAACAGCTTTCCATAATTTTTAAGTCCAACGTAGTGAAACATCCCCCTGGGACCCTTTTTTCCATGACAAATGACAAAAATCAGTGAAAAATCTGCTGATAACCAATCAGAAGCAAGGATTTCAGTAGCTTACAACAAGAACTGTCGTTTGTCACTGATGACAAGTTTTGTGAAATGGGGCCCAGGACACTTACAGAACTTCTGCATCTGGTCCTTCTCCAGCTGTTCCACCTCCTTGGTGGCCTCCTCCAGGGAGCTGAAGAGCTTGATCTTGGGTCGCAGAACCTCAATGCTATCAGAGATGGCATTATCAACGTCCATAGGGAACGGGTGGTTATCAGCACTCCAGTAGGCCAGGCTGCGCTTGTACAAGATATATTGCTGATGGAGAACAAGAATATAAGAAAAAGAGGTTTTAAAACAGACCAGTAGTTGATGGAATTGCTGCCATTCTGCTTCAGAATAAAAAAGAGTTCATCTTCATTATCAATGCCATCATTACCATTTACCAATGTCCTTTTTAGCAGGATAAAGCATTCAAGTACCAGTACACACAATATTTTAATGCATACTTCAGAGTGGTTAAGAGTGCCCATGAATATTGGGAGTTTGTTCCATTTCTTCCATTTTCTTTTGCTTGAAGTGACTAAACATATCAGAGAGATATGTCGTCTTTAGATTATGAGTACAAAAGAAAACAATTATTCTAAAGCTAATGATGAAAAGTGGACAAGAACCATGATTTTCACGCTACATGTTGTACTTTTTTTTCCCTTATGTACAAAGAATAAAAACAGGTGTGTCTCACCTGGAAGTAAACAAGGAAGCAGTCCAACTTCTTCTTGCTTGAGCCACGGTCAAAGAACTGACCACAGGTATCTAGCATGGTGCAGACTAGACGGATCCTAAATAGATGCTCAGGGGGATCCAAGGGACTACCAGTATCTAAAGAAGTCAGGAGGACATTTGGCAAAGATGTTGTTTTACATTAAAAGCACATGTTTTTTTTTAAGTTAAAAGTATAAATTTTGTACATTAAAATGACAATTTTATAGTTTTTAAATGGGAGTATCTCTATTAAATCACACAATTCTTAAAAAGTACTTTCAAGTTTCAATTCAGAATCAGTTCAGTTGATATCCACAATTCAAATATAAACGCAATTAGAAACAAGGAAACATATACTAAAAACTATATATTACATTAAAAGAAGAAATACAAATCAAAATTAAGGGATTGACTGATGCAAATCTGTCTCTCAAAGGTCAATCTCACATAACATTAAAATACAGTAAAGTTCTGACTAGAATTTGGTTTCAAATACAAATAAAGGGCTATATAGTTTAATTAAGCATAACATCTTAGAATTAGCATATGCATCTTGCTAAACAGATCAGATCATCAATAGAGCGCTTTTGCAAAGACGACGAAAGGCAAAGACGACGGTATTGCGAGCGAAAAAAAATCAATCTACGCATGCGTGAACCAGAATTTTCTCTGTCTTGTACATTTTCAAGACCGTTCTCGGCCATAATAGCTTTCGTTCCCCTAAACATGACGGAAGAGCTGTATCGCTGTGCAATCGCAATATAGATATCATACGATCATATATATCAACTGTACTTTGTGATCGACTATCCAATTTTTGACATATTAATTATTATCGACACTTTTTCTGACACGTACACAACTACACATCAACGTTCCCGGTATTGAAACAGGTTACAGATGAAGACAGGAGCATAGTACAGGCCGATCTCGGTTGAGTAAATTCTCCCGTCGTCTTTGCTTCCGTTGTCTTTGCAAAAGTGCTCTAATGATGGTTAAAGACTAACTTACCTTCCAGAACAACTCCAAACCTAAGGAGGGAATACAGAGTCTTGAAGATCACGCTCGACTCCACCATACGATAGTTGTACAGCTCTCCCAAGAACTTTAGTATACTCACTCGACGTTGGTTGTACTTAGGGTAATTGATCTAACACAAGAGATAAAATAAATAAAAAGCCCACACAATGATGTATCTTTGAGTACATCCTGAAGACATGCAGATTAAGAATATAAAATGTGGTAATTTTCACCTTTCTTTCTGTTATGTATTGATAAAAGGAATTAAAAGTCTCTATATTTGATATAAAATATGAAGTCAGAAAGAGTGAAATAAGTATGGAACTTTTGAAAAAGGAGATGCAATAAACTCTATCCCCTTCATAGAAGGGCTTATAACTGGTTCTTGCTATTTATTGTAATATTTAACAGAACCTTAGTGCAAAATATATTGTCTGCACAAAGAATGCTTAAATAAATAATTTGCAATTAAAATATTTTTTTCAGTAAAACTGTAAACAAATTTGATTCTTACAGAGCTTTATCCATATTAAACAAAGATAAGTATTCATATATGAGTAAAACGTGGTGAAGGGAGTGATAAAAGTAACTTCAGTATCGTTTTCATCATCTTCATCATCATCATCACTATCATCATCATCATTGCCATCATCATCATCATTGCAATCATCACCCTCATCATCCTCCTCACCGTCAGTAACATCATTATTAAATGTTTATGTACCTCCATTCCAATGCGGAGATCTTCCAAGATGGCGTCTACCACCTGTATGCCAGCATCGTCATGATAGAGAACAAGTCCTGCTAATAGGTTTGCCAAGCAATGGAGGTTGTTGTATTTGACATTCCATACACTGCTTAAACACTTCACTGCATACTGCTTGATCTAGAGGGAAAAACAAAGTGAGCCATTCCTTTAATGGGACATGAAACCTTGCAGAAGCTGTGAATGAACTAAAAACCTAAATCAAGGTGATCATCTCATATCACAGAAAAATTGCAAACCCAAAGAAAATTATAATCTAGATGCTTCATCCATCATTTTTTGGCGAAAATCATCCAACAACGATGGAAAAACGCCTTTAAATTCAACAACAACAACATCAAAAATATCACCTTGACAAATTAGACATATACTAGTAATTCATGTGACAAAGCATATCATATCTCTAAATACAATGAGTGAAATGACAGCATGTTGTATCAAACAAGTATTATTATGTCCAATAAGAGCCGTTGATAATTAACATTTTTCTACATAACATTGATCTCATATAAATGCAAAAATAAAAGAAGAGTCTTTATGCCTTCCTTCGTTCTAGTTGCCTCTGCCACTTTCACAATGTTTTAATGTACCTGTACGTTGTCCCAGGGTAGCTTTCTCATCTGCTTCAAGACCTTTTCCACCGATACCTTAGAGAGATCCTTGTAGAGGAGCTTGCGTATATACTCGTGCATCGGAGGCCGTACTTTCCTCTCAAGCTACAGCATGGATGAATGAAATGATAAGCAATGTGGATTAATTTAGTTTTTAATATGCAGGCTCATCATCTATCTCACATCTGCAACATTGATTGTTAAGAAAAGATGAATGAATGCAGAGTGAATCACAAACTTTGAAATCTGACCACAACATGTGTACTTCCAAGGTACCCTCCCTCTTTTGATACATAAACACATATGTCATATGAAATAGACTCTTTTCAGAGTTTTGCTAAGCATATCACATTCAAATGGACCCCTTCCCACTCAATTAGCATTATTTTTATATTTTTCTTTCTAAATAAAACTATTATAAATAAACACTGAGTTGAACAATGAAAAACCTACGGAAAAGGGCTATTTTTATTAGAAAAGCTGCATCACGTACTTGCAAAGTCATGGGTGGTAGGAAATCAAGACAACTTCAAGTGGGGGTGAAAAAGAGTAGCTGCTGCATGCAACAACGGCCCCTAGAGCATACAGACTGATCTTTGTATAATATGGTACAAAAGTGTCAAGGGCACCACGCTTTAATATGTCACTTAATCTTGTCATGGCCCAATCCGTAGGCATTTCACTGCGTCAGGTTAAAAGAGCAATGTAGGAGACCTGCTAATCAATTCACATCTAGAATATAATCAATGCTAATCAAGAGAGTTCACTGACAATCTGTCGACCCGTTCAAAACGTTGAGTCACTCCTACTACCCATCCTCTCCAACTGGCACTATAGTTCACCTTAACTATAAGCTCAAGAAAGATTACCAACAGTCCTTTTAGGACTACATACACACACACTCAAGAAAGAAAGATTACTGACAGTCCTTTTCAGGACTCCCCAATCCTCCCCCCTCTTTCTCACATGGTGCAACCGCAAACCTTCTGTATATCTAAATCACCATGCAAGCCGATACTTATACACAGCATCAACTTGAGTTTACCTTGATGACTTCTGGTGGGTTGCAGTAGAAGAAAGCATTCTCTATCATCGTGCTGTGTCTCTCATTCAAGTGCATCTTGCTCTTCTTTCGCATCATCAGTTCCTGGAAAGAAAGAACAAATAGAGCACACTCCCCTGTAACAGTACCATCGCAAGTAAACGGTTTAACTATTGCTTTATAGTGAGTGTTTAATAGGATTTTTACATACATATATATATAGATATTGATCAGATCTGATATGTACGTCTGGAGAACCAACCATCAATGTCACCATGTGAGGGAACATGGTTTAGGAAGTCCAGAGAGTCTATCTATAGACCATGACACATCCATCAAGGATAGTAGTGGAGTTTATACAGAAATAATAACAATCTTCAACAACAAGTACCGGGGCTCTTTGATTCATAGAGATAAATTAAATAGGGCCATTTCATGATCATCAGTCTAAAAATTCAGTTACAATTTTCCTCATTATTTTGAATATATACGGAGAGGAGCAAACAGTAACACACATTCTAGTCTGTCCCCACCTATCAGAACTCTATATTCCTGAGGATCCTAATGGTAAACTCTAAAAGTAGACCCTAAATTTTGAAATACAATGGATGGGTGCTCTGCATTAACCTGAGACAAAGAATTTATGTGGGCAATTTAGGTCTAATTCCAAGGGCCTTAAAAATGTTCACTGGCATATTCTCTTCATGAATAAAGGTATTTTGAAAGCAAATTGCTTACCAGGAGAGCATTTGTCTTGAGGTGAGAGTCTGGGGAGCGATAGAGGAACCTTCCACAGCTCTCCAGCAAGGCACAAGCCATGTCAATGTTGTGATGACGGAAATCTTGTATCAGGTTCTGAACATCAAAGACATGCAATATATACAATTAAACTTATGCAGAATAGCTATATATTTGTACATTCATATATCTCTGCCTTTTTTCATATATAAAGAATCAGCAAAAAAATGTACAGTTTCAAACATTTAGCACAATTCTTGAATGGATACCCTTTGAATAGGTGTACCTACATATGCAACAAAATGGGTTTGATAATACAAGTGCTCTGAATATTTCAAAGGGCTTCAGGATAATGAAACATGTCGCAGTTAGGTTACTGTTATTTTTTCTACACATGACGCTAAGTTCTAAATATAACCATGCCATTTTTTAGTTGGCAAATCTCAAATTTCTGAAAGGATAGAAGTCTTTGTAGATTGTTGTATTCTTATTTTCATTTAAAAAATCAAGGCTAATCAATTCTGAAATACTTCTTCCAAGAAGTTTATAGCATACATTAAATGTAAACAAGATACTTGATTAAAACTGCTCCAATTTAAAAAGGTATACATTACAATATCTTACAATTTTATGTGAATATACAAAGCATAAATGATATATCATAATCAAAGGTTTTTAATGAATATCAATATAAATGTGAAATGTCAACCCTACCTTAAGGCACTGTAGCGTGTCAGCCTTTGAACACATCTTGAACTTGGTAAGCTCACCTATCAACACAAACGCAGAAACAAACTTTAATTAATAACTGATCTTTATTACAGTGTATTTATGATAGTATATATGTAATTGAACAGAACATGACTAGCAGAATTTGTTTTCTTCAAACAAACTATTCTGATGCACCATCTACATGGATAACGTGGTGTACTCAGATCTTATACTGTCCCTAAAGCAAATGCTTGTCATACCAATAAAGAAGACTGATACATCCCATCCTTCTTCTAGACCATATCATGTATCTTTATACTTAAGCTATACTCCAGCCTTCACAGCTGAACGCAATAACCTTATTATTAAACTACAGATAGTTTTCTAAAAACAAGAGCAATCAGGATATTTTTTATATCTCAAAACTACAGCAGTATGCCACCATAGTAAAATATAGTTTCACAATGTAATTTTTTTTTTTTTGAATAAAATAAGGTGTATCATAATTTCTTCTCACATAATATCAATAAAATTTGTAAAACATTTTCACAAAAAGTCGTAATATGATTTACCAATGAACCTTGACACTTTGATCTTGGATTCCACCATCATTTGATCTTTCTTCCTTACCTGAAACAAAAGGGGGGAAAAGGGGGGAAAAAGAAATTTAAGAAAAAAATTACCATGAAATCCACAACAAATAGATTTGTGCATAAATCATAAATCATTAATCACAAATATAATAAATTATCCACTCCTGACAATTTGGGATGATCTCCACCTTAAGTACTGAAGTACTAATTTTACCCAAAAAACTTGGAGATCTTGTTGTTGACGGGAGAGGCCTTATCTTGAAATACTAAAAATAAGACAAAGTCAATTTTACTGAGGATGTATAATAGTCAATACAATTGCTTACATGCCATCTGAATTCTCCTTTGAGTCTTTCTGCCAGGTCTGTTGCTATATCAGGCATGCATACATACAAAGTGGCTACCAGTCGTGAGTAGAAAGGAAGAAGGTCCAACCTGGAGAGGTACACAAGTAAAATTAACATGATTTTAAAAACATCACTACTACAAATATGTTTTCATGACACTTTATCGATACGTTAAAGACATTTTCTATAACTGAAATATAAGCGCATTCCAACACAGCATGATTCTACATGGAGACAATATGAGGTTTCTGGTCTTTTAGAACCACTGTCTACTAGCACCTACATCATCATTTAGAATGAATATTAATTGTTTGAAAATTCGCCTAAAAAGTGAAGAAAATGCAACAAGTATCAACTACAAATAATAATAATAACATTCACATTTGTATAGAGCTTATTAAAATGTTGTCTCAATGCTTTCCATTGAAATTAAAATCACCTTGGTAATTGGATTCAATTGCTTAATCCGCACATGATAGTGCACACGCTCCGCCTCGTTGGGAGTATTCCTACCAGGCACCATTTTACAAACGCACACATGCAAATCCAACCACATGAACGTTCTCTTTCCACCGAGTACCCATTTAACACCTGGGTGGAGAGTGGCAATTGAAGATTAATGTCTAGCCTAAGGAAATTAGTGCCGCAGTGAGACATTTCCACCAGACAACGACACCTCTTCACAAATTACAAGGTAAACAAAGTTACATTTACTACAAAGACTTTATACACACATACACATTTGTAATAGTGATTGGATAAACTTACCTAACTCTTGGTACGTTGAAGAGAGCTTTAGAGAGTTTTTTCCTATTAGACTTGGTGTTCAGATTCAGGCAGAAATCAACAGCAGCCTGATTGATGGATGAATAGAAATCACAACGGAACATCATTAGAGGTAAACATTTAAAGACCCTGCTCGATGAAAACATAACTTTTTGTCAAAAGAAACCTGAGTGAATGTAGAATATAAAGGAATACAAAATATATTTTTGCTTTAGGTAATGCACAGAAGTAAATTAAAACCTCTTTGTTACTGCACCCATCTAAATTACAGGTCAACAGGGGTCAATCTGATGTACTTACAGTGACGGCATAACATGTGGACCAGATTGGCTTGCCTATATAGCTGAGGCAATAAGCCATGCTTGATTAAAGGTATAGACCAGTTTTGGAAATGCCACCCTTCTCAAAAAATGAAATGGAAACTCTTATTACCAATCATGTGAAAGAATATGTTTTGACTAATACGTGATGATACAAATTTTGCAGGGAAACCGCCTACTAATCGATATATTTGGTAAATGATTTTATCTATCCGGACTAGATAGATATCTCGTAGTCCCAAGTACATCTTTCTGTGTACAGTGCTTGTAACTTTACCAAGACTGGGCCAAATTTCTTATCAATTTGATGATTCCAGAAACTTGCAGTACACACCAATACTTATATTCTAGATGATCAACCTTTACTGATTTCACAAAGTAATCGCATGACCAGGACTGGTCTATATCTTTAATGTAAATTCAGTGTGAATATGCTTACTCCACATTCGATGCTGTCATCAAAGTTGACAACTTCCAATTTTCAAAGCTTTAGATTTCGAGTTTTCAGAGAGCTGTTACTCCTCTGACAGATACTAAAATAGCATATCATCAATATTATTGTAATCTATGGCTTATAAGCTTTTTGTTAATATATAATTCATCTATTCCATTCTTCACTTCCGACAGGGGAATAACATATACATGACGTATGCATTATATTGAATGGCTACATCATAGACTATACATTAAAATGATATATTCAACAGAACATCAATTACAACCAAAGCTCAAGAGTTAATAACCAAACACAGGACAAAAATGATGGTTGTTAACAAAGCGGTTTAAACCTTCAAGATTTTGAAAGTAAGTATACTTGGAATAATAAAAAACTCCAGTATAAGGCAACATCTTCCAAACTCCCAAGCTGCCCTGGTGGAACTAGCCATACTGCATTTAATACAAAGCACTTACAGTTTACATGGGGTATATCAGTAAGCATAATCAAATCAGACGAATCTTATATCATTTAATCAAAAGTCATGTTCCAGGGTAAATGTATCCATCTGTGAAAGACTCAGATCCACATTATGCAAAAACTGTCAAACCTGTCTATAGCAACCGCCCAAGGGAAACACAAAAGGTGGCCTTTGTAGACAGGTGGTTTTTGTAGACAGGTTCCTTTAGTACATGATTCAATGAGAAACTGTTTTCAAGGGGAAAAAAAAACAAATGTGGCCTTTGAAGACATGTGGTCTTTGTAGACAGGTGGTCCTAAAGCAGGTATTAATGTAATACCAAAGGAAAAAGTATAAGTAGAGAGTGACTATGTCTGACCTTATCGATATGATCCCTATTCACACAATGTGGTAGACTATTGATGTAAGCATCCATCAACATCTTCAGAGTGGCATTGCTGATTTGCTCTCCCTCTTCAGCATCTATAGAATGATTTACAGAAAGAGAGGGAGAGAGAAAGAGGGAGGGAGGGGAGATAGAGAGAGAGAGAGAGAGAGAGAGAGAGAGGGGGGGGGGGAGTATGGGTGAAATTGGAAGAAAGAGAGAAACATAGATCAGATTCACCATACGAATCTCATTTGAATACATTTGAAATAAACAATGCTTGAAAAAGTTATGCAATATCTTGCAAATTATTTTTTTTAATGAAAAGGAGTCCACACGTACCCAACCTTGAAAACAGCAAGTTCAGTCACATTTTTGTTATCACATAAAGCATTATGAGTATGGTATGACATTGAATGCAGTGCAATAAAATATTCCATAATGCAATGCACAGTAATGATGAATACCATGAACATATATACCAGTATTATGTAGCTTACCGTCATCCCCTTCGGCTGTTTCTATTTCATCCAGTACCATCTCTTCCCCTGCCTTTCCTTCTGTGTCCTCTTCTACCGTTTCCTCTTCACCTTCTACACCTTCTGCAGTCTCTTCTCCTTCTTCAATGGCTGCTTCTTCTTCTTCATCTGCTTCTATCTCCAGAGCTTTGATATCTGGAGATACAGGGTATTAGAAAGGGATCATGGGTTAGACAAGTATTTTGATAGTAAGAGAAACTGGGTGAAAGAGATAAAACATCTTTCGCTTCAGTTTGGATTTTTCGCAGGGTTGTCCCGTTGGTTAATACAATGAATATCAAAATTTGATTTTGGTATTTACATATTTTCCATAGAAAACACACTCACTTAATATTTTGGGCATACTATTTACAGGTTGATATGTAATTGTTCTCTATGATTAAATATTAAATCGTTTTATTTTTTAGAAATCTTGCTAAAAATAATGGAAGAGCTATGAAGTCTAAATTAAAAAAAATTCTAAAGGCTATTCTATTATGTGAAAGCTGTAGGCATATAAGCATTAATGAAGTGCAAACATATTGATATTCAATATACTGTTCTGATGGTTCTCAGTTTGATGCCAAAATATGACTTGCAGACCTTAAATGAAATAGAGCACATCATCAAATATATTTGTATCCTAAGAGATGAAAGTTAGCATTTCTGTTGTGTTTCTGCAACTAAAAAATCAAACAATTGCTGCTAAGGCAGAATATATCATTTAAATATAGATATGTATATGTTTTCATTAAAAAGTTGAATGTTTTAAAGTGCATTTCAATGTAATGTTTCACACAATATTTTCTCACCATCCTCTAACTTATCTAGCTTGTCTTCTTCCTTATCTCCAGGTCTCTGGTTAGATGTGTTATCTGTATCTTTGAACAGAATCTGTGTGCATATGACATAAAGAAAAAAAAAAGCAAATTAGTATTCCATACAAGTTGCATCAATCATTCAGTGATCCATATTTCATATTTTCTACATATTGCTTGAATATGAATATTGAATTAGGAGTTATTTGAAATAAGTTGTTTTTTTTCATCAAAGTTTAAATTGAGCCGAAAAATCAAGATGGAGCATATAAAAAATAAAAATTAATAACACATTCATGATATTCTCTCAGTTTTATTTGATTAAAACTTTATGTGGGAGTGTCGTGGCCGAGTGGTTTAAGGCGCGTGACTGGAGATAACAAGGTCAAGGGTTTGAACCCAGACACGGCACTAATATCCTTTGGCAAGATATTAACCTGCACTTGCTACTCTCCACCAAGATGTTAAATGGATACCCGGTAGGACCGTCATTGTTGGTCAAACAGTTTTTGAGCGTCAAGTAATGCCTGGCTGGAATGCTCCCAAGGGAGTGGAGACTGTGCACACATTGTGTGCGGGCACGCACTGAATCTAATGACCAGGGTAATAGTTTTTCTGTAAAGCGCTTAGAGACAATGTATTAAGCGCTAAACAAGCGGAATATTATTAAACTTACAGCAGGAACCATGGATCTCAGATTGATGAGGTTTTCATGAAAGGTCCTAGTATCATCATCTTCCCAGAGTGAGTTAGCCCAATCAAACTCAGTCAGCTGCCCATCCGTGCCCATCATGTCAATAGCCATCAAATCAAGCTCAGTCTGGGTCAGCTCTAAGAAATAAAAAAAAGAATTAAAATTTAAATAGCGACTGGTGGGAATGCACCCCAGGGATTGGAGAATGGGCATACATTGTGTGCGGGTAAGCCTGAATCCGATGACCTAGGTAATAATATGTCTGTAGAGCTCTTAGACACATTGTTAATGTATTGGTGCTATATAAAAGCAAAATATTATTATTATTATTATTATAGCCAAAGGAAAAGAAGTAATAGTAATCTTTGTTTCTCATGTTTTATCTACCATTTTGGCATCATTGTGGACACATGCAGGACATGAAGAAATTGAAAGGATCCTAAAAATTAAAATAATTGATATCATTTGTGATGCTTTAACTCCATTTATCTAAATCAAATTCAACTCTCTCTCTCTCTTCTTTTCTCATATACCTATACAATATTATAATGGTTATAAACCAATCCTGCCTACGTTTACAATTTCCAATTACAAAAGAAAATGCTTTCCATATACCTCTGTTTCGCATGTAATAAAGTGTTTTCTTGTTTGTTGCACCCAATTCGTTACATGTACATCACCCTAATAGCAAAATATAATTCAGGGAACCATTCACTTTCTAAACATGCTTACCTTCCACAGGCAGATCAGGCATATCTTCATCCAACAAGTCCTGCAAATAATGTGGCAATAAATAAACACGAGAAATTATAATATCATTCAATCATACTAATAAACAATAATAATCATTCAATGAATTTAGAGTAAATTTGATGGAGAAATTTGAATAATTATTTTTGCTGAAAAATTAATCCATACAGACCTCCATATGTCCTTTCCTTCTTTCATTTTCTGTGTATCTGGATGTATGTCCACTTTCCCCTTCTCCTCTCCTCCTACCCTCTCCATCCCTCTTCTTTCTCAGTCTCCTCTCCCCCATAATTCTTTCCTCTCAATCCGCCATCTCCCTTCTCCACAATCTTCCTCTTTTGTTGTCTGTCCCTCTCTCATCCAACATTGATATCAATACAAGCTGAACTACTTAGTGAATTAAACTACAATTTCAAATTTGAAGAATTCTGATAATTGGGGACGTCAACTTACTGCAAATGTTGATGTATTCATGAGAAGCTTCTGATAACTTGACTGCTTCTCCTCATGTCTCTTTCTTCTCTCTTCACTTAGCTCACCTTTATTCTGTTTCAAGAACATAAGTCAGAACACACTTGATAACATTGGTTTATCATAATGCATTACGTTTTATCTGAGATATGTTGCATGTTCAAACACACTCAAAAACATTGGTTTATCATAATGCATTACGTTTTATCTGAGATATGTTGCATGTTCAAACACACTCAAAAACATTGGTTTATCATAATGCATTACGTTTTATCTGAGATATGTTTCATGTTCAAACACACTCAAAAACATTGGTTTATCATAATGCATTACGTTTTATCTGAGATATGTTGCATGTTCAAACACACTCAAAAACATTGGTTTATCATAATGCATTACGTTTTATCTGAGATATGTTTCATGTTCAAACACACTCAAAAACATTGGTTTATCATAATACATTACGTTTTATCTGAGATATGTTTCATGTTCAAACACACTCAAAAACATTGGTTTATCATAATGCATTACGTTTTATCTGAGATATGTTGCATGTTCAAACACACTCAATAACATTGGTTTATCATAATGCATTACATTTATATCAGATATGCTGCATGTTCAAACACACTCAATAACATTGGTTTATCATAATGCATTACATTTATCTCAGATATGCTGCATGTTCAAACACACTCAATAACATTGGTTTATCATAATGCATTACGTTTTATCTGAGATATGTTGCATGTTCACATACATGTAGTTGACACATCGTTGTCTTAGTCACTAATGCTCTAAGTATAACTCAATTTATGTAGTACTGATGTTGTTTTTCCACTTAAAACTCTCATGTTGTCTTATTATTCATGTTGAGAAACACACCCAAACCATGCTTGTCATAAACCTACAGTACATAGACAAAATAATCCAATCATAAACATCAATCATGGCATTTTCAAATTCCCCTCACCACATAAACATAGTGTTCTCTTGAGGTAAATGCATACCTTGTTTCAATTGACCATCTCAGCTCCTGTACATACTGAACCCAAATATCATTATTACAACTCAATTGATAATACACAAATCCATTTCTGTCGAGGTAATTCCATTGCTTCTCTCACCTGTAGTGTTCTTCTGTTCTGTCTCTCCATATTCTGCAGCTCTTTATGCTGTCTTTCAAGGTACTTGGAGAGGGATGAATAGTGGTCCTTCAAGAGATTGCAGTAGGCTGTCTTGAGTTGGGTGGAGAAGACCTCGCTTGATACCAACTCTAGTTCATACTTCTGTGCCACGAGCCTGCAAAAATAATGAAGATACAAGTGAAATGCCTGAAGTGTTCCTACAAGAGCCATAAATAAGTATAATTCAATAGGAAAATTGCACATTTGATAGCAAAACAGTTCAGACCGGTACCAGATTTAACGTTTGATGAATTAGTGTTGTGCCCAAGGAGTATGCTGAATGAAAATGTTTCTCATGCTCTCAGTACCTAAGTTCCCACCTTCATTACTAATAATCAATCTTTATAGCTCCTTTGAAGAGAAGTAGATACAAACCTATGATAAGGTAATGAAAGCAACAGTCATTGAATTGATCTCAGTTTGTGTATCCAATGGAAGACATTTGCTAAAGACTTTTTTTAAGAGCTTAAAGGGATCGTTTAACAATGTTAAATCTCAGATGCACAGCCCTACGTGTTATCAGTGTCTGTGATATGGTGTAATATTGAAGCCCTAAAAAATCGCACTTCAAAATGATCAAGAATTGCCTCAAAAAGTAAAAATCTTTGAGTGACCGGTTTTACCATACTCGTTTTCCCCATAGACTGTAGTGTTATGAAAACCGTTAGGCAAGCGCAAAATTTGGTTTCGATTTCCAATCATAAATATCTTGATAATCAGACAGGCGATAAGCTTGTCAAATTCATGGGGTTCCTGACTGACCCAAAGGTTTATAATTATCATTGCAGCATGAGCTAAATCCAGGATTTTGTTTCAGAATCTGAGACAAAGTTTACCGGATCCCTTTAAAAAGAAACAGATAACATCCATAGTATCCATACTTGTGTTTCCTAGGAATGATCCCTGCAAAATCTTCTCCACAGTGCTTGGTGAAGCTGATGATGATGGAGATGTAATTATGGTTCTCCTTGTCCCCTTTCATGATAGCAGATAGCTGGTTATTGAGGAGAGGTAACCCTTCCTTCTCTGTGAAGACGCCATTCACTATCAGCTATATGTGGGAAAAATATTCAAGATCATCACTATAGACCAGTTCTGGTCATGCGATTACATTGTGAAAGAAACGTTGTGGAATCAATCAGAAAAGGTTGATCATCTAGCATATAAGTATTGGTGTGTACTGCAAGGTTCTGGACTCATCAAAATGATAAGAAATTTGGCCCAGTCTTGGTAAAGTTACAACCACTGTACACAGAAAGATGTATATGGGACTACGCTATATCTATCCAGTATTTACCAAATATATCAATTAGTAGGTGGTTTCCCGGCAAAATGTGTATCATCACGTATTAGTCAAAACATATTCTTTCACATGACTGGTAATAAGAGCTTCCATTTCATTTTTTGAGAGGGGGGCGTTTCCAAAACTGGTCTATATCTTTAACAATAAAAATTATACAAGTCCGCAAAACTTTGCTTGACTGAGTATTTCAACTTTATACATTTTTAAACTGCAAGCAAGATTGCATCTTATGCGAGAGCCACAACTTCAATTCTGTTTTTCTTTGATTTCAACTTCCAACTACTTTTTAGAGATTTGATCAATGAATAGCATTAAAGTTGCTTACCTCAGCAAGGAAGCGCAGCTCAACTCTGATCTTGTTATCAAATATAATCTGTATACACATCATAACAAAAAATCAGAAACAGAATAGGATTATCTCAGTAATGTAGTTAAGAGATGCCCAACTTCAATAGAACAACAAAGATCAGACAATTTTACCATGACTAATACAAATAACAAAGAAATGTCTGATAACCTAATTATTCTAAATTGAATCTCTCATCATGAAATAATTCCTATCCTCTTGCGCTACATCATGTGAGAGTCAAGACATTGATGAATAGGTGAATAACAATAACCATGAGTGTAATATTTTGTTTGTACATGTACAGGCAACCCAAACAAATCATATAAAAACAAGTGCACTCTGAACTGCAACCCCTCAGACAAGTACAAGAGACCCTAGTCAACAACTCACTTAGAAAACCTTTCCTATATCCACATACCTGTACACCCCTTATTATACTATCCCTGTACTGACGAGTACTTGCCCTAGATTAATGATGAATATTAAAGCAGAGCCTCCTTGAGTAATATTTTTGTTTTTATTGTTAGTTGTTTGTTTTTGTTTTCTGTCAATTCAAAAATTATCTCACTGATTTTTTTTGGTATGAGAGTATAAGTTATATATGTGTATCATAATACCATGTAAGACAACAAATTTCCATTGTTAAATGGACAATAAATATGAACCTTATGAACCTTATATGATTTTTTCATACCTGTTGTTTGCTATCCTTGTCCTCCTTTTTACACGGAGCTGGGAGCGCCCTCTGTAGTCCCTGAAGCAGCTGGGAGGAGAAATCCCCATAGCGATTGAGAAAGAGAGAACACAGATGGACAGCACAACCGATGTCGGCCATCTTCATCTTGGCTTCACTGAAGGCTATGGCAGCCTCCCCCACATACTTGGTCAGGTTGAGACCTTGAAACTCTTTGGTCAAGGAATCTTTTTGCTGCTCACTCAAGGTTTTCTGGAAGAATTTGAAGTGAATCAAATGATTTTATTTCTTGTGTAAAACATAAAACAATGAATAAGTATATTACAAAAAAAATATACAATGAAACAACAAGTATAATAGTAATAGCACAAGAAAACAGGAACTAACTAGAAGCAGAGCTTGTTGAAGTATTAGTTCCTCAGATGCTGTTTTACAATATATCTTGAACAAAGTAAACATGAAATACAGTCAGTTAAATAAAATACTTCCACTACGACTGGTAGCATTTCCACATATAGCTGCAATATTGGTAGGTCTTTGTCAGATACATGTTATTAACAGGGCTATTGAGAATTAACATTTAATTCCAACTGTGCCTGATTAATTTCAAGTCAAACTGGAAAACAGAGGAAAAATCAAATGTCTCCCAAACTGCCAAAGTAACTAATGAAAGAAGTTGAAAAACAAAAAAGACTGATGCATACACTAACAAAAATCAGAGAATACCAATTTTCAAGTGCTATACACTTTGCATAAACACAATTTGTTTGCAAATCTACACCTCTGAGATTAAGTCCTCACCAGTTTTCGGATAAATGCTGTATTTTTCTTGAGACTGGAGTCCAGCTTCACAAAGAAATCTTCATCAGGTCTTTCTGATGCTGCTGCCAGATTCTTTGCCCGGAGAGTCTTCTTAGCTTGCTTTCGCTCCAATGCCTCTACATGAGTATCCCTGGCATGTTTCTGAATAAAAATGAGGAAGAAAAGAGTCATGCCACATTTTCTGAAGCCGTTTTTGTACACAATGCACATGGAAGTTACATGTTAGTTAATAGCTAACACATTTTTATATACCTTTGTTTTCAAATGAAAATGATATATATGCCAATACCATTACACATCCATCAAATCCATGTACATTTTAGTTGTCAACTACCCTATTAGATACATTAGATAACATCGATGAATCTCAAAACAGTTGAAATTGTAATCCCATTTGGAAAAACAGGTGATGACACTTACATGTACTTTTGATCTGTTAATAATAATAACTACAAAAAGCATTTGATACGAAAATTAAACTCACCTCATCGTCCTCTTCTTTCTTCTTTGCAGCTTCTACATCTAGTCGCTTCTGTACGATAAAAACATCAAAGACAATATGGTATTTATACCTTTATGGCTGTAAAGGTTTATATAAATTGAAAGTATGAGCAATAAGGCTCCAATTTCTATTTCAAATTCAAATTCAAATTTTCAAATTCTTCTATAGAAGTAACTGTTGATGAGTAAACAAATCTGCTACTAATGATTATTTCATGCACTCGTCATTTTGTGCTGTCACCATCTAGCTAATATTTATCATATGAAAAGCACAAGCATAATTATATATATTTCAATTTTTTTTTCCTCCCCCCCCCCCTTTATTGTTTTGTTTTGTTTATCAGTCTGAGCAGTCTGTGTAGATTTAGTGAAATTCAGAATATTAGAGACAAAAATGCCAATTTTACTTTCATTACCTGCTCTTCTGCCTGTCTTTTCTTCTCCTCTTCCTGCTTTATTTTATCCTCTTCTTTCTTCTTTTCCTCCTGAATCTTCCGGGCTTCTTCTTCCTTCTTTCTTTTTTCCTCATCTTCCTTCATCCTCTCCTCCCTTCCCCTTGATTTGTCTTCTTCCCGTCTTCTTGATCCTCTTGAATCATTTTCTCTTCTGTCAAAGTGAAAAAGAGGGGGAAAGTTATGTAAATAAACTGTGGCAGGAATGGTTTGCAATATAAGCAGTTTTGCAGGATACAGATGCCACATACAGAGTGAACAATCATGGAGAGATGGAAAGAAAAAAAAGATGAGATGGAAAGAGAGAAATAGAGACAGGAGGAGAAGGGGAGTATGGGGAGAGTATGGGGAGAGCAAGGGAAAGAGATAGATATATATTTCATTCTGAAGAATTTATTTATTTATTTATTTATAACACATCTTTAAAAAAAAGGGTAGCCCAATCAGCAAACAAATACTGGTTTTCGTTGAGGCCCTTCATGACACAAACAAGTATATACATTTCATCAACATATCAAAATATACATAAATATAGAAAATTACGAAATGCGATTTTAACAAACAAAAAATTGCAAACCAGGTTATAAATAAGGATTTGATTACAAAGAATAACGAAATGAGTAAAATGTATATGATACAAATATAAAAATATAAATAAATATAGAAAGTTACAAAATACAATTTTAACAAACAAAAATTGCAAACCAGGTTATAAAAAAGGATTTGAACATAGAGAATAACGAAATGAGTAAAATGTATATGATACAAATATGTAAATGCCATATATCCTATTGAAGCAAACAGTAAAAAGTTATTACAAAAAAAAAAACACAACAACAACAGCAACATACAACCACAATAACAAACCAACAAGAGAAAACAAGAAGAGGATATGATAAAATATATAAAAAGAGGAGAGAAAGAAGAGTTATGTCATATCATAATCATATTAAAATGTGGATGTCTTTTGCCATTTTGCCAATTCTTGTTTAAATGGTTTCAAATTTTTTATAAATCGAATACGTTCGGGTAATTTATTCCAGTTTGATGGACCTGTGACAAGAAATGATTTCTGATAAAAGGTTGTACGAACATGTGGCATCCTAATTAGCATCTTATTTGTGCTCCTTGTTGTTCGAGATGATATCGCTTCAATATAAATAAACTTATCACCTAGTACTTCAGGTGCAGCTTTATGTAAGCATTTATGAATCATGCAACAAGATGCTCTAAAAAACAGATGATCTACTTTCGGCCAGGATAGAATTTCAAACACTTGTTCAGATGGGGTTTCCCAGGAAAAACAAGATATCATATATGCTGCCCTCTTATCTAATCTTTCCAGTTTACTATGGTTTGCTTCAGATCTCCCAGACCAAACGGTACAACAGTACATTAAATGGGGCACTACAAAAGCCCAGTACAGTTTGTTCAATTGTGCTTTATCAAAATAATGTTTACATCGACGAATAGTTCCTAATTTCTGTTTCACAGTTAAAGCAATACTTTCGATATGTTTTTTAAAGTCAAGACTGTTATCAATTATAACTCCCAAACATTTATATGTATATACACATTCCAGAAGAAGATATAGAATAGAGAAAATTAGACAGTTGACAATTTTAAAATGATGCTCAGTGCAATGAGAACAATGACATATGATTAATTTTTTTAGAGTAGCAAATTGATGTATGGTGAGGCATTACTTTAAATTGTACCCAAAATGGTGAACCTGGAAAAGTCATTTTTTTCACAGGAGAGGTACTTGCCTTCTTTCAGATGTCTTGTCTTTGTACGGATCTCCTCTTGGCTTGTCTCTCTCCCTGTCTCTCTCTCTGTCTCTGTCCCTGGTTCTCTGTATGCCTTTCTCATTCCTCACATCTATTTCTTTACCTCTCCTCTGTCCAGTCTGCCCTCCCTTCCTTTCGTCATATCCGCCTTTCCCATCAGAAGCCCTTACTTCAACAGAACCTCTGCCAAATTTCTTCGGCTCCTCTTCCACCTTCTTACCAACTACTCTACTACCAGAACGTTGGGCGGAGTATGACTTTCCTCCACGTTCTTTGTTTGGAAGGTCACTTTCCAAATGATCTTGACCACTGGGCATTTTCTCTGGTTTCTTAGGTTTATCTGTACTTTGCTTGTTTTCTTTGGCACTGTGTGTATCAGATGTTGAAGACTTCTTTTCATCTTTGTTGGCCTTGGTACCTGCATCCTGTTTCGCACTTACTTTAATTTCTAGTTCTCCTTCAGATTTACATGGCTTGTCCACTACTGCCGTATTTTCTTCTTTCTCACTTTCATCTGCAGGTTTAATGTCTTTGTCCTTTTCTACTGAAATTTCTTTTGAATCTCTTGGGACAGGAATGGGAATAGGAGCAACTGTTGCCTGAGCAGTTTTGTCTGATTGGGATTCATCCATCTTGTCCGTTTTCTTGATGCTTTCCTTAGGAGCTTGGTCTTCGCAATCCTTTGACACAGTCACCACATCTTCCCCGCTGCCCTTCACAGCTACAGCAGTGTTCTCATCTGTCACAGAATTTCCTGAACCTCGATCACTCCCTGGGGCACTCTGCTCTGCCATCGCTGAGTTAATGTCTGGCTCTTCTTTGGCAGGGTCTTTTTGAGAATCTTCTGCAACCGCTTGAAATTGTTCATTCTCTGAGATGTCTTGGTTTGGAGTTGTATCTTCATGCTTAATAGTCTGGTCTTCATCTGGAACAATGTCCTCTGATTGCTTTCCCTCTGCAGGAACCTCTCCTTTCGGTTGATCCATAACTATATTAACAAATCCATGCTGAAATGAAAAAGAACAATTGTAATGTCTACATTTGCATAATAATCATAGTATGTTGAAAAAAGGGACATGCACTTTCCCATCATAGTCATCAGGGCATAATTCATATTGATCAGATACAAACAAATCAATATTTGAATTTGTTTACAATAGTGTTTTGCTCTATGACCAAGCCATAGATTGACTAGAATTTCTCCATTAACATTTTCCCATTGTCAATGTTGTTCTCTCCAAATCCAGTCAAATAACACATTTCATAAAATATAAATAGATCTCACTAAACCAATGACTTACGGCAGAGGAACCATCTTTTCACTTGTGATCAATATTAATTTTCTTTAGAATTCAACATTTTTGTACCATTTTTGGAATGAAACAGTGAGTTATCAAAAATTACATCAATTTGGATGGGGAAAATTCAAAATATAGTTGAATGATGCCAGAGACTGGCAGAGAGCACCACTTCTTCCTCCCCCCCCCCCCCCCTTTTTTTTTAATTTTTTTTTTTTACAATAATGGTCTAGTCTAGGTCTACCACACACAAATACTCATACACGGGACTAGTCTATTTACAACTTAAATGGCGAAGAAAACATCGAAAAACATTACTTCATCATCGCAATTCGAATGGATCATCAAATATAAACTAGTACAAATGCAATGTATATTCTTCTGGGTACTGTAAATAATAAGTCTCGTAAAAATTAAAATATAAAAGTCTTACAGGTTCGAGGAACTCTCGTCTCGGCAAATGCTCCACTGTTATGGTCAAAGGTCATTTCTTACATCCGGCCGGCCGATTAGCAGCTGGCGCGCGCAAAACAAAATTTAGCAAACAACAGTAGGAGCCTACCAGCAATACGGTACGACTAGACTACGAGTACGAGTCGCGCCGTGGGATATTACTAGTAAAAAGTAGTATAGCCTAGGCTACTGCATGCGTTCTGTGTCTGATTTAGTTGAAGAGGCTAGTAGGCCTATACCCTGTGGGATGTGTTTTACTTTTAGACTGAGCTGAGCCGAGACTGAGCACTGCACACCATGTTGTGTTGCAACATTGATGCCAAATCTAGTAGATCGACGTAGCGTAGCCACTGCACTAGTCACTACTGCACCGCCGTCGATCTACTAAGCTGAGCTGAATTGAGTGATACTGACACTGAGAGTCAGAGTGCAGTGCAGTTTTTGTCCGAGTGTGACTGTCAGTGATTGATAGTAAGTTCATACTCATAGTCATAGAGGGATGTTATAAATTTCTATAGATTTCTATTTATTGTACAAAAAACTATTTCTTAACCGGTAACGACCTAAAAAATGAATAAAAAAACTCAAAATAGACTATTTGAAACGCAAATGGTGCAAAATTTATGAAGACTGAAATGGCAGATTCTAGCTAGATCTCGTTAGAGCTGGAGCCAGTGGAGGCTGGTCTGAGAATGGGTATCGTCCGCATAAAATGCGTCCCACAAAATATTACGGATCATCCTTTTTTCAATTCTTCTGCAGGTTTTGGGTTTCTCATCCGCGTGATGGCGATGCGAAAAAAAGGATTCTGCATACTAAAATACCCCCTGTTCACCTACTTTCATGGGTTGCCGTCTTCCCAAGGATTTATCGCATTTAACGAAAGTCTCTGTACATAGACTAGTCAATGTAAAATGCATCAAGAAAATCATTGCAGAACCCGTTTTTCACATCACCAACGTGCGGATCGGAAATCAGAATCGTCAACGAAAATGTGGACAATCCTTGTTTTTGCAGACGCGTCTTTCTGCGTTTACAAAGACGATCCTCATTTGTGCGGATGATCAAAATTATTGGACCAGCGCCCCTACTGACAATAGAACAGAACAGAAATATATTATAATAAAAGTTGCATAAGCAGCCAGCCATTGGCATTGCTGCCCTGAAGCACCCGGATCTTCTTCTTCTTCCAGTATAGTACAGTCCGCCATTGGCGTATTATCGTACCTTGTGTTTGTCAAGTGCCGAGTGTACAGTGCAAGTAAAAAGGCTCTACAAGAATCTAATGGTCTACATGTATGTCATTCCTATGTTAGTCTCTCTGCAATACCATAATACAGTTGCTTTTAATTGGCTAACGTAACTGAAGGGATCAGCGATTTTAGTCGTTTGTATCCCTGAAGATTTTGAGTTTTCTTCTTCATTTTTCAGATTCGTATTAATATTTTTATACAATAAATAAAAATTCGTTCCATAAATTGTGACGTTTCAACTAGATCTTCTCCTTCTGCTCCTCTTTCATTCTCATCTTTCATTTCCTCTTCCTGTACTTCTCATTATCAATGTTATTATTATTATTATTATTTTTACTCACAGGTATTGGTAGAAAATGGCAGATGATGATTATGCAGATGATCTTGATGCGCTCACTTCACTCCTTGATGATGAAGATGATAAGAATCCATATGATAGTGGTGAACCTTTCTCAGTGAGGAGTCAACACTCACAAAAAGTGTCGCAAGCAGTCAAGAAACATGTCACCAGTCAAGACAAGAAAAAGAGATCTGTTGGATCCAGTCAGAGCAGTGATGAAGAAAAGTCAAAACAAGAGCTGATAGGTAAGTCATCTGTATCTTTTTGCAGTTGGGAATTTAGTTTGAGTGTTAAAAAGGGCAAAATTATGCCATGGTAAAAGACTTTATCTAAAAAAAAAAAAATCTTGATATAAATCTAAATCCAAATAATTCTGTACATATATACTTAAATATCTGTGCATATGTTGCTGAATCTTCATCTCCCACTATTTTTTTCTTTTATGTCTCTTTCTCTCTCCCCTTCTTATCTGTTCTTTCATTTGCTTTCCAATTCTCTCTCTCTCTCTCTCTCTCTCTCTCCCTTTCTTGCCTGTTTATTTCTCATTTTGCATATCTTCCTTTTAGTACAAGGGGTAAAGTGATAGAATTATTTGTGCATGTGTATATATTTTTTCTACAGATGAACTGCAAAAGTTGCGAGAGCAAATGGGTCAGATGCAGGGAGGTACGCCCCCTACCCCACAGAGCAGCCGTCCAAAGGAGAATTTTTCAGATTCACTGTTTGCAGACCAAACACCAAAGCAAAAGCAGAAGAAAGGTTCATCAGCTCATGCCAAGAAGGATGCTCATAGTACAAGTAAGTCTCTTTAAATATTTACACATTTTCATCTCAAGCAAGCAATGTCCAATCAGCATTCATATCCATTATCCATTTTTTTTAGCCAGCAGAGTATATACCATACTCATCTTGTTTGCATTATACCCATTGAATTGATATCTGTAAGTCAGACATTGCTTTATTAAAAATTACCTGGGCCTATATGTGAATCATAGATTATGTTATAGTTAAGTTCTTAAAAGATGGATTTTCAAACTCAACAATCATATTCTCCAATACCAGAACAGTCTTAGAGCTATGATTTTAAAGAGTCATAAGCTTGATTTTGTGATTTAGTTTGTCTTAGATAATTTTAATCAGAATGCTCTTCTTTGTTGTGAAATTGATGGTTTTATGTTGTTCTTTTGATCTTCAAATGTGCTTCATGTGCTGTTTTAGATGGTGATGACATAATTGATGATGATGAACTGACAGGCCTATTTGATGATGAGTTTGAGGATGAAGTTCAAGAGAAGAAAGATGACCCTAAAGCGACACCACATAAGGCGGAGTCACTCTTCAAGAAGAGCAACGTGCGTCATGCCCACACCCCTCAGATTACAACAGCTCCTCCCAAGAAAGGTTAGTGTCTTCAGTGCGATACCTCACCAAACCACAGCGCATCTCTGCATGTTTTAGTCTATTATCCTCCCAAATTCTTGTACATCTAGACAATATCTTTGATTAAAAAGAATATATGTCTCACCTAAATACAATTGATAAATTAGTAAATGAGTTTAACTGTTGTCGTTGAATTAGCATGTGCACGCCTGTAAAAGCGACTAGCTGGAATGCTCCCCAGGGAGTGGAGAATGTGCACTATAATAATGCAGACGAGTAATTGAATCCAGTGACCGGGGTAATAATAATACTTTAATCACTTTGGTCAGTCAATGGTAAAGCTCTATATCAGAAACTGTTATTAATAGTATTCCTAGAAATGGGTGCCTCTAGTAATGACTCGGATACAATTGATGATCACTGCCAAGAAAGATGTTCAATTTGCTCTCCCTCTCTCTCCCTCTCTTTTTCTCTCTCTCTCTCTCTCTCTCTCCCCCCCCCCCCCCCTCTCTCTCTCTCTCTCCCCCCCCCCCATCTCTCTCTCTCTCTCTCCCTCCCCCTCTCTCTCTCTCTCCCCCTCTCTTTCTCTCTCTCTCTCCCCTCTCTTTCTCTCTCTCTCTCTCTCCCTCTCTTTCTCTCCTACTCTATATACAGTGTCTCCCTACAAGTGCAATTTATGTGACCAAACATTCAACAACAAGCAAGCTATGACTGTGCATGAATTCAAGCACAAAGTATCCCGATATAGCTGTGAAGTTTGTGCGAAAAGCTTTACCAGCAAACTCCAACTAGAAACCCATCTCAGGACACACAAACCCTCGGGTATCCAACCCAAGTCCAGCAGTCCCCCTGAGCCCAATAGTCAGGCAGGGAGGAGTAGTGTTGGGACTAGTGAGACTGTGAGAAACTCTGGTGGTGCCATGAGCAGAGGTAGTGTTGGCGATAGAGGATCACAGAAGAGCATGCCACATCTTGGGTCAGGGTCAAAGCGGAAACCGATGAAAGAGGAAGAAGCGTGCGAGACAGAATACTTCTCAAGGATTAGAATCATGTAAGTTGTCTCTGTGAGCAAACTCCCAATATAATTTGTTTAAGGGGATTTTTTTCATTCATGTGATTTTCTCAACCTATTTACCTGTTAAAATTATATGGTCACCTTTAAAACATATTGGTAAACTTGCTCCATGATTCAAGACTTTTGTGAAGAATATGAAGTAAAGTTCTATTTCATTCAGGAATGCTTACATGAAATTGAAAGTTATCATGGGATGAAAAATGTAATCGCTCAAATTACTCACATATCATTATCTTGTCCTCAATGTGAATGAAGAAAAGCTGAGCCCAATGGAATTGCTAGATATATACAAGATATGATATTAATACCATTATGAACATTTGAAGCCCATCAAGTATGAAAGCAAAAGAAATTTCATTCCTGATAACGTTTTTGTTAGTTACAAAAAGAAACTGAAGAAAAGTATACAATCTCCATTTGGAATATAGAAGGGAAAATAATGGTTGTTATAATCAGGCCTGGTAATTACCTGATTCAAATCGGTTTCCAGATTTATTAATTCCCCCCCCCCCCCCCAAATTTTTTTAAAGATTTTTTTCCCCAATTTTCTTACTCAAAAGGGGGGGGGGGATGTTGTTAGATGCCATTTTTTTCCCCCTGAATCCTTTTTTTGTTTTTGTTAGTGCTCACTATCACCCCTGTATAGTTAATATCAATTTCTTTGATGTTCAAGTTTTCCTGTTTTATGTGGTTTGATGTCCAGAAATCCCCTGGTATCTTCAGCTACCATGAAGGAGAGGATGAAGGAACGTAAGATGATTCGGATGAGCATCTTAAATCACTACTCCAAGACGGGAGCATTGGAAGGAGACTGGGTGACGATGGGTGTCCTGATACGCAAGATTATGAGAACAGATGCAAAGGTATAGCATGATGTTTATAAGGGAGTTGGGCTTACTCGGCTCAAAGACAACTCGGCCCAGCTGCAAAAACAGTTAATTTTTTGCAGGTTTAGGGTTAGGATTAGGGTTAGGGTTAGGTTTAGGTTGAGGATCAGCATCAGGGTTAGGGTTAGAGTTAGGGTTAGGATAAAATGATAAAAACTGACCATTTTCGCAGCTGTGCCGAGTTGTCTTTGAGTCGAGTTAGCCCGGATTCGGTTATAAGTTCTTTGGTGATTCAGAATTACTGGGCCCCATTTCACAAAACTTGTCATCAACAACACATGACAGTCTTTGTTATAAGCTAGTGAAATCCCTGCTTCTAATTGGTTATCAGCAGATTTGTCACTGATTTTTGTCATTTGTCATTGAGAAAAGGCTTTGTTAAATGGGGTCCCTGATGTTTATCCCATGCATACTAATGGCAAGAATCATAATGACAAAGAAATGTTTTGATCCTATTCATATATTAAAAGCATCTTCACATAATCCTTTGCTTTTCATTCATGAACACATTTTTTTTTGAAGGGAAATGTAATGCGTTATAAGGAGGACCTTTACTTTGGCTTCAAAGGATAGTACAATAAGTTTGACAATATCTATGCTACTCAAAAACACAATAGATGTTGTTTTATGACAAATTTAGCCACAACATTATTGGATATCAATATTTTAATTGTCCTTTTTATATTTGGAATTTTGATGTACACATTTTCATTGGTTCGAGTGGCATTTAGGTATTTAGGTATCCATTTTGTTTGTTAAAAGTCAATTCTTCAACTGTTGGTTCCCCTAGGGTAAGGCGTTCAGCATCTGGACCTTAAATGACCTCTCTAGCATGGACGAGAATGTGACCCTCTTCCTGTTTGGTAAGATCCACGAGGAGCATTGGAAGACCGTTGAGGGCTCGGTGATTGGACTTCTCAATGCCTGCACCATGGAGAAAAGAGAAAATTCAAACTACAAGGTAGGTCTTTGCATAGTGACACCAATAGGTGACCATCTGAATAGCAAGACCACATGTCAATAAAAAAGATGTTTTGCTTGTTTCCCTTGAATATTTTTTTTGTAGGATTCTTCTTGTTGTAAGCACTTTAGGCCGCTCTGGGAAAAGCGCAGTATATAAATAATAATAATAATAAATAAATAATAAATGTAATAATATTATAGGGCTTAATACAAAATACCGTCTCTAAGTGCTTTACCGATATCATAACCCCAGTCATCGGATTCATTCACATACAATGTGCACCATCTCCACTCCCTGGGGAGTATTTCTACCATATGGTCACTGTGAGGGCATATGAAAATTACTTAAGCAAAGTTTCGTGTCATCTTACCCGGCCCACGTTTCTCTCCTGGGTATGGAGTGGCAAATGTAGATTGATGCCTTGCCAAAGGACATTAGTGCCGATTCGGGGATCAATCCCAAGACTTTTGAATGTCAAGTCAAGTGCTTAAATCACTCGACTTCAACACCTCCTAGTATTGGATAGTGATTTCGTTGACTGAGAGACTGCATTTCTTCTTTCCCCCGAGTGGTCCATGTATACGGCTTTCATTGTATATGTTGAATAGATGAATTACATGAAGATACTACATCATCATGCGAGTTCATGATGTGAAAATTATCGTAATGCACAATGTCATGTAGCAGGCACCTTCGTGGTAGACATAATTTCCATCAAAATCCCATCTCTGAACTTTTTCCTGTGGGCATCCAGCCTTTTTAAAATGTTGAGGGGCAAAATGAGGAGTGAATTTGAATAAAAGGATAAAAAAGGAAAACGTCAGTAATGAATTTAATGAAATTTTCTATATAAAAATGAGAACATTCCTATATATTTCAACTGTCCTAGGATTCTGACAATGTGCAGCTCCGTGTGGACAACCCTCAGAAGATTCTCCTCATGGGCAAGTCTAAGGACTTTGGGAGATGCAAATCAATGAAGAATGATGGTCAGCCGTGCTCCCAAATTATCAACACGTAAGAAGTTATTCTAACGAGTCATTTTCCTATTGCAGCAATCACAAATTTTCATGAAACAGATGTGTTAATACTAGCATTTTAACTAAATTCCTAATAGTAATCCTATGAATTGAAATTCTACTCCAGTTGATGTTTTGTATAAAGATCTTCATGAAAAATAAGTGTACACAATTTTTGGTTTCAGGTACTGTAAATTATCCGACTCTATGATCTGGCTTTATGACACTGAAGAGCATAGTATGTGCATGGAAATAAGGTTGATAATATCCCTCATAAGATGTGATATCTTTCAAGACTGATTATTATAAAAATTTGAGAATATTTACTCTTCCAAGTCAGCAAACAATAGAAATGGTGTGATTTCTAGGCTGAAATAGTAAATGAAAACATTCTGTATGCTCATCTTTTAGTTTGTTTTAAACATTCTTTAAAATGGCTGTTGAGTGATATTTGTTTTGTTTTTCTTTTGCTGGTGGGTTCTTCTTGCCTCTAGAAGCAAGGGTCAAGGCAAAAATCATAACTTTATAATAAACAGTAAATGGGAATTTAGTTAGTAACAAAGCCCCTTCCGTTCTAGATTACACTGAAAGAAAATGTCTTACTTCATCATTTCTGTTCATGTTTTATGCCCACAGGAGTGACTGCCAATACTGTGCATATCATGTCCAGGCGGAGTACAAGAAAGCAGGTTCTAAAAGAACAGACCTCAGCTCATCGTAAGTAATTATTTGTCATTATTATTTTTTTTTAATTGTTATCATCTCCTTTAATCTTTGTAAAACATTTAACCTTGACTTGGATATCTTGGACATATCCTACATTAGCATAGACCTGTCGCTGAATAGCATATATTACAGTGTATGTTTATAGATACAAATCTTTCTTTGATTGATTGATTGATTGATTGATTTTATTTATTCATTTTATATAACAATCGTTTGCACAATTAAAGTTACAGCTACCGTAACGGAGTATGTAATTTTTTTTTTGTTCCAGGTACTCTGGTATAACTCCAAAGTCTTTCATGAAGAAAATAAAAAAAGATAATGTGTTTTATGGAGGACAGAGCATGAGCATGCCGAGGTAAGATTTATATCCATTCTGTTTTTGCCCAAGAATGTGTCTCTTGTAAACAGATGATTGAATTCATGTGATTTTTTTTTACCTTCAAATTGTCTGGTCCCTTATAAATGTCCTGTCAGTAAAGACTATAAAGTCTAATGAATACGACCCAAAATTGAAAAAGAAAGAGAAAGAGAAAAAAGCGAAAGTAGGAAATTAATATTTTAAAAAAGGGCATTGTTGATTATAGTCAGTTCTTGACTGATTACCATTACAACAAACAAAAAACAAAAACAAAAAACTGATATGTTGCCAATTATTCAAAGAATCTCTGACCTAAGGAGCAACACCCTTCTGATCATGTTTGAAAACTTGCAAGAATCCAGCATATATATATATATCCATCACGACAGAAAAGGATCATTTTGCCCTTCATGCTGACCACTCGATGAGTGCAAGAATCAACCTCAATATTAAAATATTGTTTTTATGTAAAAACCTCTTTGATATATTCACTTTGAATTCAAATTACAAGTCAATTCCAAACCTGAGCAAACTTTTCATGCAACTGATGTCCCCGTAGGTATCATCGAGATAAAGTAGGAACATATTCTGATTTGTCATATATATTACTGTACAAATTTAAACACCTTATCTCTTGTTCAATTTTCTTCCTCCTTTCTATTCACCTGTCTGTCTATCTCCCTTATGTTTTTTTTTATGTGACACCCTGTAGCATGTGTGTCGTTGGTGGAGGGGTGAAGTCTCAGTCTAAGATTTCTAGTTTCAAGTCTAGCAAGCTGGACCTGAAGAGCCTTGGAGTAAAGGGTGCAGACAGCGTCATGGAGGAGGCCAAGACAAGTGTCCTGACCCTACTGGCCAAGGGTCAGAAGGAGGAAGACATGCTGGTCAAGGTGTCGGGAGCTACCAAAGAATTGTGAGTGACATTCAAACTTCAAGCTGAAAATATTTGCTTATCATTATTGTTATTTGTAATTAATCATTTTCATGTATCAGGCATAAATTTCTATTTATATCATTTTCATTTCTATTCTGCCCTATCTCTATTTCCTTCTTTCCTAAGCCCATAGGGACTTCCTTTGTGTTGGTGATATGCGCTATACAAGTAACGTTCATTATTATTATCATTATTATACATAAACTACCCCCCCCCCCCCTCTCCTTCTCGTCTGAAAGGAGAAGTAAGTTACAAAAAAGTGAAAGAAGTCATGTGAAGATTGTCACAAAAGTGTCACATGTTAAGGACTCATGTACACTCGGACTCATTTGTCGCAATGTTGATTTATATTTTAATTTCACATTACAAGTAATTCACATATTATCTTTATAAAATGCATATAAACACCTAAATATCTATCAGAATTATGTATTCATTTTTATTTATTTTTTCTTCTGGAGGCTATATTCTCACACAAATTTGTTTCATATATTTAGTCCTAATTTCGTTGACTATGATTACATCATTGTTTTGTTCATTCAGTACAAACTTGCTGAAAGCACCCTCTCCAGGAGCCCAGAATCTCGTGAGACACATGGTGAAAGTAGAGAAAAGTAAGTGATTCCTATAATCTTGGTATCTTTAATTAACTAGTTGAGTACTAAGCCCAGAATAACATCTATCCAACATATATCCAACATGTTAAGATTGGAAGTATTATTCTAAAGATGTTTGCAATTGCCTTTAGATTTCAGGCATATGTTACTGTTTCTTTTAATTCTGTATCATCTTTCTTAATTTCTAGCTGGGGATGTCTCAAACAGGCTGCTGATTGACTGATCTTAAAATTGATCAGATTAAGCAGAGTTCATGTAATTTTGAATACATATACATAATGACATTATCACCTTTCATTTTGATTTAATCAGTTGTTACTATTGGAGAAGTCATAAATTCTTATTATTCTGTTTTCAGCAAAGAAAAATGTTTCCACCATCTCTGCTGACAACCTCCTGAAGCAACACAAGCAGGAAATGGCTTCCAAGAAGGCTGCCAGGGCCCACACTCTTGGCAAGCCTTCTTCATCATCCTCAACACTGACCGAGAGTACCAGATTCAACGCTGCCACTCCACCCATCAATGCCGCACCCATGTTAGGGCGTGGTTGGAGTGAGGAAGGGGATATTGACCTCGGAGCAAGTCCGGTCAGGGCTACCCCACCCCGCGGCAATAAAAGGTCGGGTGCATCTACCTTGATCGCTAAGCAGAGGGCGCTAGAAGTGATCCACAAGAAGGGAGGGATTGCGAAAGAGGATCCCAACGCGGTGGGGATCAGAAAGAGGATGGATCAACGGAAGAAGGAAGCGGTGAAAAGGAGAGTGGAGGAAAATTGGAGGAAAGATGAGCATGATGCTGCTGGTAAATGTTATTAGTATTTGTTTGTACTGCATGTATCGCATGTGCATCTGTAGTAAGCTTGGAATGGCCACATTATATGTGCATGTCTCCTTATAAACTGTTTGTTGTTCTCGTCCTTGAGGAAAGAATCACTTGAAATGCATGATTCAGACTATATGAACTTCTTAAATCTATCTATTAAAGAGCATACTTTGTCATTTGCTGAGAACTTGAGATATATCAACATGTATGCCTTAAGATTTACTACTAATTGCTTGAATTTTCTTCCCTTCTTTTTATAAAAGTTTTTAGTAGGAAAGGCATTTGTATTACTTTGTTCTCTCTTTCTCTCTCTCTCTCTCTCTCTCTTTCTCTCTTTCTTCTTTTATCTCTCTCTTTTTCTTTCTCTTTCTCTCTCTCTCTTCCTTTCTATTTTTCTCTCTCTGTCTCTCTCACTAGTCTCATCCTCTTCTCCTTCCTTGATATAGCCCAAAGAAGTTAACATTTTGGAGAATTTGTATGATTAATGGTATGGACTAAATATTTATTGTTTTATCCCGTTTTCCGCAGAGGCGGACAGCTCCACTGGTTCTAGAGCTGCCAAGAAGAGGAAGACCTTCTTGGGTCAAGATGTAAAGATGAGCAAAGATGAGATGGATAAGATATTGAATGCAAAGTCCAGCCATGCTGGACTACTTGCTGAGGTGAGAAAGAAGGTCCACACTGCTCAAAGAAAAAAATAAACATGTTTTTAATTCTGTTGTAAACATATCTTATTGGTTTAAAAGAGGAATATTTGAGATATTTATAAACCTAGTGGTTTCATTGAGGGTGAGGAATGAACTGTTTGATATTTATCTCTCTTTCTCATTATGTTGATATGCTCAGGATTTAGCATTCTAGCTCATTTGCAGAAGCAGCGGGGACTCATTGTAGCTTGACTAAAATTTGTCTTGCTATTTTAATAAAATTGGATAGTTTTAATAGTTCTGTATCAATCTGATTGCTACTAGGTTTTTTTTAGATCAACGATTGTAGATTCATATTGCTAAAGAAACATATTGAGAGAATTCAGCCTTCACCGATGTTCTTCAGCCAAATTTCAGGACATGTTTCAGGACAAATTAAATAAGCTCCTGCCACATAATTCTCTGGTTCTGTCCTTCGGATATTTTTGATTTGCTTTAATTCTTCAGTATTCCAGTATTTGACATATGCAAGATTGATAAGATACTCTTGCTCTCTCTCTCTCTCTCTCTCTCTCTCTCTCTCTCACTCTGTGGATTCAATGAAGCTAACATCTGTTGCCGTTTTGTCTTTATATTTTAGTATGAAGCGGAGCTGATGGAGCGATACTTCAAGGAGATGGAGAAGAAGGAGGGTATTGAGAACAAGCTGGATTCTGTCAGAGAGTTGAAACGCAAAGTGGTCTCCTGCAAAGAGGTTAGATAGTTTATTGTGCATATAGTGCAGAATGATTTCAAAAGCTAATCAATGTGATGTTATTGATGTAATCAATTTGTTTTAGTAAAATTTCATATTAACATGCATAGATATGCAAATCTTAAATTGACTTTAAACAGTTTCAAGCTTGAATTACCATTCTCACACTATTTGTATTGTATTAAAGTGGTTGAAATTGTAATACATCCTCTTAACAATGAGGAGGTGCATAGCTCAGTCGGTAGAGCAGTGGTCGATGCACTAGTGCCCTTTGGTAAGTCATTAATCCTCATTAACAGGTCTCTCAGAGAGGACCTAAAGCCGCCGGTCCTCCGGTTGTTTAACAACAAGCATTTATGCTTTCTTAGCAGTCAGGTAAAATAACCACCACCACAACACCAAATCGTTTCAAGAGGCTTTTGCTTTGATCCGACTGAATTTGTAACATTTCTTTTTCCCCATTTCTGCAGTGCTCTTTCACATGGTTCTTCCCATCTGATCTGTGCAAGAAAGAAGGCCACTCACTTCACTGGCACGAGGCCAAGCAGAGGTTCTTCAATTGCAAGGATTGCAATTCTAGGACCATCGCCTTTGACAGGCTACCGACTAGAGCTTGCAGGTAGAGATATGACATCATGTATAAACTAAAAGTAAAAGCATTTATAGCCAGAAATGTGGGTACGGTACATTGGTTTTACCCCAGCTGTCTTGTCATTGTGTAAGATTATTGCAAAATGCAATCTAAATGAAGTCAGTTGTTATGGATGGAATGAAACCTTTGATAAAGGAATTTAGGAAGTGTTCGACCTCTCTTCATTGTCGCATGTTTTACATAGAACACTACGGTTCTTAGAGGCACCCATTCCATTTTTAGCACCATTTTTGTCCAAGAGATATAGCATTAGCAAACTGTGTGACTCTTGGCTGACAGGGCTTACCTTTTATTAATAGTAAAGAAGGTAGCATATTTCGAAATGCATGAAAGTTACAATGTGATTTCTTTCATTTTTTCCCTGTATTTTGTCTGTTCACGATTTATGTTGGTGGTGCTTTCTCAACTTTTTGGAACACCTTGTACAGGGAGCTTACAATCAGTCCATACCACCCAACTCTCAAAATACTTCATATAGAGTCAGAAAGGGTGTTAACTTTTCTGCTACATGATGTGAGCCAACACTCTTCTGGCAATGAGCATATGACTTTTTTATATGTTTGCCTGCAACCAAAATGAACTCTTCTCTCACCCGTCTCTTCAATTTCAGATCTTGTGGCAGTACAAGCTATGAGAGGACTAGCATGCTCAAGGTAAGTCTGATTTTCAAGGCTTTCATTTTCTTATTGGCTACAATCCTTTTTGACTGTAAGAGGAGGATGGGCTTATAGTACAACTAGAAATGAGTCTGTTATCGTTTGGGTGACCATTTACAGGAATGCAAATTGTCGGGATGAAGAGGAAACACACTGATGCAGTTCATCTTTTGAAAAAGATTTTGTTTGCATTATTTTCTTCTCCAGAATGTAAATTTCTGAAAATCCTCTAAGGGTTGACAAAAATGAACTAAACACAGATGAGAAAATACGTACTGGTATGATTTGTTTTTCATCTCCATATAACAGCCAGTTAAGATTGTATCTGGACATTAAGTGATTGATATCAAAAGAAATGTTGATGGAAGGAGAGGGGTCTGTGTGTATCCATTTGTAAAGCACCTGAAATCAAACCATTTTATAATAGTGACACAGTACGAGTTGAATGAGTCAAGAAAGGAAAGTTGTTTCTTTGCACATAAAAACATTTAATGACTAAACAAATACCACTGTGGCAACAAATGACATACAGTGTGCAAGAATAATTTGAAAACACAGAAAATAACAAATTTTCACAAAACATGTAAAGAACACTACCCTTCATATCAACAAAGCTTGCAAGAAAAATATATTAAACTCACATTCAACAACATGTGAATATTCCTTTGTATTAACCATGTTTGTCATGATAAAACCGTTTTAACAAAATGTTAACAATCATGACATCGTGTCAAAATTATATCACAAATTGATGTCATTTCCCCCCCCCCCCCCCCCAACATGTAGAGAAGTGAACAGTTCACACTCTCAAGATATTTAAAAGATTAATGCTTGTCAACCTTTTGATGTTCGTCTTGTTTCCTTTAAAACAGTATTACTGGTACATCAAAGTTCGCATCTGCCTCACAAACAAAGAATATGTTTTTTTCAAGATTCTCTCTAGCTCTTGCACTGAATGTCTAATATCATTTCACAATTACATATCGATGTGCTGATTTATACAAATTCGTCAAAATATATCCAGCGTTATATCTACAAGCGACCCGATGGAAAGCTGTGAATTACATGTAAACAATTTTTGGCACACATAAACTTGGATGCTACTTGCAATTATATACAATCATTTGTACCAAGATATCCCCAAACAATAAGCTCAACATGTTATTTACCTTGTAAAAATGCAAGGTAGAAGCTCACACAAAACATAACACAATACATAGTTGTAATAATTAGTATAATAAACTTAAACTTTGGCAAGGTAAGTTACATCACAAAGAAAATGTACATATTGCATTTTGCCAAGAAATAAAAAGTTTGCTCAGAGCCGATTTTATAATGATTTCAGTTACAATTTCAGATATTTTATCAAAGAAATGTAATGAACTTCAAATTCATCATTTCTCTTTTTCTTTTCTATTACTGTAGGAGAGGAAAGGACCAAAGATTGGAGGAGAAACCCTACTTGTTCGAGGAACGGAAGAAAGATACCTGTAACCACAAATCAACAGCATTTCTACAATATTTCCCTGGAAAAGATTATCATGATCCTACCACAAGGTTAGGCACAGCTTATACATTGAATGCAACCTATGCATTACCTATTCAGGATCCACCTTTCTTTCTACATGCTTAGTACCCTTTATCTCATCAAGATGATATACTTACATTGTAACTTTGATGTCTGGCATACATACCACATCTAAACCAAGTATGGTGTTAGATAGTATATGATGTGAAACTTTGAATATAAAGTTTATAAATATAGAAAATTAGAGGCAAAATATTAACAAATATATGTACAAACTTTTGTGTGCCTGACATGTTATAAAATTTTGCAAGTGGCTCAGATTTGTGAAAAGTTTCATGCTTTGAAATAATTGAATCACGGTTGACACACCACCAAATTTTGCAATACACAAAAGTTTCCTTTTGCTAAGATTTCTGTTTATAAAGTTGTATGTATGTACTATGAGTTGATGCCAAACAAGTGAAAAGAAATTTTGTTCATACCACGACTATAACAGTACCTTGTGTGATAAGTTTGAACAAACAAATTAATTGGATTATTGTGACCTTCCTGGCTTCCTCGCATTTCTTGCCAGGAAAAAGCAGTAGATTTATCACTTGGTAGTTTGCAACCCATAATGAATTCAGCATTACATAAACACAGTCACTTTGTCTACCACTAAGAAACATTGATCAATATCGAAACACAGACTGATATGTGCAGTGCTACATTTTCCAATCCCTCTCTTTCAAGATAACATCCCATAAAATTGAACGTACTGATGTATTGAATAAATTGGGAAGAACCGTTATTTTGTGATGGCTCTTGGTCTGGCCCAGGTGATAATGATAATTATATTGATCTAGATTATGTAATGCTTAACATGTCTTAATATGTCTCTCATTAAAGTCTTTACAGATATAGTGATCAGAGATCAACGTCCATGGCTTTTATGCTGAATTTATTTGTTCCTCAGAAAGTATTTCTTTGTCTAAAAAAACGTATAATTTTTTTTGGGGGGGGATTAAAATTTTAAGAATTGTAGATTTGAAATGTCTTAAAGTGCCTTCTCATTCCAATACATGTATAAACGAACCAGGAGCACCATGTCTTAAGAGAACTATTTCACTCTTCATTGCTTATACAACATGTGTTCCAGTTGAAGAATGATTATTTACGTCATTACTTGATGAAGCATGACGTCACTTCATTACAATGCTTTAGAAAATTACTATATTCTATCAAATTTATCAATACCGGTATATAAAATATTTTTGAAGGTACAATTTTAAAAATTGAATGTAGAACTCTTTATTCTTAAATCATATTTGTGCTTTGTGAGCATGTTTGTTTCATACTTGTATCCATGAACATTTCCTCTCTTCTTGGTAGATGTCACATGATGTGCATTAATGAATAAATAGAAATCATGTTTGATTTTTGTTAGAAAATTCTGAGTGAAATTGAGCTTTATTTATATCTGTTCTTGTCCAGTGCTACATGTACATCACCATTTAGTAAAAATGCATTTATGTCATGACGTGCTTTTCAAAAAGGGTAAATAATCTTTACTTTTCCCTTTCCATCCCGATTAGTATCTCTGATATCAAAATATCACACTTGTTGAAAAGAGAATCATATTCATTACTTTAAGATGCAACCACATGAGGCAAGATTGTTTAATAAGTATTAAACAAAAGCAAAATATTTTAGCTGCCAACTTAATTTTACACATTTAGTATATCGGATATACTTTATAGTACATACGCACTTCTGGCTCTGAAACAGAAATCTCAAAATATATCATTTCAAAATGCAATACACAATGTTGGAAAATTCATAGATTGGTAGAATTAGACATTTTCTTCTAAGAATCCAGGTTTAAAAAATGCAATATTGTAGATTCTGTTATTAAATAATTGTAAATTTAGCATTTGTATAAAGGTAGGTGTCTTGAGGGTAAAAAGCACCTTTTTATAATAAAAGTTAGCTGTATTAATAAGAATACCGGTAATTCATTTACAGGTGGCAAGAATAGAACCAAAACATTTTTGGCCAGGTTTCAATGCTGTAGATGTTGAAAATCTATAATAACAATGTAAAATGCATAATTCAGAATCCACAAAGGTGCAATTAATGTTGAATACGGGTGAACAGCAAAGCTATTTACTTTATCTCTTGCAATTTATATTTTTTATTTCAACTGTTGCAAGTTAAATTTGATACAGACATTCAAATTCAAATCCAAAATTAAAGAAAACTATCAAGCTGAATATAAAATGGTACAATGTGCACAGGTTGACATCCCTGTTTCTATCCACACACTTTCAGTATTGGACCTTCTGCTTCACAAAATTGACATAACACAGTTGTAATATTGTGGCTACATAATACTTCAAGCATGTGCATATTTTGGCAATTTTTTTTAAACGCAAAAGAGGTGTAATAAAGTCAGTACAAAGGCTATTAATTATATGCTCTTCTAATAATTCCCATTTGAATGGATTTTGACTTTCTATAGCATGACTAAGAACATGGCTACAAATCAAAAATTCAAATTGTGATTGTCCTCGACCATTGCGGGAAAAAATGTGCTATTTCTTGATTGTTTGTTTTTCTCCGGATTTTTTTATGAGGAAACCCCAAAATAGCTGCCTTGCAATTAATACGCTTTCACGTTTACCAAATTTTGAAAATATCAACAAGTTCAGAAAATTAAATTATGTATATCCAACATTGTTCCTCATGAGATCTTGATCTGCTAGGAGAGGTATTCTATTAACAGATTGGCCCAAAAAATAATACCCAACTTCAATAGAAAATTATAGTAAAACAGCCATTTTGGTAAATGAAACTGAAAGATATTTAGTGCAGTCAAAAAGCTACTTTGTTTACAGAAAATTGCATTAAACCACATATTAACAACATAACAATGTGCAAAACACTGTGCTTGATTCAGTTTAGCATCCTCCCTTCAATAACAAAACATTTTCAACCATTATATCTACATTCACTCCACTTTTAATACCTACAAGTAGTTGAGTTCACAATTCTACACACACCGTTTACAATATCACTTATACAATAGCCATCCACAAGGTGATAGATCAATTGTGCAGTGCAGCTTTCTACAGATAATTCATGAGATAAACAACAATCGTTTTCAACATCCACACAAATCTACAGTCCTTGCACAAAAGCAGTTTCAAAATTGGCACTTTCTTGATTTGTTGGGCAAACATTTAACTTTAACGTCTTTAGAAATCGATTACTGATATCAACTTGAGGTTCAGCATTGCTGAGTTTCAGCAATCCCTATTTCACAAATTAATTGTATTTCCCTTTTTATTTCAACAACTGAAGTTTATTTGTAAAGGCAATCAATTCACAAAAGCATTTTGAACTCCCCTAAAGCGAGTTTTTTTTTTCTTGCAATTATCCTTCTTCAAATGAAACTTATCCTCTCAACAAATAAAATCAACAGATTGAGTTGTCTATCAATTGAACACTATATGTCTGTATGCTACAAAACAAACGACTAAACATAAAGAACTATCAGGCTGCACATACTGGCAAGATAGTTGTGGAATGCATTAGTTTATTTACATCTTTTAATAATTTCATACCAATCTCCTATTGTTATCCCATCACATGTGCATCTTGTCACTAAACTTGTGATTATATTAAACAGCCATCACATCTAATGTTGCATACTTTAAATCCACTGAAGTGTGTTTATTACAATTCGCAAAGATGCTCAAAGTGAATACACATTAATCATTACCTTCGCGGTGCATCTCAAGTTAACTACGAAGTGTCAATTCATCCTTTTGCGTTGCCCAAACGGCATGCCAAGGCCCTAGAGCTCATTACACAATGTCCTAACAGGCACAGAAACAAACCCTACTGTGGAATAAAAATTTCATGAATTTGTTGATTCATAATTTCACATTGCCCCATGGCGTGTCAATATCCCAGGGACCCGTTTCACAAAGCCTTTTTTCAATGACAAATGACAAAAATCAGTGACAAATCTGTCGATAACCAATCAGAAGCAAGGATTTCAGTAGCTTATAACACAAACTGTCATTTGTCACTGATGACAAGTTTTGTGAAACGCCCCCCATGACTCCTCCCAAACTATCCCATACAGGCACAGAATCAACCCTTCTGGAATGAAACTTTTGTGAATAGCATGGCACTGCCTTACGCTTCGTCTCTGACCTTCTCAAAGGTACTGGCTACCTGCAGGAGCAAGACCTCTTCAAAGACACGTCCAGTCAAGAGAAGACCCACAGGTTGGGTGTCCAGGTATCCTGCATTGATGGTCAGTGAGGGATGACCGGTCAGGTTGGCAGCCATCGTGTTGGAGTTCATGTTGGTTGACAGTTCAAGGAATTCTGAAATTTGAAAGAACAGGATATAAATTGGAAATGACTTTATTTTGCCTAAATTTGTATACACTTGCCAGCTGTTAAAGTTTCCACAGAGGAAGATTCAAACATGAACAGTTACCAATTTACATAGGTACACGTTGCCTTTCTATAAAAAAAAATCATGTACTTGAAATTATCTATTGAAATATACTTTTTGTTTAAACTGTTAAGTTTACTGAAATTACAATGCGTACACAAAATTTAGGACAGTGCAAGCACATACAGCAGATAACTGTGTATTAACATGATGGATATACAAGACAACCCCATTCTGGCTGTTTTTTAAATTCATTTGCATATCCAGCTAAACTTGCCTTAAGCTACAGTCCCATATACGTCCCGGACCGTCCCGGACCATCCCGGACCCCATCCGGGGTGATCCGGGATTCGGTCCGTGTTGACACCGTGTTGGCACCGGGGTGGTCCTGGATGGTCCTGGATGGTCCTGGATGGTCCTGGATGGTCCTGGGCGGTCCGGGAGTCGACCCCGGATGTTTTTGACGGTCAAAAACTGCCGGGGTGGTCCGGGACGGTCCGGGACAATAGTTTGATCCGGGGTGATCCGTGTAGCCACCGTGCTGGGTCCGGGGTCATCCGTAGTGGCGCCGTGGCAGTCCGGGAGTGAGTTATTGACCGCCCAGGACCATCCAGGACCATCCAGGACCATCCAGGACCACCCCGGTGCCAACACGGTGTCAACACGGACCGAATCCCGGATCACCCCGGATGGGGTCCGGGATGGTCCGGGACGGTCCGGGACGTATATGGGACTGTAGCTTTTAAAGCATCACACTTTTTTGAACAAAACATCCCGGACCATCCCGGATCACCCCAGACCATGGTCCGGGATGGTCCGGAGTGGTCCGTGCTCGTCCGTGCTGGTCCGGCTTTATATGGGACTGGGGCTTTAGCTACATGCAAGTCATACAGCCAATAGTCTATATTTCCAGCCATACAAGGCTCACTTGGCAAATATTAATGCCTATATTCAGAGGAAACAGATTGCAATACAGATACAAATGATAAGATTTCAGTTTCTATAAAAGGATGTGAAACCTGCTCGTGAAGTGAAACTAAATCTCTACAGGGATGCCAGTTTTCAGGCAATAGCCTGAATTCAGGCCCTGGCAAGTTATTTTCAGACCATAGTTTAGGCTTTTTTGTGTACAAAATAGCTCGTTCTAGGTGATTTTCAGGCCCTCTGATCAATTCTTACTGGCATCCCTATTTCTAGATCAGACTGCATTTTAACACAATGGCCATACCCTCATGAGAATAACCATCTGGCAAACTTAGATACTTACATTAACTTCATTTTCCTTTCCACGTCAGGAAATTTCTATGAAGTCGAAAAGCAAAGTGCTGTCACCAACCAAAAACTAGCACACAAATACACTAGGAATTACTCTCGTCGGGTAACATTTAGTCCAGAATGTATGACAGCAGTAAAAATATTATGACTCACTTGACAAATTGCAATTCTTTTTGGGTAGGTCGCTGGCAGTGAATGGGACGGTTGGCATGGCAATGACATCGTAATCTTTGTAAACATCGTCGTAAGCCTGGGTAAGAAGAAGGCGGATGTTCTGGCCCTTGCCATAGACCTGGCTCTGGTAGTTGGTCTTCATGTATTGCCCCATTAACATTGCAATCTGTGATGAAATTCATAGGGAAAATGATACGAAAAAACAAGGGGTAACACTACATGGCAAGTGCCACATATTACAGACTTTGGCTTATGGCACGATATATATATATATATATATATATATATATATATATATATATATTTTTTTGTTGTTGTTACTTAAATTAAAAAACAAATCGACACAAGCCACATGACTTAAAGTTTTTAACGGCCAAATGGCTAATATTCCATGTCCTGAATAAACAATAAACTAACCTGTGTGCTTGCATGTACCTATGCACTAATCTACTTTCATACCTGATAAACATTTTCTTCTCCAACATTCACTCCATCACATCCTTGCTTTATTTATATACATTTCAGAAAGTGATCAAATGCAGTCAAAGGAATAGTGGAATCAGTGCATATATATATACCTACACAATGCGGCCAGCGAAAGGTCTGATTGACAATGTGATCCACGATTCAAATCAAATTTGAATTAATGGATGGATGATCAAGGACTGCAATAAGTAGAAATGCACATGAATAGAAATTGAGTGGTGTAAAGATTTTTAAAAAGTACCTTCTGTGAATGGTTGAGGTCGTTGACCCTGGCCTTGAGTGACTTGCCAGCTGAACTCATCATACTGGTAGGATAGAAGCCACGGTACCCTGTCCCAACACCTACAAAACAAATGTCATTGATTATCAGTCACACACCTTGTATCAAATACATGGTATTTCTCAGAAGATTAAATAGCATAACTGCATCAAGAACTCATCAAATTCCAAATTTATTTTTGTTAGATATCACTGTAATATTGATCTCTTGCAACACTCTTTCATTTCTATTTCTGATGAATTGCTGTTTCCATGATTTTTCCTGTTTCATATTAGATCTTGATCAATTGGAAAGGCCAAGAAAAAAGACTTTTCAATAAACAAACTTGTTCTCATATCTCAATAGAAGTAAACAAATTATTAAAAAACTCCTTTGAAAATAATTTCATGATGAAAAGGCATGTTGTGATCTGTACTGAGCAAGAGACCATCATGAATTTGTCCAGAGGACAGCAATATCCCCCCTCTCCCGTCCCCCCCCCCCCCCTCCACCCACACACAGGGTTTAATGTCAGCAGAAACTGTTAATTCAATCTTACCTCCAGTCATGACGGTGTTATCAAGCAGTCCTTCATATGCAATGGCTGCCCATATATTTGTACCTATGAGAGCACAATTTAAAAATAAATGTGTCATTGGTATCCACTTTCTACATTATGTTGAAATAACATGAACAAATGCTTGACATTATTCTTAATTTTTATGTCTAAGTCATTATAAATCACCATCTATCTTGTACATGAATAATAACCTTACTATGTCCCACTCATCAATATCTTTCTAATAAAAATACACACAAATTAAGATCAGCAGTGTACACACACACACACAACAATATTAAAAAAATAATTAATACAAATAAAAGTGGCTTTTAAAACAATGTCAAACAAAATTAGATTTAGAATTTCAAAATCACTCAAACTGAAGAAGAAAAAAAATCATCAAAAAATTATTTCATCTTTTCCTATTGATGACACCCAATGAAAAACTTTCATCCTCCTAAAAATAAAAACAAACATGAAGAAAAGTTCTTTTGGTACTCATTCCAGAATGTCAATTCCAACCAACTTACATTCGGCATGAAGAGGTATAGAGACCTCTGTGATCTGTGCTCCGGCATAGGCTAGCTGATCAATGGCTTTCTTTACCAGTGTGTCGACCTTAGGATCAGAATCGGCTTGACCAAAACCTTCCTTCAAGATGGCTATCTTGATTCCCTCCAGGCTACACTGGCTCAACTGAATGGAAAGGCAAGATTGAACAAAGAAATGAGAATTCTATACAAACTAACGATAATAGATTAGACTATAATCTAGGTTTTTACTACATGGAGTTTATGTTTGTATCAGTGTGGTGTTAGACAGATGGAAACTGTCCAAGATTTTGTTGAGTTGCACATATAAGAAATAATATGAGTAATCTCCTTACTATACATCACTAATGTCCTTTGGTAAGACATTAATCTACATTTTGCCACTCTCCACCCAGGTGAAGTTAATGTGTACCCAGTAGGAAGAGATTCCTCAAGCACAGTAGAGTATATTTATATACTGTAGTAGCTGCGCTATATAAATCAACCTCTTGTTATTATAATTATTATCACTAAACCTTCAGAAAAACATTTTATCTTTATGTACATAATGGTAGCTAAACACAACTACTATAAAAAACAAGTTTTTGTTATGTACAATAGCTCAATGCAATATCAAAGGGAAACAAAACATTCCTATGGGCCCTACACTAGAGTCTTTCGGAAATAGACATGCCTATTATAACCTATAATCTCCTATACATGTTTAACTTTTTAGGTCATGAATGATTTGCGTTATTCTGTTTAGATCTTGTTCTTTTCTTTATCGTTATACTGACCTCCTTGGTATACTCTGGTACTATGATGCTACGAGGCTGCCTGGGATCCAGCCCATCATTATGACCAGCAATTGCCTGAAAAGATAAAGCATTAATATATTGATTTTTTTTTTTAAATAATAAAATGAAAAATTAAAAACTCATGATAAACTAGGTCAAAAGACACAGGGTTGTATTAATGCCTCTGATACCATCAGTAGGCAAAGGCATAAAGGACAGAGATAGTTGAGATTTGAGAAAGAGAGAAAAAAATAAAAGAAAGAATGATGCTAAACAAATCAATAGATATACCGGTACTCATAAAGATATTGGTACCTAACTGGTAAATACTAAGAAGGCTGGAGTCAGGTAAAGAGGGGGTAGTGGAGGACAGCAAATTAAATATTTGAAAGCCTAGAGAATAAGGGAGGAATGTTATTCAAGAAATGGTATACATTTAAAATATATCTTAAATATCCCTAAATGATATATAAATATATATATATATATATATATATATATATAAGAAATGTCACACATATGAAAAATTAGATGAGGTAAATTAGCTCTAAACATACCTCAAGTATCAAAGCACAGTCATGGACCGTACGTGCCATTGGTCCGACATGGTCCAGGGATGGGTCTATAGACATAGCCCCAGTATACGGGACCAGACCATAACTGGGCTTGAGTCCAACTATCCCATTCCAGCTGGCTGGAACACGGATGGAGCCTCGCTGGTCTCCACCAATTGCCATGTCAACTTCATTGCACGCAACCTAATGTAATGGGAGACACACAAATTAAACACCAATTAGGATTTACTTATCATATTTTTTGTTACACCCTTCATTTTTGTTCTTCTTCTTTTTCCTTATCAGTAAAGATCCAATAATTCATATTTGGAAAAAGAAGAGGTCAAGAATGCATTGAGTTCATTTTTATTTGAGGTTCATATAATTCTTTACAACAACAAAAATTAATTTAGTATAACAGAACCAATACCATGAACTTATGATGAGTGGTAAAAGCAGAATGTTCTACAATTTACATGAAAAACATATTAAAATATCAGAAATTAGCTATTTCTGTTACCTGTACCTGTAATACTGACCACGCTACAAATGACACGATTGCATCTCTTCTCCAGAGGGACATCTCCAGCATCTGCTGGGTTTTTGCATACTGTACTTAACTATGAAATGACGTTCATACTTGGCAGCTGCTCTAGTCTAAGCTACAGTACTCACCAGAACAGCTCCACCGGAGGTTGAACCTCCTGCACTCTTGGCCACATTGTAAGCATTGCACACCGGTCCCTTAGCACTTGTAAAGCTTCCTCCAGAGAAGCATAGACTCTCACACATTGACTTGCCCAGTATGGTGCCACCTGGGAGAACATAGACAAACACATTTTTTTTTCAAGGTCATGTATGACTGTGAATGTGCAAGCAAATCAGGATAGTTCAAAAGTGCACAAAGGCAAGTCAAAGGTTTGTCTTCACATATTATAAGATGGGTAGAAGAATCCCTGCAATCTGATTGGTCAATTACCATGTAATTATTTTTACTGGATGCACTCGATATCGGCGATCGATACCACCGATATCCTTTTTTTTTTTTTAATAATTCTTCTTTTTTTCTTTTTTTTTATAGTTTTTTTTTTTTTATATAATTTTTTTTTTAATGATTTTTTTGATAATTAATTTTTTGGTGATAATTATTTGTTTTTCATGTTTTTTGATAATTATAATCTGTTATAATCTGTTAAAAATCATGCGTCCGGTAAAAAAAATCATGCGTCCGGTAAAAAAAAATCATGCGTCCGGTAAAAAAAAATTACCGGACGCATGATTTTGCCATGCATCCGGTAAATCTTTAAAATAACAAAATTTTGTATTTTTGACAATTTTTGGGGCCCCATCTTATAAAACAGATGATGCACAGGTTTAATTTGTGGGTCGGTGGATTTGTGTGCACGCGTGAATTTGGTCTAAAACCATTCAAAGGTATCTTGTGCACACAATCCCTACCGACACACTCAAACCTGTGCATCATTTGTATACCGTACTGACATTATCAAAAGTTGTTAGTACTGGGCCTCGACTTACAAAGAGTTGATATTAATGTACATAAGAGATAGGAGACTGCAAACTTGCGATCGATTGGAGGACTTGCGATCAATTTGGATCAATCGTAACTCTTTGTAGGACAGGGCCCAGGTATACCAAATGATTGTATAGGATTTATAATAAAAAAATAATATTGTCACATTTGTATAGCTCTTAAAGAGAAGGTTGAGTACTGGGAAGAGGTGGAAAATAATTTGTGAGCATTACTCATTCTTATTATGCAAGTGTGGAAGAACATCAGTTAAGACATGTTCCCTGAAAAGCATGGCTCTTCAAATGCCTTCATATTCTAAATATGCATGTAACATCGTAAAAATCGGGGGCCGGCTTTTTACGCCACGTGTTCGTGTAGTCCCATATACATGTTTCTGTGCAAGTGTTTGTAACTTTACCAAGACTTGGCCACATTTCTTATCATTTTGATGATTCCAGAACCTTGCAATACACACACATTCTTATATGCTAGATGATCAACCTTTTCTGGTCGGTTCCACACCGTTTCTTTCACAATGCATTCGCATGACCAGAACTCAACTTCATCTTTAATACTCAAATTCTAGGCGCTTTAAATTGTATTTATTATTACCAAAGTCTTTGTATTCAAATTGCTCTTCTGCAAAAGATAGTCAGTGCAAACTCTCCACTCCCTGGGGAATATTCCGGTAAGGCACCATTTTCTAAGCATGCACATACCAATCCAACCACATTAAAGTTTGCATCCTACCGGGTACCCATTTAATACCTAGGTAGAGAGTGGCGAATGTAGATAAATGTTTTGCCAAAGGACATTTGTGCCGTACAAGGGCGTGACCCCATAAGCTTCTCATTTCAAGTCAAGTGTTTAATCCACTTGACTACGACACCTCTACAATGCCCCACTGGATCAGATCTAAATAACGGGAAAATGACATTGGGGATATTGATTTCCATTTACTTTTCTTTATCCTTGGTAATATATAGGACACCAAATGACCAAAATCCAAATACATTTGACCAACAATTCAAACATGACACTGACAGTCAGAATTATGGGTTATCATGATTAATTTAATGGAATTTTGTTTTCCTTGGTGAATCTACATGTATGTATTCTATTTAAAGTCTATATCAGTAAGCAATTTAGAAGCCCATCTTAGTTTGAAGGGTCATAGATTTGACAAATGAATTGATTCTTTTGATTTGTTTCTCTGGGTAAATATACATTGTATGCTGTATGCTCAGTTAAAACAATCAATTCTCTAAATAATATTCAAAAATGCATATTGATTTAGATGGTGTAGATTGATCAGTAACATACATTGACGAAGTAATCATGCTCCTACCAATTCTATAAGTCAAGCTTCTTCTAAATTTGAACTTGTATATTTGCAGTAACATGTTTTAAATTAAGCTACAGTCACAAAGGTTTGTACGAATCTCCGTTTTCCCATTGTCTTCCTGAATGTCCATTGTCTGAAAATCATTTGTACGGCGTTCGTAGCAGTTCGTAATGGCATTTGTGACCAAGGCTTTAGTGGGGGGGAGGGGGTGCACTAAAACTAATATTATCATTTCATGTTACATACTGTACATGTATGTATTAATTACTCCAAGGCCTGATTACCCCTTAACCTAATATACATTCAAAGTTATAATAACGTTGAACATGGTAATTGCATGCATTTCCCAAACATACACGATAAACATAATATACCTCACTTAAGAAATCCAGCCATCTGATTGGTCAAAAATTGCAGTCGTGGTTTTAGCCATTCCCATAAAATGCCAAACCCATGTAATACTTCTAGAGTAAATTGGTAAAATCCCGACAAAATTCCAGTTACCATGGTTACCGGGAAAATAGTTCAGTCTTGATGAAATACCCATTGGTTCACATGTTAAAATCTGGTTTGACCAATGGCGGATACCATACATACGTGTGCGAAGAATTGGTCGCTAGCTTAATTTTTTTCTTTTTTTAATGTCGATTGTTCTACTAAATCCGGCCTAGATTCTACTTATACATGTAGTTTCCAAACAAGGCAAAAATGGCTGAAGAAACTCTTTCTAGATTTCAACTTCTTGATGATGATCAATTGCAAGACTTGATTAATTCTGCTGACAGCAAGAACACCAAAAGGGTACATGAAATTCTCCATAAAAAAATTGAAAATACATGTAGATCTAGTAGGGTGTCTGATCGGTTTTGTGTGCACTCTGTTTTGTGTGCTAAAATCCTTCCCATAGAGATTGCACACATCCCTATGCAGTCAATGTGCATTGCGCACTCATGCTAAATTGGTTGATGTTTTAATTACCAAAATGAGATTCAAACCAATATTGCTCGTGGTCCTGAAGGTGATACTCAATAAGTGAGGTGTCATATGAAAGAGCAGGTTTTTCTCCATATTCCCCACAGGGGCCCACCCCCAAAATGTTAAGATTTCCAACTGACTGACCGATGTTTTGGCACCTTAAGGGCAATACAACATTTTTTTTTTCCCGGCCTAATCTTCACTCATGCAAAACTCCTGTAAATTTCCCCACTTTTTTCCTGGCTTTTCATCAAAAATTTTTTTTTTTAAATCAAGCTCAGAAAGGTTTCTCAAAATAATATCCACTATCAGTTTGACATTTTGGCGAATGCTTAAAAAATATTTTTCAGCTGCCAGATTTACATGAATGTACTTAGACATGAAACGGACTAAGCACAGGAATAATACCTAATATTTATACTGCAAGAAAAATTGAACATTGAGCCACACTGAATCTACCCATCAATTATGTTAATAAGTCAAATTTAACTACCGGTAACCACATGGGATCAAAAGAACTAGTGTTTTATGGCTTGTTTACAAAAATGGCTTGGAGCCAAATAATAAGATCTGGGGTAATGCCAATGGTTAAAAGCTCCCCTGAACAAAAATAATAATCTTTGCATAAATAAACTGAATCAATGGATTCAGTTATGCTGTAAACAGCAAAGATACATCAATTAACTATAACATGGGTTGTGGCATTTCTTTTCATGAAAAATACATGCATGCCACTGATGAATAGAATAGCATTCAACCAGAAGACCGTAGGAGTACCACTATCACAATGAAGACATACAAGATGGCAGTGACATAATGGCTGATGGTCTGGTTTAGAATTGGAACTAGACCATGACATGAAAGCACAGCCTAGTACATATTGTATTGTTCACATACATATTTCACCATGACTTCAGTTCATGTTTGAGAAGAGATCAGGCATGATACCATACTCTCTCATCCATAAATTTCTGACTCAGTCACTCAGTATGAGTAAATTGTACAATGTTCTGGGATACAACTAACATTTAACTAAAAATCTGAATACATGTATTTTTAACTTACTTACTAGTACCTACATGTATGTATGTATATAAACTAATTCATTAATGCTAATAAAATCTAATAGGAAATATACTTCTTTGGCCCTAAGCCTATAGCGCATCCGAAAATTTACTCTAAACATAAACTTGGTTTCTTTTTCTCTGTTTAAAATTTTGATGAAATGCTTACTAAAGATGAACATATGATCATTATACATATATATCAGGCCCAAATGTTTAGGTCTGATCAAATCAATAATTTGGATAGGAAATCAGCCACTCTTTATCACTTAAACTATTGTTCTGTAATACATGAAAGAACATTGCAAAGCCTGATCCAAATCCAATTACAACTAGATGGAATTTTGACTGCGCGCAGTCAAAAATGATGCCTCCGCCATAGAGCAACTTTACAAACCAAAACGGAAGCAATTTTTAAAATTCAAGTTTGATTGTAATCCATCTGTCGGTTTTAATAATAATGCATTCACAAGCTATTTATAGTCATACATAATGAGCCCCATGACCCTTGACCTGATGACCCTAAAATCTAATCAGTTAATTGGCTCTGCAAGATACATATATACATGTCTTGAGTTTGATAGTAATCTGTCTATTGGTTCTCATTATAATGCGATCACAAGCTATTTGTGCATACATAATGAGCCCTGTGACCTTTGACCTCGTGACCCCAAAATATAATCAGTTCATTGGCTCTGTTAGATACATACATGACCCAAGTTTGGCAGGAATCCATTGACCGGTTCTTGAGATAACGCGATCACGAGCTATTTTTGTAGACATAATGAGCCCTGTGACCTTTGACCTCGTGACCCCAAAATCTAATCAGTCCATTGGCTCTGTTAGATACATACATGATCCAAGTTTGGCACGAATCCATCGATCGGTTCTTGAGATAACGCGATCACAAGCTATTTTTGTATACATAATGAGCCCTGTGACCTTTGACCTCCGACCTCGTGACCCCAAAATCTAATCAGTTCATTGGCTCTGTTAGATACATATATGACCCAAGTTTGGCAGGAATCCATTGATCGGTTCTTGAGATATTGCGATCACAAGCTATTTTTGAATACATAATGAGCCCTGTGACCTTTGACCTTCGACCTCGTGACCCCAAAATCTAATCAGTTCATTGGCTCTGCAAGATACATACATGATCCAAGTTTAGAGAGAATCCATCAATTGGTTCTTGAGATAACGCGATCACGAGAACGGGACGTACGGACGGACGTACGTACGGACGGACGTACGGACGGACGGACAACCAGAAAACATAATGCCTCCGGCTACTTTGTAGCGGAGGCATAAAAATGCTTGCCAAATTCAACCTTTTTTTGACCAAGCAATAATCTATTTGAGTTCTTACCTTCATCGAGGATCCTCGTGACTACGATGGCATCAAAGTCTGGCACATAGCCCTCCAGAGCATGGCAGCCAGCCATCATGGGGACTCCTGCCACGGCTATGTTGTCGTTGATTGCCACACGCTTACGGGACAGTCTTCCACTTGCAGCTCCCTTGATATTGCACCGCCAGAACCTGCCAAAATATTATAAAGTACGGTACAGGAAGTTGGACTCAGTCAGGAAATATGCCACATGATAGACTAGCAAAGCCAAGGAAGGAAACAAGTCCCAAGTTTCTCTGTTAATATTAAACAATTTCTTACAAAATATTTTCAAAACATTACACCTACTGAAAACAACCAAAACCAAACTGCTCAAGCAGCGCAAATTGCCCTAACTCACAAAATTTAAATCACTGGCTACTTAATCATCTCACTGCTATAGGCTTTTTAAAGCCAAAACAGTTCCCACAGGCAATGAGTTAAGATGAATGTGAAAGAATTACCGTAAGCATTTCCCCAGGCCATTAGGCCTACTGTTCTAAGAATTTCAGGTCATTGGAATGTTCCATTTCATGTAAATCGGTGAAACCTTATAATGATATGTCATTCTATGTAAAAGACGGGCAAAATTTTAATTTCTCTGATTCTCCTCAAGAAAATACTCTTTTTAATATAACTTCCTTACCAGGCATTGAATGGGTTATCCTCTGGCAATGGACGAAAACCCGGAGTCCTAGGATATTTGACAGGCAAGGTTGGTTCGGCCAATCGGTCAAGTCTGTTGACCTTCTTCAAGATATCACCTATTGCCTCCTGATATTCAGTCAAAAGCTTGGGGTCACTCAGACACAGTCCAAACTGGGCTGACATCTTCTCTAGCTCACTGATGGCTGGCTTACGCACCAAGGGTGTGTTATACAGATCTTTATCCACTAAAAATATAATGCAAACGATTCAAACTTTAATTTTCTGTATCTATTTATTATGAGTAATTTGTTATTACCTACATGTTAATGAATGATCATGAATACTAAATAGACAGGTGAACAAAGATCTTGTTAACTGCTGATTTGTAAACTATCCTCAGTATTTAAATCTCTTTTTTTGTCAAGGGGATTCTTTAGTGATTTTCTTCAGAATAATGAGACTTCAATAACACAAATATTTCTATTTCTATTTTCTCAAGTTATGTTTCCCGGGGTCACTTTCCCCCAGTTGCCTTTTTGAGATATCCAAAACTCTCAAACTCAAATTACATACAAAAACAGATTTCTGCAAAATCTTGAAGTTATGAAATAATGATACGTATCATTCAGAATACTCCAAAACAAAATGACTGTAACCTGAAAAATGTTGTGGTTTTGGCTAAAGTCTGACGGCTGACATTCAACAGGTTGGACATTGCACTATCCAATAAAAGTTTTAGAGGAAGATTTATTCCCCCATCAATAGTATTAGCAAATACATTTTCCCCTGGTATTGATAACCAATAAATTAAATTCCTAATTAGCAAACATCAAGATTTGATTTGATTTTTAAATGTATCTATCCATACCAGATGTTTTTCAAAGGGGTCCAAGAATCACTTACTAGGTATAAAACAGACCCCAAAATGAAGTGACTGTCAAACAAAATAATATTAAAATTATAAAAAAAATTCCACAAAGTCATTTATAAATGAAGGTATAAGTGTAAGACTAAACTTACTGGTAGTTGTTGGTTCTTCTGTATCAACATGGTTAGTTTCAGTGTGGACACCATTAGTAGCCTCTGAGTGATTAAGTGCCACAGTGCTGCTTGTATGAACAGGTGATGCAACACCTGACGCTGAAGTCGAAGATGAAGAGTTGGATGTGTGAGGTGGAGACTTGTGTCCAAAATTTGCAGCTACAGGTTCAAAATGTACAAATGAAAATAAAAATAACTAATTTTGAAGAAAAAATAAGAAGTAAAATCATGGTGTCCCGCCCCTTGCTTGAATATTACATTAGATCAGCATGCATCCAGAATCTAGATTCTATTCAAAGTTGTGCTCAATATCACACGGTAAGAAAGAGAATTTTTTATTTTTTTTTATTATCTATTTTGATTTGTTGAAAAGTGGTACCCTATTTCTGGTTGAATTATGTAATTCCTGAGAAAGGAGTCAGGGTATATAAGTACATGTAGTTCTTTCTTAAGTCATGATCTAAAGTTAGTCTCACGAGCAGTTTTTTCATGTGGTCTGTACATATAAATTAAGTCTTTTTCATGTGACCTGTACATATTAATTATATTTTGTGTTTTTTATATTCATTTCCTCATTAGCTTGAAATCCTAGACATTAAACTTTAAAAACTCTTTATTTCATAGTGTTCCATTTTACAAAATATTTATTTTAGACAACTAATAAGACCTACAGTTCATAGTACATATACTAAAATGTGCTGTGCTAGTAGTAGTCAGATCATCTGTGCACTTGTTGTTTAATCTTTCATTTTTTTTAAGTATTAGGCCAACATGTATTATTATTGATACCTAGTTTTTCATGCCAACCCACTTTTTCTTATCAAATGAACCAGGCACAGCCTCTATCATTATTATTGATTATTATTATCATTATCATCAATAATTATAATGTTATTGTACTACTATCATGATTCATGATCATTAATATTATAATTTGTTTGGATTATCGTTATTATTATTATTTGTTTTTATTATCATTATCATTGTTGTTATCATTATCTTCATTGATATTATTTTTATTTTTATTTTTATTATTATTATTAGTTATTTCATGAACATAATGATGAATTCAAGAAAATGAAAAGAAAGTATGTCAAGAGATATGAAACGTCCAACCCCACAGCTTGGAGAAAAATGGATGTTAAACAATAAACAATAACAGTGATGCTGAAAACAAAGTCAGTGAGGTTATTGAATGTAAAATCATTAGGATATAAAACTATAATCTACAATCTTAATCTACATGATCATGTAGTGCAAATAAAACTTTCACTTGTTTTGAGCCTCAAAACTGAAAACACTCAACACTGTCACTGATATTGATAACACTCAACTCAGACAAATGAAATGTTAAATTGGAAATAATAAAGATTAAAGACACACCAAAGCATCTGGGTGTGTACATCATGGTATGCAAGAAAGACATGGACTATCAAGTTTATAATGCCACATGGATCTTGTTTCAACATATTTAGAGGAAAAAGTGTAACATAAACTTAACTTAAAGTTAATTTTAAACTTGCAGAAGTCTAGCTAGCGCCAGGAGTAGGACCTAAGGTCCAACATATTAAAACTCATTCTAATTTCTATCAGGCTAATAAAATTAAACTTCTTGCTTTTCCAGTTCAGTTTACAAAGCTATTGAATGTACATGTATAGGAAAATTAGCAAACTAGACAGGTCAAGTCATATTTCTAACACCTAATTCTAACACCAGATAACAAAGAAATCGGGCAATGACGCTTTAACAGAGTTTTAATTATCGCGCGTCAAGGCACTTCCGGGTGGTCACATTGATTGAATATTAAAACGGGAATCCCCGGATGAAAAAGGTTACATACAAAACAAGGAGATTAACTTCAGTCTTCAGTTCTTACCATCCCGAAACACTTTAGCAACTGGATCTGTTTCCCCTTCGAATGAGTTGAACGATGTTGAGCTTGATGAACGAAATGCTCGATGGGGCACCATGCTCCGACTAGACTGCCTCGTACTGGAATACGACGAGGAATTCTTCCTGCGATTAGGGCGATCACGAAGCGAAGACCCATCCCCAAGAATTGCACTCAGATCTTGAAAATATGGGCAAGATTTTCGGCTTTCCCTGCCACGCAACACATTCTTGTATGCAATTTTCAGCTTCTTTATCTTGCTACGAATTTGTTGAGAGTCTCGAGCACAACCTCTCTCTATCAATTTCGTCGACATCAGCTCGTAGGTTTCTTGATTTCGAGGTCCGCTCAGGCCACTTTTGATTTCACTCGTTCTCCATATTGCGATGAGTGAGCGAATCTCTTCAGGGCTCCAATTAGTTCCTCGACTGGGAGTAAGGTGTGAATTTGAGCCCGAATTTGCCATAGTGATTGTCCTGTAACTCTAAAATAAACACGATCAGTCCGTAACTAAGTCCTTTTCCTTCAAAACTGTAGGTAATTTTGCTCTTTTAATCAACAAAACAATATGATAAATGTCGAGAATCGGGAGCGTTTTCAGACCGCTCTAATTTGGTACAGCGCTCATATGGACTATATTGCACACAAAAACATGCATCGAACGACGCATTATGCGCACACTAAGTGCAGGTCTACGTGCATAATGTAGACCGTTCCAACGCCCAATTGTAACCGACGCGTGTGTATAGCCTAGTCATATCAGGGCTTATTTATTATGCAGAAGGCCGCGGGGCCAGAACCGCGCTCGGGTCAAGACCTGCTTTTTCCTTCCCTGCTCTGATCGAGTCTTTGTTTCACGTCAGTTCCAGGCGGCCTATTGCCACAGCTGCTCATGCCGGGCCAGATTCATATATACAAAGAATAAAACCCATGATCGGTCAACCGGTGAGGCTTATTTTATAGACTTGGTTCCTGATATGACAATATTTTTGGTACAAAGAATATGCAAATTAATCGTGGACATATGTTATGCATTTGCCCCCCCCCCCCCATACCCCCCATTGAGGCCTTAGTCTCAATATCAAGGGTCTAGAAATACCTCATATCAAAGTGATAACAATTATGAGCGGATGCGATTATCAATTGATCGAAAATTGACATGACTGTTGAATATATATATATTTGAAAAATAAGATTGTAGTATTGTATTGTACTGAGTGCTGCCACTGAAACGTAGCAGGTGCATCTGACTAGCATGTACCCAGTACACATCTCCCTAAGACGTAATTGTTCGTGCTAGCACAACGCGCGTATGGAAGTCACGGCAGAATGATGAAAAGAGAACAAAGGTCCCCGTTCTTGTTGCACTCGGTATCAAATGGGAATCAGCCTATCTGATCTGAGTTGAGTAGTATCTTGCTAGAGCTCACAGAGTCATCGTGACGTGCACGGGGACTGGCTTTTCATAATAATTGTTGCGTATAATGCCACAAATCATAATGATTTACTGTTGTGATAGTCTGGTCTAATCGTGGATATTCTCAATGACACACAAACGGCGGCGGTAGAATATTATATGCCTTGAAATTAAAGACCTAACCTATAGTGTTATGTGTAATAACTTTAATTTACTTTATATTTGGATTGAAACAATTAGAGAATGTACTATTTCACCAATCATTATGACATATATATAAATTCACAAAGTTGAGCCCTGGTGCATATCTCGTGATATACCTATACCATGATTAACAGGTGTTTAATATTTAAACACCGCTTAGTGTGTATTATTGAAATCCAGTGCGACGGAAAACTGCCCCCTTCCCTCTTACAAATCGAGACTTTGTTCTAGAGCCACGGCATTACCGGTAGCTTATCAGCAGTAGATCGAAACATATCGGAGGTCATGACTACCTATACCGTCCGAACGTAACTAATGATGGGACAGTTTATAAAAGAAACCAGTACTCCCCCCCCCCCCCCCCTCAACCGTAAAAGAGGGAAAGTATTGTTAAGAGTCCTATCAGTCGACGCAAAATGCTCTTGATGTACAGCCCTACTCATCTCGTTCTCCCTGTCTCTCTCTCTCTCTCCCCCCCCCCCCTCTCTCTCTCTCTCTCTCTCTCTCTGTTTCTCTGTCTCTCTTACACACATTACACACACAACCTCTTTTCATTTATTTCTCTCTCTCTCTCTCTCCCTCTCTCTCTCTCTATTTATTTATCTTTCTTTCGACTCTCTCAAGTTTTCACACCCAAACACACGCTCCCACACTATATGCATCACCCATTTTCAAACAGCAGTTAAATCTACACATTGAAGCGCTGGCCAGGTTATAATAATTTATTAAAGCAATTCAAACTTTACACCACATCATTATCTATATTCAAAATAATCAAAAAATCTGTTGGCTGATTTTATAATCTCAATATACATATATTAATTTTAATTATCCTAAAGTTTGACAATATTAACAATAATTATATGTCCCATTTAGAGGCCCCAAAATGAAAAGGTTAAATTCTACCGGAAATAAGACTAATTTAGAACTTCCCTCAAAACGAAAGTGCTTGAAAATGTCTTTAGCTGGAAAATAACGTCCGATAGTTGTCTAATCGACTTTAGGGATTGCGATCCTTCAGTTAGTAAATAGTCTGATTTTCAGAGTCTCGTACCGAATGGTGTACGTTTTGCGCTGCGCAAAGATTCCATCAGTTTAATTTTGGCTATTTCAAGAAGTAGATATTGATGTAGACATGTGCCCATGTAGGCCTACCCTTTATAGCTCATTTTATGTATGTTATTACCAAAGACAAAATGAAGTCAGTGTCTGACAGTCATGGGTGTCGATCCAGGGGGGATGGGGGGATATATCCCCCCCCCCCAATAATTCACCATAAAAAAAAAATGAAGAGAAAAATTAATGATGAGAGCCCGATGAGAGTAGTTAATGGTTATTACTCGCAAGATGACCATCAATATACACATTTTGCTATCTCATTTTCATAATAGGCCTACATACGTAAATGAGACAACCGTATATGAGACAAGAATAATTGAGAAGAATTGAATTCTCGCTCATACGGCTTCATCAAGAATTGATGAAATTATTCAATTTATTTAATCAACAGCATCATAGAAACGAAGTGCGCCAAATGCAATGCCGCAACGTTAAAATGCAACGAGCTAAATATTAAGCGCGAAGCCCAAAAGTGCGAAAAAGAAGTAGAAGTAGAAGAGTGGGAGAGAGATATAATAAGAGACAGAAAGGATTATACAGGCGCGTTGCCAGGGAGGGGCGGTGGGGGCAGTCGCCCCCCCCCCCCCCCAAAAAAAAAAAAAAAAAAAACGCCGGCCAAAAAAAAAAAATGAGAAAGAAAAAAGAAAGGAAGAGGACGAAGGAAGAAAAAAGGATTAAGAGTCGAGAGCGGTACAACGAATCGTCTTCTTTCTCTAATAATTTAATCAAACGTCAAAAGAAACTGAATTTAGACAAGGATTAAGAGTCGAGAACGGTACAACGAATCGTTCTCTCGAATGATTTATTAAACATCAAAGCTTCCGCGCTTTGCGCGGGATGGGGGAAGCCCCCCCCCCCCTCCTCCCTGCACCCACCCCCTAGGGAGCGTGCTTCGCGTGCTCACTACCGCCCCTAAAATAAAATCCTTGCTACTCGCTTGAGAGGATAATAACCCAGGTAGCAAGCCCATGTGGGACCCACATGCATGGGTCCCATATTCTCTGAAATGTTATCTTTATTGAGGGTGACTTGAAAAAGTTAATAACTTGGAAGGGAGGGGGTGCAAACTGCCACACGCTTCTACCTCTTGGTTGCTTTGATCCATTGCCGAAAATATTTTGGCACATATCATCCCCCCCCCCCAACCACGGATACAATCGACACCGTTGCTGACAGTGCATGTATAGAAAGTAAACGGGATCCCTTGCATAATATGTGATGTTTGAATAAAACAATTGGGATTTTGGTAGTAATTCGGTCTTTGCAGATCCCTATAACATCCCTAACAAAATTAATCATGCCACACATACCAAATATCGAATATCAATTATCAACGAACATTTTGTGCGCGAGTGGGTGTGTGTGTGTGTGTGTGTGTGTGTGACTTTGCTTTTGCAAAAAGCATATGCAATGCATTTCATTTGATACATTCAATTCATTCTCTCACTCCGCTAATCCCAACATAATACATGCTGTAGGCATCACTTTGGCGCAAGTCGATTTTTGCACTCTCGCAAACAATGCCTCATGTTCATCCAAGCGTGAACACATACCACACAAAAAGGATACCAAATGATTTGGGATAAAACACTCTTTCATAAGATGTATAATAATTTACTGTTCATAGATGATTTTAAAAATAATTAGCAATTTTCTAGGTGTAAATTTTTTTTTGGCTCACACGGTAGTACGTAGCATATTCACAATTCCTGCAAACTTCTACAGAATTCGATGTTGGCTGCAAATGGGACATAGTGCATTAACAAATATGAATATGAGGAGTTAAATGTATTTGTTTCATTTCCCTTCATAATCACGAGAACTTTGTAGGGTTTCAATTCAATTCAAGGTTTATTTCGCAAAACATAAAATACAATGATGCACATGTTGCAGCTAAAAAAAAGCTGAAATGTATATGTTTACAACATTACTATCGATGATACATAATCAATAGAAAAGAATATCCATTCACAAAACATATTTGCATAAGCGTACAATAAGTCCATGAAAGATAAAATGCAAGTCTGATTAAAAAGACAACTGTTCAAATATACAAATAAAAAGATATTGGGTTTGTAAAGAAAAACTTATAACAATCAGCGACTATTAAAGGTTTAGAGACCATGCAGTTTTGGAAACGCCCCCCCCCCCCCCCCCCCCCTCTCTCTCAAAAAATGAAATGGAAGCTCTTATTATGTGAAAGAATATGTCTTTTACTAATACGTGATGATACAAATTTTGCCGGGGAAACCGCCTACTAATTGATATATTTGGTAAGTCTATAGGGACTGGATAGATATCGTGTAGTCCCATATAAAAATCTTTCTGTGTACAGGGCTTGTAACTTTACCAAGAGTAGACTGGGCCAAATTTCTTTTCATTTTAATGATTCCAGAACCTTGCAGTACACACCAATGTTTTATGCTAGATGATCAACCTTTTCTGATCGATTCCACAACGTTTCTTTCACAATGCAATCGCATAGCCAGAACTGGTCTATACCTTTCAGAAGATCAATCAAATATGGTATTGCACTTTGTTTAAAACGAGAGGTCCTGCATTTATATTGATTATACTTTTGTTTATTTCGTAATGACATGCCAACAATTTTTCGTTTAGGAATCCAGCCTTTGCATTGTGGGTTTTTAATTAGAGATACAGCAAAAACAAAAACAAATTCACGCCATATTTACAATCGTTCAAGTTGGCATCGTTTCAATGTGTCTTCATAATTTATATAACATTCACCTAAAATGATTTTACCTACTCTTTTCTGGATTCTTTTTAAATTCTATATGTGCTCTAAAGTAAGACCTCCATTAAAAACAGGTGCGCAATACTTTAAAACAGGACGAATGTATCCACCATAATTATATTTGAATTAAGTCAGGAATTGGTAATTTATATTGCTTAACCATTCTAAACATGTAAAGTTTTCTATTGCGCTTTTTAAAAAACTTCAGTTATGTGAGTGTCCCATTTCAAATTTTGTTGGATGTAGACTCCCAGAATTTGTATAGATTTGAAATATGACAATTGTGAATCACCAATACTCAAAATCTCAGGAATAGATGGATTTTTCATGAATGTAACTCTCATTGCATTACATTTCTTAGGGTCTAGTTTCATGTGATTACTTTCTGTCCATTCTAATAAATTATCTAATATAATTTGTAACATTGATTGTTTTTGTAATGTTCGACCTTCAAGTAGAGTAAGATCATCAACATATTTAAAATATAACAACGATCGATATTCACAAGCATCATTGAACATATTAATTAGAAATAAAACTGTGCCTAAATTCGTACCTTGAGGAACCCCGGCATGGGTGGTTACATATTCAGAAAAAAAACATTTAGGTATTTACACACTGAGATTAAAAAACTTATTACCCAATTTATAATAAATGGTCTGACATTGAGGTCAATCAATTTCTTAATCAAAATATTGTGATCCAATCTATCAAATGCTTTGGAAAAATCGGTACAAATAATAGTTGACATAGAGTTTGGTCTCTTACAATTTTCAAAAAATAGTCTAATAAGATAGTGAGATGTTGATAAACCAGGTCTATTACCATATTGGTGAGGGTCAATGTAAATTAATATGTCTTCCAAAAGCCACTTGGCTATAAAAGATTCTGCCACTTTCGAGAGACGACTATAGTTAACAGTATGGGTCGTATTGTTGGTGGTTGAGATTTTGGGATTGGAACAATTTGACTTCAGTTTCCACTGCAATGGTATGTACTATGCCCTGATGAAAAGATGCATTTAAGATATCTGCTACAGGTTGACTTAATTCATATGCAAATTCACGAATAATACGAGGTGGAAGATCTTCTTTCACTCCTGCTTTGTTACTTTTTATCTTTTTAAGCATGCTGTGAACCTCATATTGTTGGACCTCTGGGCATATTGATTGTGAAGGTAAGAATGCAGGTAATCTGTTCTTGTACAGGGGTCGGAGGTCTTTTGTTATTGATATAAACAGCTTGTTGATAGCCTCTGCTGTTTTTTCATATAACATTTGGGGTCGTTACCTGCAATACCGCGTATTTTTGACTGGTGAGTCTAAATTTCTTTTAGTTATTATCTTAATCTGTTTGTATCATGCACCTGGATTTGTTGTTTTAAGATGTGAAACAAGAGTATTATAATGACCATTTTTGTTATACATTCTCATTCGATTGATCTTATTCCGCAAACGTCGCCAAAGCAGCTTATCTTTGCATTGAAAAGCCTTTTCTCTTTGACTAAAAAAGTCTTTTAATCGTGGAGTCATTCATTCTTTATCATTATCATTGGGTTCAACTTGTTTGACAGGTATATATTTATTCAACTTCAACAATACAGAATCTAAAAAATAATGAACATTTATCAGAAGGGTCAAATAATATTGTGATACTTCACTCCATGAAGTCTGAGGAATCCACTACCCTTAAAAATCGCGAACCACTAGCGGGGAAAGGACGAACAACTCTTCTTTTAACTTTCTTTTGTTGTCCTCGATAAAGATGGGAGAGAGTATAACAATAAATAGTTATGATGTATTTTATGTTCATTCATCTTTCCATTGATACAAAGTTGTATTTTCATCGAATAGGGTCTTTAAAAGTACAGTGGATTATTCTGCAGTTGAGGGTAAACTAATCACTTACCATCCAGCACTTCTCCCAAGGGACAACTAAATAGACGTAACCGATGAGTATAACATTTGCCACAATTTGTAATAATTTGCCAGTGATCCAGGATATTGTCCACCCGACCACCCTAGTTATTAAATTTACAACCCGGTGGAAATTATCAATATTGAGAATACTTTTAATATTGAGGTTTTATAGTTTAGGTTAGTAAATCGAATGAAAAATGCTTTTAACCAACCCTTCTTCCGGGCCCTTCTTGCGAGCGAGTAGAAGTTAGTCTGCACAAAAGCGAATCGAGAATAAGCGCCATCTATTGGTAAAAAGTTCCGAAACATCCGATCAGCAAACAAAAACTTTAAAAAGGCATCGAGGCAATACCCCGAAGTAGGCTACTTTATCTTTTCAGAAGAGAAATATATATATGTGTGTGTGCGTGTGTGTGTGTGTGTGTGTGTGTGTGTGTACAAAGTTCTTATTCATATGACTCATGCTTTCAGTAAAGTCACTCTATTTTAAAACATCACTAGTTCTTGAAAATTAGTCTATTCCTCAATGAATAAATCCCCTCTCTCTCTCTCTCTCTCTCTCTCTCTCTCTCTCTCTCTCTCCCCCTCTATCCTCCTCTCTCTCTATCTCCCCCTCTCTTTCTTTTTTTAGAGAGTGAGAGGGGGACAGACGGGAGAGAGAGAAAAAAGGAGATTATCCAGAGAAAACGTGTAAGAGAATAAAGTCACCATTATATTTGCTCTATTCATTAATCTTGTCTTTATTATGCTATGTCCTCATCAGTAACGTTGTAACATTATTTCCCGAAATAAAATCTCCAAAGTGTTTTATTCTTTCATCTTCATTTATTTCGACATTGTAGACCTATCCCCACCTCGGTTCTAGCATTCCTATAATAGATTCGCCCTTGCTCACTTCCACCAGGGAGCATCTCCCTGCTTCCACCAATGTTGATCTGCAAAAGCACCTTTAAAGGGAAAGTCCATTCTGATATTCAGAAGCAGGGAAATGTGAGAAACAGGTCAGTGAAAGTTTGAGCAACTAAAATACTATGAAAAGAAAGTTGTGATTTTGTTTTAAAGTTGAGATAAATCAAACACATATTGGCAACACTATATCTTGCGAGGTCCCCTCCTAATAATTGCTATGTACTAAACAAAACAAAATCAGAAATGTCTATATCCCCTTTTCCTTTTTAAAATCATACATGCGCCCTATAATTTATAATTATTGCAAATGTGTTTTTATACAACCCCTTTTAAAAAGAAATCTATTCCGTCATCGATAACTAAGAAAGTGAATTTAATGAAATACTCTGCATATAGAGGGGACCTCGCAATTTACGTCGAAGTGCATGTTGCCAATTTGTGTTTCACTGATTACAAACTTCAAAATTCATATATTATTTCCTATTTTTACAAATGTAATTCTCTTGTCTTTCTGCTGTTATCAATACAAGCCATAAATATCAGCGTGGACTCCCCTTAACCTGATATTCAAAATGCGTATTGGCAGTTAGGCATATCATAATGGTGATGCCACTTTGAAATTATTTATATGCCATCAAGTTATAAAATGGAATGATAAGCTAAAAGAAAGATCATAAAAACCTCGTCATGGGTAATATTCGCGATGAACAAAATGTCTGCAATTCGTTTCCAAATATTTAGTTTAGTTACTTACTTTATTGACATATAAAAATCCAAGGTTCAATCATGATTGTTGTTTGATAGACCCGTTATCTCACCGTTTAACGTATTATGAATTATTGAATGTGATCAGGTGATCATCAACATCGGTCATGCTGCGCTGGTGGAATATCATTTTTATATGATATTTGACGCATGATAGGGGCATTTTATAGCGATAAGTGGCTACTGGACATAATAAATCATACTGATTCGATCATAATTTCCGCTTATCATGCTTAGAACAAGATCTTCAACTTGTATCTTTACCTACTTCGGTTCATCATCTGAAACATAATTATGACAGTTTTTGCTCCGTGCCGAAATCTTCTAGAAATTAACGTTGACATAATACAAACGATGATGTTTTCGGTATTTGTGACTACATTCCTTCTTGGATGCACTGTGTCTATTTGTTGCGCTTGGCTTCTACGCCGTCCGAAAAATTTACCCCCTGGTCCTTGGTCCCTGCCCATCATCGGGTACAGAGCTGGATCTGGTCTAATTCATGAGTGCTACGCCAGCCTAGCCCAACGATACGGACCAATCTTTAGCTTTAGGAGGGGTCCATTTCTTGTGGTGGTGTTGAATAACAGGGACGTCATTCAACAGGCCCTTGTTAAGAACGCGGATGTATTTTCCGATCGCTTCACACCTAAACATGTCAAATTGGGAATACCAGCTTCAAATCCAAATGGTAAGACATTCTTTTTAGAGCCATTTAGTGCAAAACTAAACTTCAGCCTTAGACTTTAGTCGTTGGAACTCGATTGCTATCGATTAAACTTTAAATACGACATTGTTAAAACACATAACAATTTCATAATCTAACGCATTTACAGTTATAACAAATTAATTATTCAGGCTTTTCAAATTGATTTGTTCCGGTTTCTTGATAATGTGACATAATTATTCAAGCTTACCTTTAAAAAGTATTGCCCTTATCTAAGAGAAAGAAAAAGAGAGATGAGGGTAAGAGGGAGAGATGAAACTGAAAGAGAGAGAGAGAGAGATATTATGAGGGAAAGAGGGAGAGAGAGAGACAGAGAGAGAGACAGAGACAGAGAGAGAGAGATGAGAGAGAGAGGGGGTGAGAGACAGAGGGAGCGATAGAGAAAGGAGAGAGAGGAAAGAGAGAGGATAGAGAGAGAGGGGGTGGGAGAGGAGCGGAAAGGAGGAAGAGAGAGCTAATTTACTGTAAAATTGTTTTATTGCTCTTTTGCCTCCCTCTTGAAATATTAAATGGAAGCATCTGTCCCCATGAATCTGCTGCTTCAGATTGGCAAATTAAATAAATCGATAAATAAGTAAATGTATTTTTAATAAACAAACAACTTCCACCAAATTAATTCGAGACCAATTCAACTTGTATTAGTCCCAGTCAGCCCCTGAAAGACGACATTCACAAAATAGTGTTCTTTCTTGAAAACATTATCAGATCTTAATTGTTGACAGTTTTATTTTAAAGACATGGGTTTTATGTCAATGAAAATTTAAGAGTGAATGAATTTCTATGAAGCATTCTTTCTTCTTTTTTAAACAGCATCCGTAGTGTGGAGCAGCGGCAAACCGTGGGGCGATCTCAGGAAATTCGGTCTGACCGCTCTCCGGGCTTTCGGCATGGGAAAGAAAAGCATTGAACCACACATCAACTTAGAAGTACGATACCTCTGCGAAGAGATAGAGAAACTCCGAGGTCATCCAACCAATCTTCTCACTATGCTGAACAATACAACGGCCAACGTCATTTGCAGAATTGTCTTCGGACGTCGATTCGAATACGATGACGAGGAATTTCAGGGAATCCTGCGTGGATTCTTTGAGAACTTTTCTACCATTTCGGGTTCTGATTTGGTCAATGTGTTTTCTTTTCTATTGTATATGCCTTGGTACAAAGACTTTCGTCGTAACCTCTCTCAGTCGAAATCATTCATCATGGCTCAGCTGAAACTCCATACAAGCTCATTCGAAAAGGACAACATTCGTGATATCATTGATGCATACCTGGCTGATGAAGGCATATCCAAGGACTTTACCGTCGAAGAATTTTGTCGCGTCGTCCTCGATTTCTTTGCGGCTGGAACTGAGACGACGTCTACCGCTCTTTCTTGGGCTATACTTTACCTGTGCCTCTATCCTGATGTGCAGACAAAAGTTAGAAGCATTCTAAACCGTATAATAATTTCACATAGGCCTAATGATGCCCCGAAAAAGAATTTGATGAGAACAAAAATTATATATTATAAGCTTAGATTGCCTCGATGACGTTTATGAAATCAATGCAAACATAAACATTTGTATGTAATACATTTTCAAATAAAATTAGCTTGCCGTGCACTGTTTTAGCCTATCGCCAGTGGCGGATTAAAGTTTCTCTGGTCGGGGACTGGGGGGGGGGGGGGGTTGGAGCACAAATCTCCAATTCCCTGACAAGCAGCAACAACAATATATCACAATTCTTTCTTCTTTACTCCAAAATTCTCTGACCACCATGACAAAAAGGGTAATCTTATTTTTGAGGTGCTGAAAAGTTGATGCCAGGGATCACCATTACTGTACCAAAAGTGCCCATTCGAGCATTAGGGACCAGTGCGCGTATGTGTGTTTGTGTGTGTGTATGCGTGCGTGGTGTCTTCATCATTAACTCGTATTCCTAATACGTTGCCACAGGTACAGTCTGAGCTGGATACCGTTGTTGGGCGTGGTCGTCAACCAGCCATCAGTGACCGAGCTCGTCTTCCATACTGCGAGGCAGCCTTGATGGAGTCGATGCGAATCCGACCTGTCTTACCCTTGTCGCTGCCACACACGACTTCCAGGAGTGTCTCCCTAGGAGGATTCACTATCCCTCAAGGAACGACCATCATCCCGAATATTTGGGCCGCCCATCATGACCCGGAAGTCTGGGATGACCCCGACGACTTCCGTCCTGAGCGGTTCCTGGAGAACCATGACAGTCCGACGGTGAAGAAGAATGATTCGTGGATTCCGTTTGGTCTAGGTGAGTTAAAATGATTAAACTAAATTCTTTGATGATCAGTATGATAATGACCCCACATTGACAGACAAACTTTTGATTTGATTTCTTTCTTACTTTTGAGGAAAATGATAAATTAAGCAAACCTATCAATAAGTTTTTGTCAAGCCCACGTCACTAGTTGATGACTCGTAATTGGGCAAGCTTTCCAAACTTCATGTGATCAATATAGCGCGAAAATTATGAAGTTTGCATGCTCGTAACATAACTGGAGTAAAATAAATTATGTATCGATTGTCAACAGAACAAAATTTGCCATACGAAATGTCTGTATCTTATCATGAAAGGAAACGTGAGTAAAATCATTGCTTATAGTTTTAATAACTTTAGACATGGGTAGAGAAATCCACATAGACAAAATGTATAGAATAGTGTACATTAATTAATGATAACATTATCAAAAGAACATAGATTTATTTATTTATTTATTTATTTATTCACGAATATTTAGACAGAGTAGCCTGATCAGCAATCAAGACATTTTAAAACATACAAATATACAAATGAAATTTAAAAAGCAAATTAACATAGTCTAAAACATTAACATTTCATACATTGTGACAAGATACAACAAATACTTAAAATAAGTTACAAGCTGGTCTTCCTCGGGGCCCTGTTTGCATATACACAATGCAAATGCATTAAAGATACAGATCTTTTGTGTGCGGAAATTGCCATCCTTTTTTCTTACAGCTAAATTATATTGAAAAGGGTATCAAAAAGGTCAAGCGCACCTTGAATAATTGAGAAAAAACTGATTTGTATGCATGGTTCAGTTGAATATGATATTTTCCTGATTTTTCCCGATAAATTAAGGTCGTCGAGAGTGTCTGGGGGCTCAGCTAGCCAAGATGGAGTCCTTTCTACTGTTCACCAATCTCTTTCAGAGATTTGAATTCAAACTTCCTCCTGACCAATCAACTCACAGTAAACGAGGCATCAGTGGATTAACTATGCCACCAGAACCCTACGAAGTATGTGCGATCGAGAGATAAAGAATCGAATCCGATCTTCATCTTGACCCCTTTTAAAAACAGCTCTTAGCGGACAAGGGCAATCCATCTCATGAGTGGTGGATAGATAAATCAAATCAAATCAAATCAATTAATAATGCCTTCTCATAAGTGAAGCTTGATCGTCAATTATGTTCATTTGAAGAAGTTTGACATTACTGTTTTTTCAAAACCTATATATTAACTGATCATGTTAATTGACCTAATTATTGACCATGATGATTAACCATTGCATTCTATTAATTACCAACCAAAATGGATTGTCTTTTTTGTTGTTTTCTATTTCTTATACTCTTTTTTGTGTGTCATCCTACAATCTTTTAAATATACATGTATATATTTACGAATTTTGACCTATACTTGCAACTATATAAAATGTACCATATAGTTATATCGTGGACTTATATTCAAATGTTTTCATTGATCTGCCGAAACTGTTTAAGCCCCTCTGCACTAGTTTGGCCAGGAGTGATTAGACCTCCCTGCATGGTCACCAACAGGTGGTTATCTCATCATAATCAGCTCTCAATTAACATAATAAAAAGGGGATCATAGGGGACCAATGGTCACCGATTATGCATTGTTTATATAGAGGGAGCAAGTAGCTATAAGAAGTGCAGTGGGGCTTTAACCTAAGTAAAGTTTGAAGTTGGATTTAATGCAACCCGGCAATGAGTGACTGATTACATCCTTACACTAAACCTGCCAAAGCAACCTTAATTCATCATTTTACTATATTTTGTATCATCATAATAATATACTTACATTGCTACGAAATGTCTACAGTCAACAAGCGTGATGTCTCCAAAGCATGTGACAGCAGAAGGAAGAAATAGTTTAGTAGCTTTTGTCTTGATTGATGAGAGTAATATGCCTTCGAGACTAACGTGAATTCTGTGCTTGGCTAAGTCTTCATTTTGTCTATCATTATTTTCTTTCACATTTTTGAGTCTGAATAAAATATTCATAATTTATATATAATCCATATATATCACTGCCGATGAATTAACTGATATTTTTGTACATAATTGTCTTTTTTTTAAGTGATGATTGATAACTGCTGAAATATGCATAATGTAATTTCTATTTGTTAAGTATATTCATTTGTTGTATCCAGTTTCTATTTACACCCCAAAACTGTAAGATGAAAAGTGTCTGCCATGATACTTTTATTTCAAAATTGACACTATCCACCATTGCCTATCACAATAGTTAACGCTGATGTGTCATATAAATAATTTTAAGTGGAATTAAACTGTATTGCACTGTATGTTAATTCAAGCCGACATGAATCTTTTCAAAATGATTATTACAATGCTGATGAATTTGAGATGTGGGTTAATGTTAATCCATGTTTTAGTTAAAGAATGATCTCGCCCTTTACTCAAAAACCAACTGCCTGTAAGTAATCAGTGGGCGTATAATATTTTGCTGACCATACATCTCTGACTCGTAATAGTGATAGCATCTGGCATTCTTCTACGATGAAACGATGTGATGGTAAAATATTATATACCTCTCATTATTCTCTGCTAAGTTGTACTCAATGCAGTCATATTATTCTAATGTGTTGCCTTTAATCAGCGGGCTGTAGCTGGAGCTTTGCGGTCTGATAATTAAGGTTTTAACAAAATAGAACTTTAAACAAAAAAGATTTGTTTAAGGATGGGTGTAGCTACCCCTCTGTAATACGAATTAATCAGATAAAAAGATAGCAATCATAAATGTTAGGTATTTTGCTTGAGTAAGATTAGAAATACCTAACGGTAAGATTTGGTTTCCTTTTGCATACATGGTGTGGCGTTGTGCTGTATTCATCAAACCCAAGCGAAAATCAGTTAATTAAACAATGTAAGCAAGCGGTCTTGTTTACTCTTATTCTTAATGATGAACTTATTTACTTTACCCTGTTCGCTGGTCTTGGTATCTACCTGTGTCCTTAATGTTTGTGTGTGGGTCAAGAATGATTCTATCCCGAGTTGTCAGTTTGTTTGTTCTGGTCAGCGAAAATGGTTAAGGCTCTGGCTAATCAGTACAGTAAGACGTGTCCGCATGTTGCTCCGTGTTAAGAGAATCAGAAGGACAGCTGAGACGCCGAAGAAAACCCAGTCTTACAGAAGAGTGACTGATGTCGATATCCTGATTGCATGGTTACTTGGTGTCCTCTGAACTATCAGATCCCTTCGAAGAACACTTATTTTATAATATTAAAATAGTTTGATATTGTAAAAATGGCGTCTGACGAGCAGCCGATTAAACAGTCGGATGTGGCACTCGCTGTCCCTCAGGGGCTCGCAATGGAGGACCGTGATCCCGATGACATCAATAGTCATGTAAAGGTGAGTGGACCTCAGGATGGTTTGGACCAAAATGTTCATACATTTTTAATGAATTATTAAATTAAATGAATTATTTAATTATGGCACAATATTGTGGGGAATACATCACCGTTGTTTAATAACAGAGAGCAAGCATGTCGACAAATTGCATAGCCATAGGAAGAGACAAAAGGGGCGAGTCAAAATTCTGTCGATACATACTCGTCCTAAGAAGGCAGGTTTGAGCTCTGGCAGCGCCCTTGGCGTATCCAGAGATGGGGGAATTTAAATTATCTGCATGGACAACTCGGCATTTTGAAACCCTTAGCAATGTATTTTGATATTTACATGGACCTTTTCTCTGCTGGTCACCCCATACTGTAGCTCTAGGAAGAACAGAGCCATTTTAATAATGGCTCTGAATATAGAGCTTTCCAGCCGTTTTTTAATTCTTGATTTGTATTATTTGTAAATTGTATTCTTGTATGTATTGAATTTTTATACGGAAAATAAAACCAAACCAAACCAAACCAAGCTCTTGGGAAACGGGGGACTCGTGGATTATAACAGACGAGAGCAATATTTTGGGGGGAATGAAACTATTTCGATCTAAGATGAATTTACATTTGGTTTAATGCAGAATAAGCTACAGACATGAAAAACATTCATTTGATAATCTTCTTTAAATTTGCAGATATTTGAGTTGGTAAAAGAGGGTGTGGGAGAGTGAAGACCACTATTGTTTGTTTTATTTATAAATGAATCATTTCTTTTAAACAGGAAAATTACAACGAACATAATAGATTATTAGTTCAACGGAACCAATTTTAAGTCTCATGAATATGTATAGCCAGACATTAGACGTAATGATGTAATGTATTGTCATTATAACGTTTTTTTTTATTTGTTTATGATGTTTATTTTGGCTCAAAGAACAAACAGAGTTTTATGTGCGTGTTATTCAAGAGTTCACCAAGCGTCAAATAAAAAGTATGGTCGACCAGTGTGCTTGCATATAGACCTAGTAATAACGCTAACGATCAGCACACTCAATGACGCATCCCGGCAAATCGTCTATTTGGAGCCAGAAGGGTGTTAACTCAAAGCATTAATGCCCTTCTGGCTCTGAAAAGATTTCATGCGATAATCTGATACAGTGATAGACAATTGAGATGAAATAATCTGATGAAATAATAATGTTCCACATCGGATGATACAGGCAGTGCATGAATGTAGACTAGCAGCAGGGAGGCAGGTGGGGGTGTTCTTTCGTGTGGTTGCAAACTTCTGTAAAGATCAGTCATGCAGGGAGGGTCCTTCAAATCCAATCCACTGTGCAGTCTGTACGTGCTATCATCAAGCTCTTTGAAGACCTTAAAAACCTTTAGGAGCCTGATGGATATTACGAATGTATGCCATACATAGTTGGGTAATTTGATTTTAGATCATCTCCTTCTGTTTTAAAAGTTAAAACATGTTAGTGAGAATTTGCTTTGCATCATATTTTCATTTTTGTCGCTGACGGTTCCACTTCGTCCGTTAAAACAGATTCAATTCAACATACACAGTCCATTAAATCGTAAGTTTCATCATCTTTCTCAAACCATTTGGGCTCTCATTTCCACCTGTTGCCAAGAAGAATAGACATGGCAAATGTAGCATTGAATAGAATGAAGTATTACCAATAAGAGAGAGTACTATGAAAGAATCAAAATTTAACAATGAATGTAATGTCTGTTTTTTCAAAATCATTATTGATTAGTTGACTTCTCATTATGCATTGCGGATCGATCTCTGAGAATAATGTTTCTTTATTTAACATTTAAAAGTCAAATCTTTTGTTGTTGAATGAAAGCAAAGCTTTTATATTTCGAACGATCCTTTGTTTTTTCCAGGTGTCTTGGCATGAAATATTCGCCGAGCCAGACGGTATTCACAGTCAGGAGCAGACTTGGATCAAGAGCTACAACACCTACAACTGGAGCAAAAATTGTTGCTACTCGTGTTGCAGCACTGTATGCAGTATTCCAGCAGCTTTCTGCTGGGGTGTTTACTTCGCTATCCTATCCTTCTGCCACATTTGGTAAGTTTCTCGGAAAATTATTTTTCTTTACGTGACAAAAAATGTGACGTTGATCCCTGAAAGAAGAACCGATAGTAGTATATCTAGGAATGCAATGATGACATATTTACAGTACATTTACTTGAGCGTCGCTATGGGAACGATTGGGTTGGGGTCGACTAAATTAACCAGGTTTGCACAAAGCATTCCAACGATCGAAGAAAGAAAAAAAAATTCAGTCACATAAAGAAGAGGCTTCTACTTTTAAATGGTTGCTTGCACTTCTATGAAGATATATACATGGTTTCTGGATGCATAGTAATGGCTAGAGGGTTCAACGTTGAGAACAGATGGTTCAGTGTTGTGCTTCTTGTAGGGTTAAAACTAATGATGCATCGTGTCAGGTTTGCACTATCGTTTATTAATACTCACCGTTACAAGTTTTCTCATTCTGTTTATAGTTCTTAGTGACAAAGAAAGAAAAAACAAAATCAAACGTCTTAGTAATTCAATGACCTGAAGTTAAATTCTAGATTCTCTATAAAATCCTTAGATGTTTGAACTGGCCTTCTCCCTAAATGTTTTCATCGTCAATAATTAATAAACACCTTTTCTTTTTCAGGTGTGTTGTTCCATGTATCAAGGCTTACATGATCAAGCTAGTGTGTGCCACCAGGAGCTACGCCATCTGCATCAAAGCATTCTGTGATCCCTGCTACGAGAGTGTTGCTCTCATGTTCTCTCGTATTAAGGTCATATTTGTGCCTACTACACCGGAAGTCGCCGCAGAGATCAGTTACGCTTAAGACCTTTTTCCACTGCCATAAAAGTTATCATCAATCCACTGGAAACATTTTTTCGTTTACTTTTTCAAAGTTAAGCCATAGTCAGTTTTTAGATACGAAACAGAAAATCATTCCACAAGTGTCAATAGTGATATGGTCCTTGAAAACTCTATTAGTTTGGATAAAAATGATAAAATGATATTTGTGGCAGTGGAAACAATGTTTTTGTAGTTCAGACAATGAAACAAGCTCGGACTAAATCCTAGTATATATATTATACAGCCATTTGTAAAAGATCTTGGTTAAAGAAAGACAAGTCCAGATGTATAAAGGTGAAGATTCACACCATAGAGATAAACATAAAAAATAAAATTTAGATGGTACACCATTTGGAGAATCCAGGATTTTGTATAAATTGGGGCACAAGTCCGAGAAGAAAAAATAACATTTTCATTAAAAACAGGCAAAGTAGTGCTACATCAGTCGTACAAATTACACTTTCATTAGATCACTGAATAAATCCTTGAACTCTGTATTTATCATTTATTGTAACAATATACATAAACAACATATTCCGAATTCAAATCTCATTCATGTTTTACCATGTAAAAATATTAATTAATGTAGAAAAAGAATAGATTACGGAAGTGTCTAATTTTCTGATATAGTTCGCATCGTGTATACTAAGTGTTTGCTGTGAATCTTTAAACAAATAATTATTATGGTACAGTTATAGTTATAATATATTGAACAACATAAGTGTGTACATAACACCAACAGCATTAATAGTATTAAAACAGGGTAAATGTATTCAATATTCATTTATTTGTATAGAGATTAACTTTTGATGTCATTCGTTTTCTTGTTGTGTGTACTTATCCTTATATAGTATATAATTAACTGCAATTTAAAAGATGTAAAGTTGACTGATATACATCTATTCTTCCACATATTGCCTTAAACAAATAAAAGGTAACAAAGAATGTTGTAATCGCCACATAAAACTGGTGTATGTGGTGGTGCGTGTGTGTGTGTGTGTGTGGATGTGCAAAACAGGTGCGGGTGTGTGCGTATGTGACTGTGCGATGCGTGCTGCTCTCATTTTCTAATGCTCCACACAATATATGCCTCCTTAAAGCTTTTCTTATAAGTATTTGATATGTTTTTAGAGGTTGTGTATTTTTTTCAAAGGCATAACCTCAACTCCTTATTTAAAGGTATACACACAAGGTAAGCCTAAACTAATCGCAGTTTATAGTACTGATTACTAGTACTTTATAATTTTATCTTCATGAGTAGTTTGCTTTTTTGATTTTACAGCAACTGCGAAGAATTCTCTTCAGCCATTAATTCTGATATGGCGGCAGAAAATGTTGTATTCTATGAAAATTAAGCTTTTTCAATCAGATATATTCTGTAAAGGAATATTTAAATTGAATACAATATAAAGCTCTATGATACACATGGCACGTAATCAAAACAAATCACACTTGTTCAAGTATTAATTATCCAACATAATTTATTCAGTACTGCCGCATGTACACGTTTGTCTTTATTGAGCTACCCGAATCACTTAAATAGCACATTACACTCTTTTTTTCCAAAATAAATAATAAAGATAGTCTCTTCCATTTACAATCTCAAAAGTGTAATACAAAATAAATGTTCTACATATATATCGTCAAGAATACATTTGTCTACCAAGGTCCAACTTGGAGTCCATCATATCTATTACCATTTCAATACTTGCATTCAACCATTTCATCTAAAATAAGCGACGATCTATTTTCTTCCGTTACTGGTCCTATGACATGCATAATACTGGATCTTTTTTGAGCACTCGATTGAAAAAGAAAAAAAATTATAATGCGTATTAATATGTTACGATTAAAATGACTTTTACAGGTATTACTACATACCGTAGAATGTACTCTACAAAATCCATGAACGTTCATAATTATAATTGCAAAGAATACATTTTTCATTGATAATGTCAAAAATTTAACATGAGAAATTCTAAAGTTTTTTCGACGCTACATATTTTATGTATCAAAGAAACTGCAAAATGTGTCAACATATCGCTGTAAAAAGGAGCTTATATACTTTATATTTATTCTGGTTTAAAGCTATGACATCTAGCAATTGTCTGCTGCTACTAACGCACGACTTAAACATAACATTTATGTAAATATTTCTTTTTTGGGGGGGGAGGGGTGGGCTCATATTACGTAATGGTATTCCAAAGAAATGATTTATACGGCACGATTTCCGTTTCAAAATGTTTGGAATGTCTGGAAACGGCCGAGTATAAGTTATCTTATTTGTAATTTACATGTAATGGAAACGAAAATGTTAATAAAACCCATGAGAATAGACATTTTCTTCTTTACAATAAGCAATGTTATTTCCCAAGACCTTACTTTAGATAATAGAAGGTTCAATTGTTTCTTTGATATATCCAAGATAAAAATACAGTCAACAACTAAATTATTCATACATTACCAAATTTTGTTAATTTTGAACTATGTGAAAATTTGAGTTGTCCCGATTTATTTGTCTCGAGATTGTGACTTACTAAAGCTTACATCAAACATATTCAACAAGGCCCTATTTCAACCAGTCCACCTTTCAGTCTTGAGCTACGAAAAACATCTACCCCTTCCCCTTTCCCCCGAGAAATAAAAAAATATATAGTAACTGTATCTGAGCCATTTCTCCTCTTTCTAACAAACTTTACTAGGTAAACGTTCATACCTGCAAGCACAAATCTATCTTTGGAGCCACATTTTATCAAAATTCTAACTTAAAGAAACAAAAAGTTAATAAAATCTGAAGCTGTCGAGATAAGATAACCTGCTCTGAAATGGAAAGGTTACAACAGAATACTGTCTCATGAAAAAGTTGGTCCTCGCAAATAAGTTTGAATGGGTTCTGTTATTTCACCCATTGCCATACGATAGACAGACAGTTATTTTTCAGAACTTCTATAAAAATTGGATTAAAAAATGTTGTTATTATTATTATAATAATAATTATTTGTATTACTGTTATTATAACTGTTTATAATCCCTGCGGAAATCCTGGACTGACAGTATCACAAGGAATCAGATGGAAGCATCCTATTTGTTCCTGAGTATTGCCTTTACCTTGTAAGGTCGGGGCTGTCTGTTCAACCCTACAACTCCTTCAAAAGATGGCGTCGTGTCGGGATCGGCGAACACGTACTTGAAGCGCTGCATCAGAGATACGAAGAATAGAAACAACTCCATCTTGGCGAGCTGTTCTCCCATGCAGACCCGACGACCTAATCATGGTACAAAAGCATGATATCTTTCCGTTAACTCACTCGAAATGAAAATACAGCTTTTCTTCTGTGGATATAAAATACCTGCGCAAAGTATTGTGTCAAGCACTTCTACCTTTAAAAAAAAATGTTGACACCTATTCGCTAATGATATCAAGTCTGTGGACAAAAATAAAATTCTTTGTAAAATTACAGACTGGAATCAAGATAAAACTTGGTTTATCTGCAAATAATTCCCATATGGATGGTTATCTCGTTATATTTTGAATAATTTGGAATGTCATATACATTTTTAGGTAACACATTACATGGGATATTTCTACGATAGTATTCACTCTTACATTTTTATCAGAAAACAGAAATGTGTTTTCAGTTAGACACCATAATGAACATAAATTAGGGCTATGACGATCATTGGACAGTGAATGAAACATTAATTATGTGAAACCATTCAGCACAACTTTATTCCTTACCAGCTGAGAAGGGCATGAAGCTATCTGGATGAACTACCTTTGTTCCGTCTTTGTTCAGGAATCTGTGGGGATCGCATTTATTAGGGTTTGGCCAGTCCACTGGGTCGCGGAAAAGAGACCTGTAAGGTAAAATTGGGTTAATGCTAAATTGCTAATCATAATGATATTTGTAATGACTCAGTTTTCACGAGTTACTAGAGAAATATGATCCATATTGGTTCCATCTATAGCTAAGACAACTATAGTTCTCTGTATACAGAGAATTGATAGAATTATTGTTCCCAAGAGAATGGAAGAAGATAAATTCAATCACAAAAGATTCGGCATTTTAACTGTCGTAATACGCCTTAAAAATACATTCTGGTGACTGTGAGAAAAGTTAATATGAAATTCATTTGAACATTTTTGTGCCGAATTGTTCGGCCAACCGTGTTCTAGAGGATAAGCAAACGTCTATCGACCCACCCAACTCATCATCGGCTATGCAAACATGTCACATTGAGAGGAACTATTAAAAATGTGCTTCAGTTCATTTTGAGAAATAACAAACGGGGATGGGTATCCCAGTGGTCAGACAGCCCAAGAGACTGACAGTTTGGATCTTGTGAACTCTCAACAAAATGTATAAGGACAGTGAGACTAACATTAATTTTGTTCGGTTTCGCGTACTTTCGACCTTGTGAACCATCATGCGACCTTTTAGAATTGTCGCTCTCGTGGCCCGTCAGTCTCGTAGGCTACGCGTTTTGGTCTTACAATAATAGGGACTTTTAGATTCTGCACGACGAGAACGCGGACTGCCCTTTTAAGGCAATGTGACGTCACTGCCAGTGCCTTAAAAGGACATCACATTGCGTTAAAAGGGCATTCCACGCTCTCGTCGTGCAGAATCTAAAAGTCCATAATGGTAAACCTGAGGCGTACCTACCACATGTTGATCCACATCCTGGTTCCCTTGGGTATGTGGTATCCTCCTAGCTCTGAATCTCGGAATGCAGCATGAGGGACGATTGGAACCACGCTGGCTAATCTCTGCAGCTCCATCAACGTCGCTTCCGTGTATGGCATGGACCCTCGGTGCGATAAACACACGGGTTCATCACCAATCACCTAAAGATGACAAATCATCAAAAGAAAAAATATTTCTGACAATACAATATTAGGGCGACAACTTTAATGGGTTTTATAGTACTACGCAAGAGGAACCCCTACATTGTTATCCAAATTGTATAAAAAGAAAACAGAACGGAATGTTAACCCTTTTCCCTGTCGATCCTTTTCCCTTGGTTTTAAAAGGATACAGGTGAAAATATTCATTTTGTGACTAATGTACTTGCACCCATTTGGACCACTAGTGGTATCTTCTTCTCTGAAACAGCGATGAAATACAGTTCAACCCTTACAGTCACTGTCAGTCAGTCTCTGATAAATCATTATAACAACTTAGTTTTTATCATTAGCATAAACCAGGGCAACTATACGTTGAGTGTAGTGGCAAAACATCCTTTCTCGATACGAATCAATAAAATTAATCTATACCAACCTTGATTGGACCTCCAGTACCAAATTTGATTCTGATTTGCTAATTTGCATGCGATTGTAAGTGGCACTTCTTCTGTTAAGGAACATGATTCTATTATCTACTCAGCTTGAATATATTGAAAGCTTTGAAATAATTAAGAGTGACTTTCTCAGGGCCATCATATTTCTTAGACTAGGTTTGATTACTATATTATAATGAACATCAAGAATTTCATGTTTCTAAAAATTCAATTTCTTGTCCCATTACCTCCTGTATTTCTGCTTGCACTTCTTCCTGTATATCTGGATATGCTGCAAGGTAAAGGATGGCCCAACATAAAGTCGTTGAAACTGTGTCCGATCCAGCGATAAATAGATCTGACAGGAGAACTTTCAGTTCTTCGTCATTAAAGTGCACCGGGTCTTTCACAGCGTGCATGAGGTACGCATCGATGAAGTCTAGTACTTCGTGTTCTTGATTCGAAGCAGTACTATTTGAAAGTCTTGATTTGTGTTCGTCGATCTTCCCGCCAAAATATTTGAACATGTTTTGAACTGATACGTGGTTTGTCTGCCATCTTTCCTTGTAAATGTAGGCGTGTTGTAGGAAGGGAAACACCATGACCTCTCCTTCCGCTCGGAATCCCATAATGCCTCGCAGGTAGTTCATGAGCTGGTGAAACTCCGGGTCGTTGTGCTCGAAGCGATGTCCAAATATAAGTCGACAGATGATGTTGGACGAGTTGGTCGCCAAAGGTCCTTGCGGATCAAAAGGTTGACCGTTGTATGACTGTAAATACAAAAAATAATGGAAAGCTGATTAATAATAACATCGATTATTTTTTTTTTGGGGGGGGGCACTATAATATAAAAAGTATCATAGCGCTTACAAAATTGCAAAAGAGAACATAAAAAACATAGAACCATGAAATAGGCGAATCACAAATTGCAAATTATAGGATAGGAGATTTCAAACTTATGAATTGTAACAACGCAGATTAGCATCAATTTCAATTCATAAAGTGCTGATGCACACCACTAGCATCGAGCCACATGAAAGATAGAGCAGATGTTGAGAAAATACCTACAAAATAATGACTGAATAAATAGACGGTACATTACATGACACCGTTTTCTCAAATTCATCATTTTATGCAAATTCATATCAATTTATAAGGATTTGCATTTTAGAACCAAATGAAAATAGTTTTCTTGATAAATGAAGACCCTAACTTAACTTTGAGCGAAAGTAGGTATGACATGATATCCCGAACTGGGGATTTCCAATCACCCAGGCTTAGTACATTTTTGTTTGAAATAATTAAGGCTTAAACAGTAGAATTGGCAATAATGGACGTGTCTCAATCGGAAAGAGGGATACGAAATATTTCTTCCTTTTGGCATTATACACTCTCAACGTGTTCACGTGCTCCGGCCACGTTTTCAACCACTAATCGACAAATCGTGTTTGACATTCCAAGGCCTAAATAGATATGTAAATAAATCATCCTTGATTTAAGTGCACTTTTCATATCTTGTCTTCTGTCATTGCCTGATATTAAGAAATGCAAATAGTTCTGTAGGATCCTGACAGCTCTGAATCTTTACTTTGTTCACTGTACTTTCTAATTTGGTGTTCGAATGAAGTCTTCATTGGGAAACTGTTATTCAATTTTGTATTTCTGGCAAACCAACAAAGAATAGACTCGTTGCTATAGAATATTTTGTTGATTAGTTTATTTTAAGAGATAGCGATAGTGAATTCAGAATGACAGCTGACCGAAGCTCCATTCATTATCAGTGATAACGTCAGTGTCTTTAAAATCAGTGTTTTACAAATCAAACTAAATTTGAAAAGAAAATTTGAACTCTTTTCTTTTCCTTACAAAGTAATGAACGACTTCAGAATAATCAAAGGTCAATCACAAATGACAGGAATGCCATCATATAATTAAGGATATTCCTCGATCTTTTTAAGGAACCAACCTTTCCACATTTTGTTTATCAGGTAATTTGCATTTTCTCTTATTTAACGTTCATGTCGAGCACAAAAAAAAAATTACTTTATACCAGGAAAAAGATCCTGAGTAAAAATTGTGTAGGTCAGGAATCAGAATTCAAAGTGACAGTCCTGACAGTGAATTTACATTTGCTAAGTTGATTTAAATATTTGAAAGTCCATTTTCCGCGACAAGTATACACAGATGAAATTTGAAGTATTTACCCGAAGGAAATTCACGACAACTGATAATTATGGACAAATTATATATGGATGGAAGGATTTTCTCTTGAAAAACACGAATAATTTGCTGAAAAATCATATAGATATCATGGAAAGGCGTAAAAATGCTTTGTGGCTAGTTGTGCCTCGCATGTGACGTCACGAATGTTGACGCTCTACGGAGGACCACTGAAGGCAGAAAATCAGGATCTAAGAAATACATTTTTGAGAGATGATTACTGCGGGCCCAAAACATATTTTGAAGAGGGGAGTTGTTATATTTGATCAGTAAGGCTTCCCCTTCGCAATGATATGAATCAATTCAAAACACTTTTGATTCTTCGGGTGACTACTTGAAACATTCAGTCTTTAGTCTTAACATGATAATAAAGTTCATAAATTTACCGTGAATTGTTTAATGGTGTCATCCACCTCTTCCTGTATGATGGGCTCTAGGGCTACTTTCCCGAAGCCCATCCCTCGCAGAGTGGTGTGGGCGAAGTGACGTTGCTTTGCCCATCCGTCTGTACAACCTGATACAAAGATACCTGAGGAGGAATGAAAAAAATAATTACATTTATCAGACTAAAATTCATTAAATTTTGTTTGGACTCTGAACTTATTTATAATACTGTATTTCTGTTTCCTTGGTCACCTGGAATAGAGAAGAATTACATTAATTATAATCCCTTGTGGTAATTACATGTACAGGCGAACAAGACATGAATTATATAAGTGGATTGGTTATTTGCGAAGGCTATTAATGTTTAAATCCCTTTTTATCATGGTTTTAAGTAAACAATTCAAAATTGTAAGTGCTGTAGGAAAAAAAAGGGGGTATGATAGTGGAGAGGCAGTTGGCAAATTAGCATTCGATCAAATCAGGGTTATCAATTTCATATTTTAACCAGCCCATGACTAACTTTTATCTTGCAGAATTATTTTGTATTTTTATCTGGTTACCCCTTAAGCTGAATTCCGGGATAATTTTTGTTCAAGCAATACATTGTGGTTGTTCCCACTATCATGTTACTTGATTCGGTGATTTTTCCCCCCCCCCCCCCCCCCATTTTTCTCTCTCTCTCTCTCTCTCTCTCTCTTTGCCTTAGTCTTAGTCTTACATCATTATATGTGTATATTGATCTCATATATTATGTGTAAATAGCATTCATGGAGAGTTGACATGTTAGGCAAATATGGTAGCAAGCTTGACACAATATATCAACAAAGTTATAGCTCGGTGACAAAACCAAGTAATAAAACAAACTGACAGAGCTAAACACTGTATTTTGTCCCATAAATACACAAAATACCGGTATCCTCCCATTATTGGCCTACGTGTGTATAGGCACAGTGGTTAAAGTGCAATGTCTTATCGAAGCGACTTCATGCATTTCAAACATGGTAAAATGATAAACATGTTCAGACTCTGAGCCTCGCAGAATAATTGTGAGCGATGATGATTATCTCTAAATAGACCATTCACCGATACACTGTTGGAAGACAAACTTTGCTCCACGTTACAACAGGGCTGATATAAAATCATCTGATATAGGCCACTCCACGGAACTTCGATTGAACCTTGGCAACAATGGGGTAGTTATGATTTATAACACGTGCTACAAAAAGGAGGAAAATGAGCTTGATAAAGGGTTTTTCTGGTTGGTGACATTCAGAAGAGGTCTTTGCTCTTTTCTTACCTGACCCGCCTGACCCAGGCGTTGTTCTCCGACCTCATTCCGATCAAAATCATAGGTTGGATCAAAGATGCTTAGTCTTGTTACTGGACGTTTATAATTAGTGATGAATTTGAGGGCTTAGAGAATGTACCTCTTCATCACTGCATTGAATTAAGAGCTACCTTGATTAAAAGAGGAGTTTAATTTCATCGCAACACCAGTTTTAGGTGCATTACGTACGATACTTTCACATCAACATTAGACGAATGCTCATATCCTTTCAGATTGACTAGTACAGTAGTAAATAATCTTACGTATGAATATCTATTATATGCCTGTGACGTATATGGAAGAAAATTTCAAATCTAAGTTTAGCTAACAATCTCTCTCCCTCTCTCTCTCTCTCTCTCTCTCTCTCTCTCTTTCAATCTTTTTTCCTCTTTATCTCCCTCTTTCTCTGTTTAAAATAATTTAAACAAATTGTTATCCGCCTTGTTTTTTCTTATCTAATGAAATCGCATTATTAGTATCTGTAATAAGATATAAATGGCTGTCAATTGTGTTATTTTATTATTCATAAAGACAAAAATTCATCGGCCAGCAATAAATGTTTGATGGTACGAATATAATACCATCAAGGAGACTGGAGAAGCGGCTACATTTTACTATTAAGCTCAAAGGGTTGATTTTAACGCAGATCCGCCAACTTACGATTTAATACCATCATCACAATACTCATGGGATTTTTTTTTGTAGCGGAGCCAGTATTGTGTACAAGCACGGTGTCGTACAAGTCCCTAAAGAAAATACAACTTTTTTCATCCACAGATTCCGATGTGTTCGTATGTTTCAGTATGGAATAATTCTTTTTAATAAGTTCGTTAGTTTCCAATTTCCTTCTGAGCACTACAATCCTCAGTTTAAGAAAAAAGATTCATGATATTTCAACTAGCAAAAAGGTGTGTTGCTTGAATATGATCAGAGGGGACAAAAGGTTTACGTAAACAAAGAAGGGAAAAAGTTTGCTACCCCAAATATACCTCACTTCTCCAAATATATTTAGGGGATAATAGATATACCCTTGAAAACCCCAAACCCTCTTCAGGAGAGCCGTTATTTGCAAGGTGGCCTCAAGTTCACATATATCAACGTGCGACATCTAGACACGCTATCAATATGTGGGCTGATCTGATGTTGGCTTCAGATTATCTTGGAGTAAAGAACTCCATTTGTTAGGCTTTTCATTGAGCCTTATTTCAATAGTTTTATTGTCAAGTGTTTGTTTTATAAAGCTCCCCAGGTCAGAGGTACTTTGTATTGTTTACGGACCTCTATTAGTCGAGAAAATATCCCCAGGACTGAAAGGAGGTACGGCAAACATGAAGAAATGCAGATAATAGAATGAGCCTTAATCAAACCTTATCAAGTTAGAGCATAATATATGAGAGAGAAAGAGAGAGAGAGAGAGAAGAAAAAAGACGCGATAACTCTTTTCTGGTGGTATAGGAGCTTACGCGAGCTTTCTATACCGTATAGGGTGCCTTGTTATGATTTGCAATGGCCCAAGAGTTATTCGTTTCCCTTAACAAGGGGGAACATAGTATCTTCATACGTTTTTGAAAACTAATTTGCAGTGAGAAAAGAATTATGATATTATAAAAGGATTCCAAAGCAAGATCTGATTTCAGTTTGCAGAGCAAATACGAACATGATATCAAAGACCAAGATAACATTTCTCCTTTTAGCAAATATTATCATATCACTACTCCCCCCTCCCCCTCCCTCCCCCTATAGTATACGTCTATCTATAATTATCGATACCATTACAGTAGAGTTTGTAAGTATATGCATCCATGTCTAACAATCAGAAACAGCTACTGTAATGAAGAATATTTATACACTATCATCATCGTTTTCATATCTAAGCGCTACAGGATAAATATCTAATAATATGCACCCTCTTAAATTACTAATTGTTTGTCCTTTAGTAGTACGTAATAGGTAAATTATGCTAAGCTCAACTGTCAAATACGAACACGAAGTAAGTGCATAATATTAGTAGTTAATCACCGCATGCATATATATATATATATATATCATTTATCTAACGTAAATTAACATATAACGTCAGAAAGAATATAGACTATACTACTCGAAACGAGTGATATCTCAAGAAGGTAAATACTATATCTATATAATGATATGAGTGGGGCGTGTGTGCGTATGTGTGTGTATGTGAGTGCCTCCTATACAAGATTCAACTACAAATCAAATCAAATCAAATGCACTTATTAATATATAAATCAACATTCTTATATTATCTACACGTACATTTTAAAGAAAAAGTCAGCTATAGTTTTACCTTTACGAGGACGAATACAATTTTACAGCTCAATAAAATATAAGATAAATTTGGAGGTCATGCTTCTTAGGGAGCCAACTGGTGGACAATAATTAAAGGGTCATTTACTGAAATTCCACATGGTGGTCTCACTGGCCTGCATCCTGACTGACATTGAATTTACGAATTAAAAGGTAAAAGCAAAAAAATAGGAGATGGTACAAATAGGATATAAAAAATTATGGTACGATTATTCATCTTTTAAAAAGTATGTAAGACCGGTGCACTAGGGACGTCAAAAAACTCATGCACACTTATTGCTGATTAAAGTTAGATTTAGACAAATCCAGAAGATTTCATAAAGTATCCCTGTCTTCAAATTTGCAATAGGGATATACAGAATAATATCTTTAAATAGACAGAAAGATTGGAGAAAATAACTAGTGTGGTTATAAGTGGTAATGGGAGGTCAGTAAAAAAAAAAAAATCCGACTCACATATACCTATCTATAGCCAGATGTTGATAGAAGGTCAACATATATTTATATAATATACTCAATCATATTCGCCTTTGATAACAATACCCATAATATATACTATTTAATATCGGTTAGACTAAGTTGTGAAGAAACATCCATCCAAAGTTTTATGGATATGAAGATGACATGAAAAAATTTCCAGAGTTATGTTTTTTTTCTTTAAAGTGCCCATTGTGGAAAATGTTGCTATTCTATTGAACGATTTAAGAACCCATGGGAGGGGGGAGGTAGCAATTTTCTCTTTCAACACATTAGTGATCTTTTAAAATGGATAATTTCAACACACTTCTCTACGCAGTTTGAAATAGATTTATAGGTTTCTTACTTCATCATGGTAAGTGTAGCTACAAGCAAAACAAAACAAAACAAAAGTCTAGAAAATGCCACTGCTAGATAATAATCAGAATGACAGTTACATACATTAGGCTTTCAAAGACTAGCGTTAAGGCTATAATGGTCACTATGAATATGACTGACAAAGAAAGCGGACAAAATATACAGTTCCTCAGGTAGACAAAGGAACATCCCTTCACTGCTATTATGTAAAAATGTGTAGAACAGGTGCCTCATGCATATTCACCTGTTCTACACATTTTTACATGAGAGCAGTGAAGTGATGTTCCTTAATTAATTTGTCTACCTGAGGAACTGTATATTTTGTCCGCCTTCTTTGTCAGTCATGTCATAGTGAGTTCTCCACCATGCACTTTTAAAAGAAAAATGTGTGACCTGCTTTTTAAACATTACGATGGTTTTCTAAAACCATTGACACTTTGGATTGTATAGAGTCTATTGAGTTATAAAGTGACATGTGCTCATGAAAAGGTTCGTATTTTCACTTGCGTTCCTTGATCTGTAGTTTGAAAGGAGAGAACAAAAGCTAGTCATGAAACCTCTCCATCACTGATAGTGGAACCTTTAAACATCTAAAAAGAATTTAAATACGAATGTACATGTATTCAATGCGTTTAGGCATGCATGCTCACCTCTTCTGTCTTTGTTGTACAAGTCTGCTTCAACAAGTTTAGGTTTATCAGCGAAGTCCAGTCCTTTCTTGACAAGCAATGTTTTGATCATTTCGGCTCCACAGACGACAACGTCGTTTGAAAGACCGATACTCACTCCATACACGGGCCCATACTCCTTGCCCCATCGCATCAGTGTATCAGCGAATGCATCGTCCTGCTCGAAGGCGAAAACGTTTCCAAAGATTGGAAGTCCTCGTGGTCCTGGAGGGAAGTCCTTTGGTTTCTGGTGGAGCCATGTGATGATGAGGACGAGGACGAATAGAACGAGGATGATGGAGGTCGTCCACGAAAGCATTAAAGCCGACAGCAGGTTACCAAACGAAAATGCCATCACGACGGTTTGGGTCCAGCTAAAAACTGCCTACCTGGTCAACGGAAACAAAGTATGAAGACCATTTTAAGGATACATAGACCACTGAGTGTAAGCTCTTAACAAAAGGTTTTCTTTTCTTAATCATAACATTTGAATAAAGAGGGGAAATAAGGAAAATAAGGCAGAGCTTATATTATTCCTTACTGACTTGGTAAAGCAACAGTCAAACAAACTACTAAAATTTTGTTAGGCGGCCGATGATAACGTAAAAGCGTATGTATTTGAACGATCATGCATAGGGTAGTTAATCTAGAGATTCACCCCTTCATGTCCATCGCTTTCTCCACACCTGACAACTATTTGCTTTCCTCCCAGTCCAGCAAATTTGAAGAAATCTCACCTAGGTGCAAATAACACCCCATAGGCTACCAGAAGAAATTCAGGTTCTAACCCTTCCTTTCGGGCTTTTACCAAGCAAGTATATATATATCCAACCAAGTGAACTAAATGTTAGATAACTTTGATCTCTCCAGTTGGCTTTGCAATGACAACACACACATAAATAAAACAAACGTCATAAATAATTACATAGCACTTTATTTGCTTAACGAGAACGTAGGAACAACTATGTCGCATTTTGTTCCCCGAGCATGCTGAGGCTGGATTCCAAACAAAAAATAAAGACGCTAAATTACAAGGAAAAGGAGATGCACTTTCATCCGAAGGAATATATCATAATGGAAAGTGATAAAGTACTTTTGTTAAAATGCAACTGCATAGATTAGTTAGCCATCTCCTTGTGTACTTCTAGTTAAAACGATTTGCAGAGTTCACGTGAAAGGGTTTTTGATGAATCAAATGGGCGGGAAGATTATCCTGTAAAGTGAATCTTTTATTGTTGGTTTTGTTTCCGGAAGGGGTCACATCAAATAACAAAATATTATAAAAGGAACCTCGTCACGATGAGATCAATATGTTAAAATTGACAGCTTGGTTATTAAATCAATAATAATATACTTATTCTGTTTGGGTCATTTAAGGTCAGAGAGGAGTCACGGTGTGTTCAAATGTATGAACGTTTTTACCCCCAAGACCCAGCAAACAAAGTATTGCATTCACCTCTTACAAAATGTTATAGTTCAATAGCCAGAATGTATAGGGTACATTCATTAATAGACCGATTTACTAACATATTCAAATGTGTGGATGTTTCTTTCCCAGGGGCCTAGTGACGAGTTATTCAATTAACCTGTTATGAAAGAATGAACTACAATACTTGGAATCCAGTCTGCATATTTTACGTGTTGCTATGTCGGCCAAGCCTCGGGAAAGCTATCAAGTTGTCAAGAACAACCTTTTATCAAAAGTATGCAGACAATTTGAATATGTCAGACAATCTTATGGTAAGATTAAAGGTCGTCACTGGTGTCCTTTGTACTAGAAGAAACATGCATAAATTAGAAATATCGTTTCTTATTTTAGCTACTTAAATTTGCATCTAAAATACCGATTTCTCGCAACATCACAATAACAAAGAGTATAAAAATGCTACTTACTAGAATCATACGCCTAGTAATTTTTTTTTTTTTAGTTTGTTGCATACAATGATTATGAGATTAAATGAACATATTTATTATTTTCATTCAACAACATTGACCATCTTGTAGATAAATATCGAGTATTTTTTCTTTGAATTGGTACAACCAACATGAATTATTTCGACGAAAATAAGTATATAATCCGATATATCGTTCTTACACATTTCATGTTTTAGTTCTGTGGTCGTTTTATTTTGCTGGTCAAACACACTTTTCCCTCAACTCTTATTGAATCTCATTGTAGTTTCATTCAGATCAAGTAAAGAAAATGTGATGGTTTAGATTTCCAGGACTTCCTACACCTTAGAAGTATTCCTACGAATATATAAAATTGCATGATGTTTGCAGCAAAGCAAAACAAATCTGAAGTAAGTGTAGAGCAGCAATGTAATGCGAAATAAAAACTTAAGTGTCTACATTGGTTTTATTGATTGGAATTGTGCATCAACTGCCATGAAAATAACAGTCTAGTACAATATTTTTGTTGTAAAGCAATAGTCACGTGTACGATGTCAAGGACGTAATATCAACTGCATTCATCTTGAAACCATATCACGGCATTTACTTTAGAGTTTTAGCTTGAAAATCCCTTAGTTACGGCCACTTATGCGATTATTTACTTATATTTTGAAAGAATTTTTTTAGTGACACGCGATCGAATTCAAATAAGCAGTGCCATAGAAGGCGTACAGCTGCCCTGAAAATGCGATTAAACAGTTCTTTTGAAATAAAATCAATTGTTATCTCAAGAAAGGCAAACTATGTGAGAGTTTCACATAAATAAATCAGATAAATGCTAAAGCACTTCATTGAAAGTTTTATTTGTTACCATTTAGTACACTTTGAGTTTCATTTGACAAAATTCAATGAAAAAAAGTTAATTGAAGGCATGCAGTCAATTCTATAAAGAATTTTAAAAGTACGAAAGGTCTGGTGAAAAGTCAAGGTAATTGACTGGTGATAACAATCTCAATATGCAATTAACTTTTGACACAATAACAGGCAAGCATTCTTTAGACAAATTCATTACTTGAAAGAGGGACAAAATGAAATTAACAGATTATTGGGAAATGTTTTTTGTACATTTTTGGAGGTTTGCATATACTTCAAATAATATTTTAAAAATATTTTAATGTGTATAGTTTCATTACAATTTGTATATAATATGTAGATGGGTGTCGTATACATATTATTTTCCTTATGGGTATTATTCTTTGAAATGAGTTTATTTTTACATCATACATTATGAAAAACATTCGCCTGATTTGCGAAAGTTACTGTTTACATTGTATTTCTAAACAACTTAAACGCGCTTCTCTTAACCTTATGGTTATTGATTGAGACGGTTATGTGTGGAAATGGTTAAATCGAATCATTATATTTCAAATTAATATTATTGTTGTTTCAGTGTTCGAGATAAAATAGGAATGGGTTTTAGATCCAAGAGGCAAGTCGCAACAAACGAAAAGCAGTACTTGAACTGGCATATTACTGTAATGTGTTTAGAATTTCTTATGATGTCATCTTAGTTGTAGAAAAGACTGTCAAATCAAATCTTATTTTACAAAAGCTACAAGGTCGAGGTCCCCCTTTCCTTTAAAAATTGCTTTTACGTGATATATAAAACCACAAATTTAGTTGAAGTTATTTGTGTTTCTAAAATGAATATATGATGAGAATTGTATAACAAGCTATTTCACATCATTAATAATTGTCAAAAGCACACACTGTTGACGCAAGTCAGTAGAACGGCAATGGGGTGGCTAATTTGAGCCTCCCGCTATTGTTCAATATGCATGATAATTGTGTATACTAGAATAATTTTCGCCCGCGAGACCTGTCCTGTCTCCAATCGAAGGACAGACATGCACAATAATATTTTTCATTTATTGGAGAATATCATTCTAAATTTTCCACATAATTGAGTCAAATGTGTAAAAAAAAATCGAGCGCCGGTGAGCAAAGAAATAACATCATTTTATTAAGTGCTGCAAGATTCAAACCATTGAAATTAATATCATTGTAGTGTAAAGTGTTAAATTGACAATTTAAAAAATGTGTAGGCCGGTCTATTATGCTAAAAACTATCATTGCATAAGTTATATCAAATTTCATAATCAAAAGTATATTTAATACTCTTAGAAAGCCTACGTGTTTTTATGAATCGTGTCACGGTACAAAATAGGCTAAAATAACGGACAAGTCATTAGACACAAACGTACAACTTTCAGCCCATTTCGCGGGTGACGGAATTATTTATAAAAGGACTGACTGAGAGGACTTTTTCATGATTTGTTTAAGTCTTTATATTTCAAATGAAACACTTTACAAATAAAGAGAGATGTAAATCAAAAGAAAATGTTCTCTTAATAAGCTGAAAAGGATAACTCATTATTATTTAACCATTAAAATGCTATTTAAAAATCATTCGCTAAAAAAATATACATTAGTGCCATGAATAATGCAAATGCGGTACTAAATCCGTTGCCCTTTTATCTAATGACCAAAGTGAATTATTGCTTAAACATCTTTTAGAAACTTGACATTATAATGATATTAATTTCAACGGTTTGAATGGTGTGAATCTCGCAGCACTTAATAAAATAAAACTACTTCTTTCTCACTCGGTTGTTTCGGGAAAATGTAGACTCAAAACTGTGCTTTGTGCCGGAAATGATAGACATATTCCATCAAATATAAACTGGTTCATGCTTTTGTTTCTGATTGAATAGCGTCCATTCGGCAGTGTTGTCTTGACCGATACAATTCATCGTGCCCAAATAAAGATGTATTTACCTAACCTTGATAGCCCAAAGTATTTGATGTTCATATCTTTAGCTATTGTCAATTCATCTATCTACAATACATCACTAATTGGACGCTTGGTTTCCTGATTGTTAAAGAAATGAAGGTGATGTTGATATCTCTTTTAACTTATACTCACATCACGCCGTATAAAGAGTATTTAAAATTCGTTTATTAGATGATTGTAAACTGGAAGTAAATTCATAGAAAAAATATTAGACATTATAAAGCTTATATTGCCCAATGACATACGTTGATTACTCTGTATATAAAGAAATATATCATCAATTTGTTTGCAATATGTATGGAATATGTAATAAGTTATGATATATTTTACTGTGTATTATTTGTACTTGTCTATATCTAAGTTTTGTTGAAATGCTTTTTAAAACTGAGCTTGTAAAACTTGCAATGTAATTTAGCTTTCGGGCTACCATTTTGCAGTTGTTCTAATAAAACCATTTTACTACTACTATGACTTGTGTTTGATTTGTTTTAAAAAAAATCAATATTGAAATAATATAGTTGCTTTATATTTATTTTGTATCTGTCGCTCACTATCACAGGATCAAACCACGTGAAAAATTATATTATAGTCATTAGCCTTCAGGGAATTATTTAAGAACTCCAAAAGTATTCTACATAATATAACTAGGATAATGGACTATCACTGAGAAAGGAACAGAACATAATGGCATAGCAAGTTGCCATGTTTCTCATGTTATGTTTAGTAGCTTCATACTATGTTATCAGTTTAATACTGTATTTGAACATAACGGGAGTTTGAAGATTGATAACAATTCTATGAAATTGATAAAGTTTAAAACTAAACTGACTAAGTGAGTAAATGAATTGTATACGCTGCTTGATATATGCTTTCCAGACTAATGTGTTAGTAGGTGTTTTGTTTTGCATTTTACGCTTATCTAAATAGTATAAGAAAGTTGGGCATACAGTCTAAATTGATAATTCTATATGCCTATTCACGAAAATATTATTAGTAGTAGTAGTATATTAGTATATTAGTAGTGGTGGTTATTTTACCTGACTGCTGAGAAAGCATAAATGCTTGTAAGTAAGCAACCAAATGACCGACGGATTCAGGTCCTCTCCGAGGTACCTAAGCATGGGGCTTGACCATGACGACTTATGTATTTTATTTCGTATTTTAATTCAGTAGTGAGCAGTCGGTCAGTGGGATAGAAATTTGTCCTGATGACATTCAGAGCAAAACATCTTACATAGCCCTCATCTGACACATTGGTTAAGTAAAACAAGTTATATTACCTATTAATCAAAGTTTCAACAGATTTTCGAACATCTTCCATTTTCTTTATGATATTTAATGTAAGAAAAAATAAAGAAATATGATCTAAAACTCCGCCAGTTAAAATTTCGTGTACTGTCGTTGAGGTGAATAAATAAGTGGGATTTGAAATGCTCTCAAAGGATCAAAATTATTACTTATCGGTTTTCGAAAATTGTCATGGTACATTTTCAGCTGAAATTCGTGTATTTCGCTTTTTTAATTTAAGGTTCATCAAACTTAGAGGACTAAATAGCACGATTCCTTCACTTTTCCATTACCATGATCAACATTATCAATATATCACTTTCGTCTTATTTCCATAACTGTTTCTATGCTGACATTTGCAGCTAATGCTTCTCGAGAAAGAAAGGCTGACGTAGCATTTACCCATCATCTTTAATCAGAATCAGTTCTGTCATTAGGATTTTGAACAAAACATGATAACAGATAGTATGATGAAACTGGTTTCATCTATAAATAATCATCATTTGAGATATATTTCAGGATATGTAAGAGGCTCACTAGTAAAACAAAAAATGAAACGGCGGTCAGTCAATTATTCATCAAAGAAAAACGAAGATGCAATTTTAATATTTCCAAGTCACTGTAAAAGTTATATCCAAAGGATTACTTTAAAATATTTATCCTTTATAATACCATTTCAATTTCCGCTGTATGAAAATCAAAAGCGGTGAAAAATGAATGACTTATTAATGACATCGAAAAAGAAAGAAGTAAGTCTAATAAATCCGAGCAAATATGAAACTTTAATCCAAAAACCAGTGTGTTCTTACCTATGGCAGGGCTCAGGAGTTACGACTTCTCATATCCGGAAAATTCCGAGAGACGGTAAGAAAGTTTGGTTCCCCGAAGACTGGTGGACCGAGAGAGGTTCAGTAGACGATGGTGGAGAAGAGATACTGTGACCCTTTTAGATGAAGTTGCCAGAACAAAGGTCAGACCAAGACTGACACACATAGTGGAGTTTTATCAATATTGCATCGGCGATGATTTGTATTATGTATGGATGAAAGGATTACAAAAGGGGGGTACTTGGCACCTCGATCCGCCTCGCGAGGGGTACGCAAACCCAGTTCGTGTTCAGATGGCCGCTTGTTTGCTCGCTCTTAGCAAAGATAAACACGCGCAACATTTTGTGGCCATGATACGTTTAGATCATAAACTGATAAATATAAAAAGGCTATATTATATTCTGGGTCATGTTAGCGCACGGGGGTACCCACTATTTTTCTTTTGTGGGCGTGGTCTACAAAAAAAAGATACTTACAAGAGCAGATGGGAGGCCTATTCGTATCCACTAACCGATATTCTTCCGTGAACCGTGTCACACATTGGCTATACAGTATTTTTTATGATTCAATAAGATAGTAAAACTAATTTGAATTTTCACAGAGTCTTGTTATGATATCATAATTATAATAGATAAGTTCTTAAACAAAGCTATAACAAAATAGTATCTTCGAAAATTTCGTAGTCTTACGATTCTTCAACTTCCAAGAGATATTTATTTTTTTAATGATGGAACATACTTTAAGAAATGATAGCAAATCATGTCATACATGTGTATTGGTCCTTTAAAGTTAAGGTCCATAAAAATAGCGAAGTAATGTTTCATTCACGGCAATTTTATGGTCTATGATTAAAAAGGACTTGGTGTGACTCTAAACATGGGTACTGGACGTGGAAAGGTAGTCGGAGGGCAAACACCTGCAATATTTAAATGGGGGCAAAACAAAGCCGCCCCCATCTCTCCTTGCCATTAAGTGGCTCGAAAATAACATTGCTGGCGCTTAACCTCCACTTAGAATTCCACATATAATGGGTGCCACCCCCCCCCCCTCATACACATACCCCATGAAAACTACCCCACACCAGTCCTATACTCGGACACATTCGCAGATAGGCACACTGAAGAATGATAGGAATGACAAACGAATGTTCAATTAATCAGAGATTTAAAAATAAACGGATTTAGAGATACTGCTTAAACCTGTCTAGTTTGTTATTTTGATTGTTTTGGTGGTATGTTTCTGATTTTTAAAGTATTTTTTTCTAACTCCTGTGTGGTTGCCTTCTATAAAGAAAAAAATCTCGTAAATTTTGAACTCTAGGTCGTGAGAAACACAGTTTCGTGATTTTCTGCCGGAACATTTTTGTGTCAATGGACGCCTTCCAATTGAATATGTCAACAGACATACAGCATGTTTATTATCTTACTCCTTACTTACATTCTGCAAAACCTGCATGATATGCATTGATATGGTCAGGTTAGTGAGTATCTGTACATTTTCGCTAACCTTATAATGTATAACGATATACCCTCCCGTTAATTGTCTCTCCTAATAATAATTATGAGACGCTATATGTTTTGTATATCTCCTTATCTTTGGCTCTCTAAATCTCTGTGTGTGACATCTGTTTAAAGTCTTAACAAATATCACTGCATTTTGTGTCAGTATATCTCTAAGCAGAGGTTGTCTGAAGCTACCAGCTGATATGACATTAAGTCTGATAGAATATTTTCGGTTCACGACCATCACTCTTTCCTCTGACCCATTTTTTACGCAGCTTTTATGATTTGCCCTTTTATTAACGATATTCAGAATCATACACTGTGTCGGGCAAATCGAGAGAAACATCTTTTAATGCTGAAAACACTTATTACTATTTTTTTCTTCATGTCAGTTATCATTGATTTGGCAGAAGCGTCTTGCGTCTTGCCATTAATTTCGACCAGGGAGTCAAGGACTATACGGCTTTTATGTTGCGCATGCAGCATTATATCATAATCCTTGGAAATAATGGTGGATAAAATTCAATTTAACTTCTGAAAACGAATGACAAAAAAAGCACACATGAAAAGACACGATGGTGTTTTCATTAGCTTACTAGCAGCAGTCTGACTCTACAAAGTGAACAGCATATGCAGTCGTGCAGCCTGCATTGAGTCTAACAATGATCACACACAATTTCAATCAAGCTCATCTAAACACATAGAAGGTCATACAATCGAAGAAAGCATATACACGCCTACTGCAGTTCTCGAGGAATAGACTCCAAGACGCCACGCCAACTCGAGTGTTTGCACGCGCAGAAAAGATGAAATTTCTCAACCATAATTCATCATTTTGTCTTTCTATGTTTAATCACTTCTTTCATACTAAGCGCAGAAAAGATGAAATTTCCCAACCATCATTAATCATTTTGTCATTCATATTCGCGATCTGATGATGGAAATTATTATTTGTGCCTTTAATTGATGCTAAAAATCGATTCTCATTACATCTTCTGACATTAGAGCTTTGTTGAAATGGATCTTTATGTAGATGCTACTGTTCTTATCATTACCAATTGTATTTACAATTTTATGATGCTTCTGTGAATAGCTGGTTTTTCCAGTTATGAAGATAATACCACCTTCAAATCCAAACTATTATGTCAATAAATAAGATTCTCATTGTAAAACATTATGAAGGAAAATTCTACAAGGTTGAAAGTTTTTAATTAAGTGGTGGAAACGCACGAAATGTAAACATGTTATGAAAAATCTTTAGCAGTATTATTAGTACAATTTTGCCTATTTCTACCGATGTTCGAAATCTAGATAATGAATTGACCTTTTGGAAATGTCCTTAAAGATTCATGAGATTGGTCGTTATACACAAAACATCTTCACGTCAAGACATTCTTCCTCAGAGAGAGCAATTATCTTTTTCCTAAATACTCGCAAGAATCGTATTTGTTCATTGCTCTTATTAACGACGTTCAATTATCATTGGGTTGGTCATTCGGTTTGGTCGGTTGATCTCAGTAACTATAATAACTTTAATTACATTGTCTCCGAGTAATATTCTCTTCAATACATAATTCATTGAAGACGAACTCAATGCTTACATCACGCGTGTCAATTATTTACACCGGTTTGCTTATTGCCTGAAAATTGTAATATTATGCTTGTTTTTGTTTTTGTTTCTTTTCTTTCCCTATATCATTGCGTTTCTATGATTACTTCTTTTGCTTCTATTGTATTAATGGCAGTTGAAATGGAGATCACATTTCATGAGTTTGCGAATATCATAACAACTTTGGTAAATTTGTTTATCTTTGGTGTGACTTCGCTTGGAAAACATGCGTTCTAACATAATTGAAAGGAAATTCATTGACATGAAATAGTGGCAAAGAGGTTGAAATAAACAAGACTTTGATATTATAAGAATAATAGCCTTCTAAATAAATAAAGATTTCTAAACGTTTTGGTATAGCAGTTAAGGTTATTACAATGCTCGTATAATTTAACTCATTTCAGCTGTTTCTTTTTTAAGAAGTAGAATCTATTATTATTAAAGTAACCACTTCATAAACCAAATTTTACAAATCTATCGACGAATAGAAATCCGACGATATTAAATTGATAAATAGAAGGCTTTATTTCATATTCGTCATAGCACACACCATTTTCAATACATCTTGATCATAATGAGTGAATATGCCGAAATTGTTACTGATGATTGATTTATGTAAAACACGGTAAAAAGAATTATATATTCAGCAACTGGACTGGTTTACAAAGGGGCCGTGAAACGAATACAATGATATATGAAAATGTTGTGATTTTGTTTTTAAAGTCAAATAAAACAAATTCAAACTGAAGTCAAGCAAAATAAAGACTTTTTATTTTTCTAAGGGTATTTTTATTACACGCACACACATAAATGTCTACTAAAAAAGATCCAATTGTATTTTTACACATGATATTTAATAATAGACGTATTATCGTGATTGAAGGCATGCAAGTGCACTTAGCTTTTCATTACATGGATCATGTAAAGTATATGCCAAACGAAATACATTTCATTAACAACCGCATCAATACAATACAACATTGATATCAAATTATCAATACATAATAATATTTACAATACCCGGATTGTCACAAAATTGATTATTCTAAACAGGCCTATATATCCAAAACAGAATCATTTCAGCTTTATACATAAATAGGTCTTTTATTTCTCCACTCCAAAATTTGGCATCTCCAGAGAAAAGTGACATCAAGCGTAAAGAATCGCTGAGCCTGGAACCATTAGTTACTGTGTTCCTTGAAATTGCAAGCCAAGAGGAATCGGTGACACATATTATGCACTCTTACTGCAACGGTGCAACCCATCAATATTCCGGCAATTAGTTTATGTTTACTTCACGAATGCAAGATTTATTGTATACAATATAAAAACCAATTGAGTAACTCACACGCATTTTCTTTGAAACGTTCTTTTCAATCGCTTTTTAAAATGCAGACTGTTTATGTAACAATTATCACTAATTACAACCAAAAAAAAAAATTATCTTTGCATTTCACCGTCACCTCAAGGAAGGTCTTATTTAGTTGGAGCTACAAATCTATTCTTTAAAGTCTGTTCAACACCTGTACGGAATGAAAAAGGAAATATAGTCAATCCAAATTTATTCAAACATATCACAAGTCGGCAAACAGTACACGAAATTCTCATTAGCCGATAATGCATTGCTGCAATGATAAAGGCCATGTCCCTCTGGGGAAATATATTATTGGGACGTTAGTGTTACCATGGTAACGGAAATTCGCTTTTGAATCAATGACAAGAAAGCTTTAAAACAAAGGTTAAAAATTGAAAGAAAAAATCTCTTTTTATCCGTGTCACAGAAATGACAAATTGAACGTAATACACACACCCTCACAAATAAGACATGAGCCAAACTTGACGATAAAATTTATACATGTGTATTAGTTTAATGAACATTTAATATATTTTGCTTTAGAAAATGGTGACTTGTAATTCCCGCTGTAATAAAAATCTTATTATACCCGTTCCGAGATGATTAATGCGCTTTCCTATACCACTTGTAAAAGAGATACACCACGAATGCAAAATAGCTTTTAAAGGTCTCTCTTGCTAAGCTTCATGATTAATTATTCATACTAATCAATCAATCACTGTTTTCAGCTCTAGTTGTTCACTGGCATATAAGATCATGCTGTGGGTGTAGGTCTCAGGGTGGCTTTCTATATTTTTTTCATTACGACTCCTTTC